ACTATAAATACTTTGGATATTAATTAATTCATGGCAAAATGCTTTTTTTAAAACTTAAAGAAAACAGAGATGTGGATTAACGAATAATAAAAGTACATAAAATATAAAAATATACTCTTTTTTTTCATACAATCGCTTTTTTTATATATATATAAAGCACTGGTTTATCTTTAATTCAGTGTCATGATTTAAATGAACATCAATTTTAAAAATATCTAGTAACAACGTTCAAATTAAAATGAGTTTGTTTAAACAATTTTAATGCAAATCATGATACACAAGTTTTAGTTATTTTTTTAAGTGTGCACTTTTAGCAGACATTTTTTAAAGTACCAAGCTACTGGTACATAATTCTTCCTGGCATCACATTGTCATACATTGCTTCGATTTAGGGAAATGATTTAAATTAAAATATTAATAATTAAAAACATTTCATATAATCATGTTCAAATTGAAAAATAATTGGTTTAAACAATTTCATTGGATACTTTCAGAACAGGTAAGTATTATATTTTTTTATTGAATAGGGTAGGTACAAATCAGAATTAAGAAGGTTTTTTTATTTAAGTTTTCATGCTCCTAGTAAATATTTCTTGTTCTCAAATAAAATTGGTTTTTACTTGTTTCTTAGAAGTGTCCAGTAACTAATAATTAAATACTTACTTATAATATATAATTACTTATATATATATATATATATATAATTACTTGATATCAAATAATTTATTTTTTACTTATTTATTAGATTATTTATTAGAAGTGCCAGGTAACTGGTAAATAACTCTTCTTTCCATCATATAATTTTTTTTTTTTCGCAGCTTGATATCAAATAAAATTGTTTTTTACTTATTTAAGTGTCTTGTAATTGGAAAATTCTTGATATGAAATAAAATTGTTTTATACATATTTATTAGAAGTGTCAGGTAACTGGTAAATAACGCTTCTTTCTATCAAATATTTTTTTTTTAATTGGTCACCAAACCAACAGCTATGTTTAAATTTCGTTTTACTTACCTATAAGTGTCATGTAACTGGTAAATGGACTTTCTTGATATCAAATTAAGTTTTTTTTTTTTATTTATCAGAAATGCAATGTAACTTGTAAAAAATTATTAATGAAATTGTTTTTACTTATTTATTAGAAGTATTATGCAACTGGTAAGATAATTTTCTTATTAAACAAAACTTTTATAAATTTCCTGTTAGTGTTATATAACTGATAAATAATTCTTCTTGATATCAAATAAAATTGTTTTTTATTTGTTTCTTAGAAGTGTAATGTAATAGGTAAATAATTCTTCTTGATATCAAATAAAATTGTTTTTTTATTTGTTTCTTAGAAGTGTAATGCAATAGGTAAATAATTCCTCTTGATATCAAATAAAAATTCAATACATTACTTTAAGTCAGGGAGATTATATAAATGAAAAATTATTATTTTAAAGTATTCAATAAAACAATGTTCACATTTAAAAACAATTTGTTTGCATGTAATTCAAAAATTAAAACTTGAGAGTTTTAGTTGTGTTTTTTGAATGGGTTAGATTTATTTTCTGTTTAAGTGGGGGACAATTCTGAATTAAATTAGTAATTTTTTGAGTGGGATATAATTCCGAATTAAAATTATTATTTGTTTTAGTGGGTTCAATTTTTAATCTGCTTCTGTTTGAGTGGGTACAATTCTGAATTAAATATATTTATTTATTTTGTTTAAGTTAGTATAATTCTAAATTAAATTTGTTATTTGTTTAAATGAGATTACAATTCTAAATTAAATTTTTTACTTAAGCAGGTATTATTTTAAGTTAAAATTGAATTTCTTCAGGGTAAAATTTTAAATTAGATTTGAATTTTGCCAGGGTAAAATTTTGAACTTAGATCATATATTCTATTTCAATTAAAGGAAAGGCTTTTTNTTTTTTTTTGGATTTTAAATATAATTTTCATTGATATCTTTGATTCAGTGTTAAAATTTTAGTGTATTTTTAACATAAATTACAGAAACAGAATTAAATACAATTCAAAATTCAGGAAAAGATTTAGATTTATTTTTCATATACATTATTCATGCATATTCATATATATTATTCTTGATTCACAGTAATTTTTTATCTCCTTATAGTTTAAACTATTCATGTCTTGATTTACAGTACTTGTTTGAAAATCAAATTAAATAAAATTCAAATTACATGAATAAAAATCGCTTTCATGTAACTTATATCATTCATATCTTGTTTTATCTTTAAATAATACAGAGAAAGAAAGATAGTAATAAATAAAACAATATTAAATTTTAAATGATATATAGGTCAAAAATCTAAGATACATTAGTTTTTCAAGACACTATAATTATTTCTCTTAAAACTCTAAAAAAATTATAATTAATTTTTTTTATATATAAATACCATTTTCTAATATTGTGAGAAAAAGTTTATTGAATCTTTAAGCTAGGAAATGTTTCAAATATTATCACTCAACATATACTTATATGGTATAGAATTCATACAATTATAAGATATAAGGTATAAATATTATTCAATCCTCTAGTACGGAAATTATTCAAATATTATCACTCAAATACATTTCTAAGGTATAGAATACACTTATAAAGGTGTAGAATATTATTGAATCTTCTAGTAAAAAGATGTTTCAAATATTATTATTCAACATACATGTAAATGGTATAGAATATTAGAATACACTTATAAGGTGAATACACACATTTATAAGGGATAGAATATAATTGAATCTTCTACTAAAGGAATGTTTCCAATATTATCACTCAACTTACACTTATAGGGTATAGAATAAAAATAAAATATTTTTATAACAATTTTAAGTTATTTTTTTAATAAAAGAAACTAATAAAAAAGTTTATTTTATGAAATTTTAGTTAGACTGTATATTTAATCCAAGTTTAGGGGAATTGCAACTTTTAAAGTACACAAAACTAAAATTAACTCTATATAGTGAAATTAATTACTTATAAAAAATTTCTCCTATCTAAAAAATAGATTAGTAAAACAAAAAGAAATAAATACACAAACAATGACATGTTAATCTTATGATATTATAGATATTTACTCCTGAAATTGTTTTATTATTTTAAATTGTGAATTAATTATTGCTGAAACCCTCAATTTACAGCAGTGTTCCTACCAAATTTCAGAAGAAGAAAAAAAATTTCCTGACTTTTAAAGCATATCAGGTAAATTTCAATGAAAATCCAGTCCATATTTTATCCATACCATGCAATTTTACATCAGAAAACTTTGATTCCTTATTTTATTTGTAATTCCACATATCAGATTTTGTGAGTAAAAAAATATCATTGAAAGAACATTTTGACTAACAGTTTGACTAAACAGTTGACTAAATTGAACAGTTTGACTAAAATTTGTAATTTTTACATCAAATAATTGTAATAAATGTTAGAATTATTTAACTCCAATCTCAATAACTGATTATAATTATAGACAATTCAAAGACTGGTTAGTCTCCAGACATGATATAGGAATTTTCCAGGTTATTGTAAAAAATCGCAATTTTCCCTGATTATTTACTGATTTCTGGAATTTAAATAAAATTCCCTGACAATTCCAGGTTTACCTTGTCCTCACTGACCCATGGAAGCCCTGACATATATTAACTCAAAGACATAAAATATATAAATAATAAAATATTAATACAATGTGTTAAATTATCAAGCTTCCAAATATTTATAATAAGCAATCCAAGTAGAAATTAAAATAATAAATTGTTAAAATCAAATGCTTTCAGATTTAAACTCATTGCAATACTAAATTAAATACATTGTGCTGGATAATATAGATCTATATTAATTGGGTAACTATAAATTCTCAATGGCACGCAAAAACAAGCAGTAATATACAGGTTAAGCTACAATCAATTAATACAATTCACTGATCAAGCAATTGTTAAAAAATTTGTTTTAACAAGTAATTTTTTAATAACACTAATTGCTAAATATTAGATACATTTTCTTGTTCTAAAAAAGACAATAAGTGATTTAGTATAAATCTATTTAATTTAATCAAAGAGTAAAACAAGAGAGTTTTTGTTTTTATAAATATAAGAAATTGACTGATTAGATCATGGTCATATGCAGAACAAATCACACAAGATTGAGAATTAAATCTAAAGAATTAGGTAATTTGACCTAAAAAAAGGCGTGGTGTGCGTCCATTTAATTTAATCAGTTAAATAATTTTGTTTTAGTAAATCTTAATAATTAACCATATGCAGAGAATTTATGAATAAAACCTCACTAAGAAATAGGCAATTATTTTAATAGCTATCAATTTATTTGACTTAGACAAGAATAAAAATTATATTTAAAAAATCTAAATAATTGTTACTACATTTATTGATAGTAACCTAAGCTGAAAAATAATAAGTAAAATCTCTTAACCTAAAAAAACAAACAGTTAATTTAATTAAAAACAATCAATTTATCTACCCTAAACAATAAAATAATATTTCAAAATTTAAATAATTGATCCTACTATTGATATCTTAGATCGAGAAATAATAAATAAAATCTAATAATAATAAATAAAATAAAAGTTAATTTAGTAGTAATTCATATAAATTAATCAAACTAAAAAATGAAATATTTATAAACCTAAATTTATTCTTTAGTTTATAATTAATATTGAAATGAGCATTTTTATAATTTAGTTTTGAAAAACTTAATAGCTAAAATTTAAATGTTTACTCCTAATCATATGTAATACATGTGCATGCATCATAAATTTCGCATTACTAAAAATAAATAATTTTAAGGGTAAACCAGAATTTTTTATAATTCATGAAAGGTGCACTTTTTCAAAGATATAATTAGAATGTGACTAATTTTAATATGTATGTTTTTAAAATAAAATTTCTTTATCTCAAACTCATAACATTGCATCTAGAACAAATAAGTAACAAATAACAGCTACTATTTTAAATATCACATATATACTATATAAGCGTACCTTTCTTTTTTCCTTTTGGCATTTTATCCTCTTCGGTGAAATAATAATCCTGCAAATGAATAACATTTTAACTGTTAAGTGATATTATATGCATAAGCACATACATGAAAAAATTTTTCAATTAGTTTATTAAATATACAATATTTAATTATTCCGATCATACTGATTTTATAATATTTATTGATAATATTTATTACATTATATATAAATTCAAATTATTTATAAGTTCAAATTATTAATAGTTAAATCCTTTTTCTTTTGTATTCAACTAATAAAAAATTAAAGCAAATTTTTCTACTAATTTAAATTTATAAAGAAAATCTACCGAATTTTTCAAAAAAGTACTCATACAGAACGGTATTTTAAAATACAAATTAACATTACATTACTTTAATATTTTATTAAATATCTTTATATAATTTCAAGAGAACTAAAATAAATCATAAAACAAATTACGCAAAACTTTAAACGATCTATAAAATACACTTAATAATTATAAACATAAATATGAAAGTTATGCATAATGTGTACTTACCCAAAATATCTGTAGTATATATTGGAATAAGCAGAAAATTTTACTTGGAATAGAAAATATATTTTCCTTAAGTGAGTTACAAGTTTGCCGGTACTACTTATAAAAAAAAAGTTTCTAATTTCCGTTTAAAATGGGAACTGAAACTCAAATTACAGTTGCCACCGTAGATAAACACACAATCGCGTCTATTGAAGGGGATTCCCCAATTCTGACGGTAAAGACGGTGCAGTTACGATCACAGCGGAGGGACAGGGGAAATGAGGGTGATCCGAGATAGAAATAAGCTACGATTGGCTGATATAGCTGTTTCTTGAACTGTTTTTCTCGCTCTCATTCTTTGATTCGACCATTCACTAAAATACATTTCAATGATTCGCTGATAAACAAATTAACCGGCAATCATTGCTAACTCGTTGCTAATACTAGTGATGTTCAATAGCAGGTATTTTCAAATAACAGGTTACAGCTGTTACGATACAAAATAATACCGGTTTCAAATACCTGCTCCAAAATAACAAGTCTTGGAAAAAATTCTCAACTTTTTTATATTTGAAAGATAGTTTAGATTTAGAATGACAAGTATTTTTGTAACAGATACATTAGTGAAAAGTTCTGAAAAGTGTTTTTTCTTTCTATAGGTAAGAAAATATCACGAAGTTTTTTTTCTAGTTAATTTTTAAAACAATATGAAAGCAATTACATATTAATTTCTCTTTTATTCTCTATTATTAAGGTTCGGAGAAAAAACTACATTACGTCCTTTTTTATGTATATATATTTTTTCTTTTCATGAGTGACACAGAAAAACTCTTTTTACAAAATTTGCCTCTTTATAGTAAGCATTAAATAATGTAGAAAGCTTAAAGAATTTAAAGAGTTTTGCAATAGATATTGTTTCCAAATAAGAAAGAAATTAGGAGTTCCTTATTACATTCTGTTTGACGATATAACCAGAATCATTCATTTCTACAAGAAAAAAAAATGGAACTTCATAAATATTGAGACAAATTAGAAATTTAAAAAAAAGTTAATCTCTGAATTTAAAATACAACATTGCGTATTATTATTTTTAAATCAAAACAATTTAGGAGTTGCACATTATATTTTGTATATGTGACAAAATAACCAGCATTTTTTTCATTTTACAAAAAGAAAAAAATGGAACTTAGTCGTCCTTTAGAATGTTAAATTGACAAAAATTAAAATAAATGTAAGCTTAAATTCTTTAACTACATAATAAATAAAACAAAATCATTTTATAATAATAAGATGTTTATAATAATATCATTTTATAATCATATCAATAAGATGTTTATTTGATATGAATTACGTTATGCAGAACCCCGAAAAGTTCTGTGCTTATATAGAAGCTCCAGTTGCACAAAAAATGTGTAAATTTAAATATCAAATTGAAGCTTATCACTTTTAAATCATAATTAAATCGAATATCTCGTAAACAAAATTGTGTTTAAATGACTCTTTTATTTAATTTCTACAATTTCAATTTTGGCAAAGGCCCCTATTTGGTGCCGCTCTCTAGCCCCCATGAATATTTCGCAATCATCTTCGTTTTCTTTATATATATATATATATATATATATATATATATATTTCCAATGCAGCAGGTGATGCAGACATTATCCTAACGCAGTACAGAGATCAAAAGAAAAGACAAATACAAATACAGAAAGAGATGAAATATACGAAAGCAAAACATCAAACACAAAAATTAAATCANGGTTGGTTAAAATCATATATATATTTTCTCCCCTTTGTTTTGTGATTATTATTACGATCCCTTTATTAACTAATCACTTCTCCCTGACGCCACTTTCGTAAAATTACTTACATTTTCTGACATAATAAATTTAGTGAATTTTACTGATAGTGATTGATAATTTTATTTACTTAAATACCTAAAAATAGTCTAAATGCATGTAACCTCGTTCAATGCAACTTCTCAAATAGTTCGAATAACGTCATTTTATAGTTTAAACTAAAAAAATATGTATACTAAAATGTAATTGATTGAGTTTTACCAATTTGCACGAGAATTTAATTTGTAAAATATTTAACAAGTTAATCACTAATAAAGCATAATCCCAGATTTTTAAGCATTTTTTTTTTCACAAATAAAGTGAATAGTATTCAAAATAAACATCAGGAATTTAACGTAATATAAGAATTTAACATAATTTTTAAAGAAACAAGCCTTTTTATAACAATTCTAAACTTTTCTTGGTTTATTTAAATAACATTTTTCTTTCAAAACAATTAGCACATTATTTCGAATTATCACATTCTATGTAGCGTGAATTGTAATTTTAGTGTCAAAGGAAAATTCAAGATAATAAGGAAAAAAAATTCACCAAATTTGCTGTAATAGGTTTTTCTCTTTTCCTGCAGAATATTATCATTTAAAAATTTACGATTTATTTTCTTCAAATATTCAAAATAAATTTTTTAAGTAACAAAATTATAGGCAATGCCAGAGAGACATCTATTTGTATGCGATTGGACAAAATTCAATGAAATGACAAATCATTCTTAAGATAGAACATTGACTGAATTATAACAAATACCTTGGAGGGAAATAAAGGACACACCTTCGTGTAAAGATATTGAAAGAGTCGATTTCGAACTCAAGAATCCGAAAAGGAAGCCGCACCAATAGCTAGGGAGGTGACCCAAAAGTTAGGGGGCCAATGGCGTAAAGCATGGATTCTCGAAGTAAACTCCTTGGTTAGATGTCCCCCAAAGGACGATTGTAATTAATGCAGTAAACACAGTAAGCGTCAAAAAGAACCAATGAAAAAATTTGGAGCATTTTTATGTAAATGTAAGCTGTAGTACCCTATTGTGAGCAATTCGCTATTTGAAATAAAATATTCTGAATTTTTTATTAGAAGTTTAAAATATATAAATTTAAGGACCCCTAAAACTTTGTTACTAAACTTCATTATTAAATCACATTATATCTTTATAAAATATTTTGCTTGAGCCGAACATCTCCTAAACAGTTTCCTGATAAAAATAATAGCAATGTAATTAGTTTTAGAATCCTTCCTTAATCGCCAACTATATGCTTCCTTTGGCTGAAAGTGAAAGTTAGGAATTGTTTCTCCTTTTTTTCCTCTCATTAGTTTCATTTACTTTTCTAATTCAATAGATAAAATAAACACAAAGTATTTGATAGATTAATAAGAAAAAAAGTACATATTATTCTACTCCCCTTCATCCTCTCTGCACTATTGTACTACCCTTCATGCTTCGTCATCTGCATTAACATTGAAAGTCACAACTCTAAAACTTGCAATTTTTATATCTTAATAATTAATAACCGGATTTCTTATGAATTTTAAAAATTATATAAAAATATTTTACTATGTAGTTGAAATGATTCATTGTTTATGTGCCAGTGTTTTCATTACAGAAAAAAAATGAGAGAGAATTTCTCACCCTTCCTCAAAAACAGGGTGAGATTTCAAAAAGTTAAGTGAGATTTCTAAAAATTAAAAAAAAAAACCCGAATATACTTGGAAATAAATTATTTCTTCAATTATAATACATTTTTAACATCTTTCAATTGAATATTTTTGCTGCATCATCATATGGAAAATGTTCTATATCTACTTTTTCATCAGCTATTATATTTATTTGGCAGAAAAACCTCCGTATTTGTTTCGTTTTTACCGTTTCTACCGAGATTTGTTTCATTTTCATTTGTCCACTACGGAGTAGAAGATGTCGCCTTAACAAGTAAGGTATTTGTCCATCTTAGATTCATGCACAAAAAATATAAACGTCTTACATGAAGAAACCTTACTTACGGTGAACACGTGGTTGCAGAGAAATGTGTTCCGAAAGGGATTCCGTGGTTCGAGAGGGGGGGGGGGGGCTCTAAGGTTCGCACCGGTTCTGAACAATACTGGTAAATAGGGAAGCTAGATAACAAGGATCGATGTTCAAAATAATGAAAGATCAAGGAGGAAAAGTGAAACGGATTTTATTCAAACTGGCAAAAGACGAAATTTTTTCCAAAATTCGCGCATTTTGAAATGGATTAATAGAGTGCGCGAACTTCTCGCGTTTATCATTTTTTATTGAGAGAAAAGAAAAAAATATGCGAGATTCTCGTGTTCTCGCGCTGTAGTGAAAACACGCCGTGACTTCAACGTATATGTAGACGGAGTGCAAAAGATATGGAAAAAAAGTATAGTGTTTGATAATATAGCTTGCATATAAAGAAAATATAGTGTTTGAATACAGCTTGAATTCGCATATTTAATAATATTTTAACACCCCCATTTTATAAGGAAATGAAAAGTTAAAAAAGATTTATTAACTTAAAAAAAAAAGAAGAAAAAATGCGAAAGTGAGAGAGTAAGACGGAGGAGAGAAGAATGGGACAAAAAAAAACTAATATTTTGTACGAAATTTTCGTGAATTTTTCTATTTTACATGTAGGAAATATGTATCAATATCAAAATTAGGAAAAATATTTAAGTGCTTCTGCATTTTGCATCACAGAAAAAAAATAAAAATAAGGAAAATGCAATTATAAACAACATGCCCCTCCCATATGCCCGAGCATCAGAAGGGCAGAGGGGACTGGTCACCGTGCTCGCCATTCCTGCAAATGAGAAGGAAGACACCATTTCCAGAATTCTAAAGCAAACAACTTTGAACTGTTTCATCAGTTAAAAGGTGCTATATTTTATAAGTATAATTTATAAATGAATGTAATGATAGGTCGAGGAAATAGAATTTGAAATATATTTTTATAAATTTTATTTCTTCATTGTGATTCTAAAAATTTTATATTATATCTTATTATGTTTCAATTTTATTGTGAATTAGTATCTCAAATTTTTGTGAGAATACCTTAATAGATTATTTGCAACTTCTAATAATGTGTTTTTTAAAAAAAGTTTAATTAAAAATTTTAAAGCATATAGAAGTAATAAAAATATTTCAATGCATGTAGTTGGTATTTTATTCTATTATAAACTTGATATAGAGAGTAGATTTGTTAATAAAATGCACTTAAAGAGAAGGAAAAAAACCCACCTTGATATTTTCAGGTTGGTTAAAATCATAACTCCAAAATGTTATAATACATTTTCATGGAAAGATCCAGGGCTATGTAAAAATAGATTTCTTATAAATATAGTACAGTACAAAACCCGTTATCCAGAAATCAGAAAACCGGAACGAAATTCGATAAATTTTCCCGCCATTTTTTAAAAAAAATTTTTTTTCCTCATAAGGTTTTAGAATTTTTCGTTCTTTTTTTAAAGATGTTTACCTTACCATTTTGGAAATAATCATTAGTGTATTACTCTATCGTTTTTTCTTCTTTTTAAGATTATTTCCAAAAAAAATTTTTTTTTACTTGGGTTTAACAATAAAAAAACGGCTTTTTGTTGCGAATCAGAAAACCGGAAAAATCAGTTATCCGGAATAGCGATGGTCCCGATCGTTCCGGACAATCGGTTCCCTACTGTATAATAAATTGATCGTTTGTTGGATATTTTCCGCAGAAAACATATTTATTGGGAAAAGTATAGTTATTGACATCAGTTAACTTACTTTCGTTTTGTATTCATCTAACTTTCACAAATGTTTTAGATATTGCAAATTTTTTTCGCCTCATAAATTCCTGACACCTTGATTACACCAATCATTTTTAATCTATTAGCAAACTTATATTTTTTTTTTCATGTATGAATAATGCAACAGATATGTATTGAAAGAATTCCCACATGGTTAGATCAAGCAATAGTGTTTATAAGTACAGTTGAATTGTCATAAATAAATGAGTGGAATTTGTGTAAATATGTCATAAATAAAACTAGAACATAATAAAGATAGAAGTTTTATTTATGCTTCATAGCTTTTTATTAACATAAAGCGTAAGTAATTAATATACACATAACTGAATCATACGTAATCACTTTTTGATGCAAAAACTAGATAATCACAAAAAAGTACCACAAAAAATAAAACAAGTTTAGGTATTTTTGCAGAATGCAATTACTTTGCTTTTCTAGCATAGCACTGTTACATAAAGCTTAAAAAAACACTGGATGCAGTTTTCACTTCCATAACAGTGCAGTCAAATAAACAACTAAAGAATAAACATATGACTTAGTTTTGAAATGTAAGAGCAGTTTTGCAGTTCTTCTTAAAAAAATAAATAAAAAAAAATAAAAACCAGAGCTTTGTTTTTTCTGTCTTACTTCAAAACAAAATAAAAAATATTGACTTACATTTGAAAGCAATTGAATATTGATTGTATATTGCACGTAACATTTAGTAAACAGAATATTATTTTTAATATATTACATTCAATAAAACATTTAAATTTTGAACGTTTTTCTAGGGTTTTCAAAAAACTGTAAGATTGTGAATTTTTAAGCCACAAAGAGTTATGCAAGTAATAAATAAACATAAGCATGGCTTTTAGTAATCATCATAGTTATCTAGGAATAAATAAAAAAATAATTATGTAAAATCAAATGCTAAACACTTAAGTTGGAAACAAAATTGAAAAAATAGATGCTTTTAGACAATTTATTTTGTTTTATTTTTTTAAATTTCAATCCTTCAATAAATACTAAGTTAACAGAGGTTTTTGCTTAGGCAAAACAAAACTATGTATTGAATGTGTTCAATTTAAAAGTCCGCAAATAGTTTTACAGGTATAAAATGACTAGACATGTACAATAAGAATATAAGAATAAATGTTCATCATAATAGACTTACAATAGTATTGTTTTTGTAGTGTCTTTTCTTATGCTAAAATCTTTATTTCAGTGTTTTGCTAGAGAAAAAACCAATCCCAATACGTATTCATAGCTATCAATACATATTTATTTACTGTATTTTAAAATCAAATTTGAAATTGAGTCAACTCAAGCAAACACAAAAGAATGAAGAAGAAAATGTGAGAAAAGGTCACAAAGGCATTTTTTAAGTAATCAGATTTATCTGGAGAAAAACTTGGATTACATGGTAGACTTCATAAATTGGGAATTTTGATTAAATGATGGTTATGTGATTAAATGTTGAAATTAATAGCACGAGAACTAAAAGTTGTAATAAACCCACTGCTATAATACGAGTCAATTGCACAATATTTTATTTTAAAAACTTACTAATAAATGTTTTCTTTTAATAATTTTATTTTCTATTAAATTTGTTATTTCATACAATATTTATATAGTACATAAGCATTGGTCATTATTTTATACAAGATTTATATAGAACATAAGCATAGATCATAACTCTTTTTTAACCCCTTCGAAGCTTTTGCAAAATTTAAATGAGACGTAATATACTAGCAAATAAAATAAGAAGAATGCTTTTTTGAAAAATAATTTATATACTTTCTTGTCACATTACCCAAATAAAAAATATTGTACAAAGTTTTCAATTTTAAAGGCAAGGCTATGTCAACAGGAATAGTACCTCAGACGAAGTACATAGTGTTTTTTAGAGTATCTATAACCTTAATGGCATTGATCACAGCATCAGGTAATGGATGAAAAGTAGAAGCTGAATCAGTACTATCCCCGCTTGATTCATCCAGCATTGATACAAGGTATTGGCGAGTTCTAAATGCAGCCAAATGAGCATATATGACTGGGGCTGGACTTGATATGCTTTTGGTACAACGCACATAGGTATGACATAGGTAATACGTTAATTTGTGTAGGTCATCAGCAGAGAAGTTGTTGTCGTCAGTTAACACGGTGTAGTGGCAAGGTCGACTGGTACCTAAAAAAAAATATAATAAGCAATGAAATAGTATTCATCATCAAAGTTTAACAAACATTTTCTGTACTTGGTTATTTAATTTTGTAGACAAATTTAATATTTTTTTCATGGCATATATGAATAATTAAGTTTTTATCAATTGATATATTGGTTTGGCGAGACTCATTTCTGCTTTTAAGCATAAAATAATTTTTACTGTACAAATAATGAGCTTTAACCAGTCTAACATCTTCCATTCTGTTTGATGACCTTTTGCCACCTTTCTGGTCCTTAACAAAAAACTAAGTGCGATTTCAGACTATTATTACTGAGATTTTTACCATTTTAAAAGTTCTGCAAATTTAAAAATGAATGATAATAAAATGGTATAGGGTTGGGTCTCTATATAGAGGATAATTACATTTACAGGGAAGAAAGAATTAAGAAGTTTAGAAGAAAAGAATTAAGATATTGCACCATAACTAAAAATTAACAAAATACATTTAATGAAGTCATGAAAACAAATAGTTTATCTGAAGAAAAAACTAAACAAACTGAGACACTTATCCGTTAGTTGGATAGCATATGAAAATCCACATGCCAAAAAATGGTTGCCAAGTTCATAAAATTTAAATTTAGTTAATTACCTTGAACTCGTTAGAACTAACCTTTAAAGAGTCTAGTACTAACCTTTAAAGAGTATCTTAATTTTTTTTAAATATCTACAAAGCAATAATAGTTACCTTGTAATCCAAAATGACTGCACAGGAAAAAATCGAAATTCAATGGATGAACGACAGTGTTATCAACTGTCGTACCAGGCGGTATATTTTTCATTCTGCCTACACCATCTCTTGCATCTTGGGGCATGAAACGAGTATGGTGTCTTTTCTGAACAACAACAAAGGTTATTCCAGGTTCGTAGCCAGCTTGGATTTCTTGACAAGCTTCACGGATGGCTGTGACTTCATGTCTCATGACATGCTCAAACTGTCCCTCACTTACACCATCTCTGTAGAAGATGATTTTTTCAGGCTTCTTACCCCGTGTGTTTTTATAGAAGGCAGACAGAAGGTCCTTAACCATTGATTTCAACTCCAATATGATCTCAATTGCCTGCTTCTTTTCATCCACATTAGTCTGAGCTCGTACAGTGACAGCGTAACGAGAGGGATGCGAGTCGAGGCTACCAACAGCTGCAGCAATAGAGGGCTTTATATCCTTTGAAGGACTAGGGTGCGTAACATCTGCACCTATTATAAGAACAGGTCGCCTCAATATTTCAGGTGTTTCCCCAGGGGTTAATGAATTATTTATTCCTCCCATCTTTGCATTGATCTTTTGGCAAAGGTTACTGACTAAAGGAGGATTACATTTCTTGACGACATTATCATCTTTAACACATTGAGTAGTCAATCCAAGCACAGTTTCTGCAGCTTGTTTAATCTCACCGTAGATAGCCTTATTCGCACCTGGAACTGCAATAACAGCTAACTGAGCATTGTACTTCTTTTTCATCTCAGTCAACACTGCTTTAACTGAAACTCTGCGATTGTCGATAATATCAACTAGTTGAGGTCTGCCGATTGAAATACCGGATTCTCCAGCAATATTAACTAACAATTTGGCAAATTTATTCAAGTGCTCATGAGTACAAAATCGTGGACCTCCAAAACTTAAGAAAACCCAGGAATCAATTTCAGCTCCTTTAAAGAACTGTTTGCCACGCATATCCCATGAACCATCATTAGGCACTATTTTAGACTCGTTATAGCGAACACTTGGAGGACCTAAAACTCTGCCTTCAAGTCTTAACGGTTCATTATATACTCTCATTCCAAATTCTTGTAGATACTGATCACGGCTGTAGTCTGCCCTCTTCAGTAAATCTCTTATCTCATCAAAACGTGCTTTGGGAGGTCTAGCAGTGAATTTAATCATTTCTGCATTCTGCCTTTCTTCCAGTTTTTTCTTACAGTGTTGACCTTCAACCATATCACAAACCTCAATGGGCAAATATATTTGCTTTGCTGCAGGATTTACTTGTAAGCAGGGAAGGTGAGGAAAACGAAGTTGCCTATTATACTGCCTTCGGAAATAATTTGCTACAGTCTCTCTTCGATTAACTCCATTTTCAGTGATGTTAAACTCTAATCTATCAGCTCTTTCACGAGTTAAAGTCAAAATGCGATATTTCCGTTTATATGTTAAATGGTTTACTTCAATTCTCATGTTTTTCAACTCTTTTGAAATTCTTCTAATATCAGCATCCCTGAGAGTCGTGTTCTCTAAGCCAGCAATGTTTGTCCTCAAGAATTCTGCAATATAATTAAGAACAGGACCTTTCTGGTAAAAGGTTGTGGCAGTGATATCGAGGTTAACCATAGGTTTCCACTGACCAAGTCTCAAACTTTGATGATAACCAAACCAAATTTCTCTTCCACCACCCAGAGGGTGAATGTCCTGCTCAGCAGGTGGGTAAAAAAATGAGCGACCAACTGGAAAAAACCGCTGACAAGGTCGATGTCTTAAAATAGTTTCAACAGCCATCACGGCTTCTTGATCAATTGAACTTATATGACCTTCAAACAAGGCTTGTAGTGAATCCAAGCTGATTGCACAAGAGGTGCTATCCTTCTTTCTCACAGGCTGAATATTAACCACAAAATCATCAGTTCTCTCATCAGCTGGATTTTCTGGAGGCATTTGAACATTACACTTCAGAGGAGGATTCGGAATATTCAAGGGTCTCTTAGTATATAAATTTTTTCTACCATCATATGCCGCATGCAAGTTTTGAAAATGGGGATCAACTCTAAGCATTAGATCAATTATTTCTCTGTTACGCTTTGTGCTCATGCAGCGATATTTTTTAACATCTTGTAATGCCGGAATTTGCGCTACTTTTTTTGGTTCAGCAGCTCTCCTTTTGCTAACTATATCTACATCATAGTGATATACACTGCCTCGGGGTAAATCAATACTGAAGCAATTGGATATCAATCTGATAACTCTTCCAGGCGGACGCTGTGAAGGTTTGGGTTTTCGTGGTAATGAAGATTGTATTTGCATTTTATATTCTAGCTCAATACCAAGTTGTTCTGGGTCAACTCTTCTCTCTCTTCTTACTTCCCTCACAGGTGGTGGTTCTTCCCGTGGAGGAGGTTGAGTATCTGAGAAGAAAAATAAAAGATGATCAAATCCAGTCAGTAGTTCTGTAAATACAAATTAAATACCACAGTTTAAAATTAGAACCCAAATGAGAAATCCAAAAACTTAAAATTTTTCTTAGTTATTTCCTTATAATATTGTTGAAATATAATACAGGGTTTAAAATTAACAGTTGTCTATCTGTATGGCACCACTGAAACCTCCTGCCTCAGTGAACAATCACTGTGAAGTGGTTATACAATGGTATTTTTAAGGAGCTATTCCCAATAAAAATCAATTTCTAAAGGGTAGGCATTCAGTTTTTTTTAATTTTTATTATTTATTTTTTTACAAAATCTGTTTTTGACTAGGAATTTAAGAGTGCAGCACTGTTTACCCAATTAAGTGTTAAGTGTAATGGTCACTCCAGTCGAGATTTAATTCCCTGTAATTTCTAGAAAAAGTAGAAATGTTTGCAAAAATATTTTTGTTTTAAATTGCCAAAATTTGAACTGTAATTATAAAATTTGCGGAAGTATATTTATTTGTATTAGTAATTCATAGCTAAATGTAAATTTATATTGAAACAGGAATACTTTACAAATTTTAAATATTTAACAAATTTTAAACTTAATTTGTTAAGTACGTATTTCAAGTCTATAAGAATCAGTTAAGATTAAAGATATTAAGAAAAATGGAACTAGATTTATGTGGACATTAAAAATGAATTTAATTAAGTTGAACTAATAAGGGAAAAAAATGTAAGTACCAATGGATAAGAATTATAAGATATAATCTGTTAAATTAGGTAGAAAATTACAAGACTGAATAAGAAAAACAAAACTGCTAATGCTAAAATCTCAAAAGCTTCTATGCAATATGGGGGTATCTTTAAATTTTCTGATTGAAATTAAACATATGCAACCGTTTAGTAAATCATATAAAATACATGTCATTTTAATCTTTTTTTTTAAAGAAAGTTTAATACAATCATTTAAAATTTATATAAAAGTCTAGTTTAATAAAATAAGTCTTATAAAATATTAAATAACAGAAGTCCTACTTAATATTCTATAAATCAGTAGAAATAGAATAAATAGTATAAAAATGTATACTTTATATACGAGTTGAATAAAGCAATTATAAAAACACAGCAGTGTCATAAATTTTTTTATTTGTTTAAATTAACTATATAGCAATAAATTTTAATAATAAAATAATAAAACGCACAAAATTATGGTGATTTTAGTTTTTGCACAGAACTTGATTGCAAAGTATTTGATGTAATTTAGAAGAAAAAAAAGTAATTCAAAGAAGTAACTAAGCTTGACTAAAGAGATTATTTATTCCCCCCATTTCAAATCTGTGATTCCAAAGACTATAAATCAGTGAAAATATTAATCAATACAATTAAGGAAAATCAATGAAATCAGAAAATGATTTAGAATTGCATGCAACTTGTATCTCTCTTTTAAGAAAACAATGCTAATAAATTATAAAATAAAGCATTTAAAAATTGACAGAGATGGAAAATATGGCGAGTGAGAAAATTCAAGACATGAAGAAGTGTAATGCATAAAAAATATAATGAAACAGGCAACTTAGAAGCTAAGCTGAATTTTCTGACAATAAACATTCGATCAAAAAGCTCAAAGCAATAAAGTTTTAATTCAGAGTTAGTTATTAACAATGCATATTTTTATTAACATTTCAATTTTTGTGCTTCTTTATAAGTTTTTTATTAATAAAAAAAATTAAATAATTTTTTAATACCTTACTAAAATTTTTATCTTTTTGTCACTTTCTTCAAAAAGTACAGTATAGAGTATTTAGGTTCAAACTTTAACAGTTTCTTACAATCATTTGAGACATTGTACAAATACCAAATTTGAGTTCAAGCCATTATTTTAAGAAAGAAAACTTATTTACACAGCTTCTACAATTATTGGAAACTTTAAACGTAATTATAAAAAGTAGATTTTGGCAAAGATTTTTCTCAAAATTATATTTCCTTATGAAACTAGAAATATGCTTTAGAATACATTTTGAAGAAAACAATTTGTTACATTTAGAGCAAATAGAAATAGAAGGAAAGAAAGAAAGAAAGAAGACCTAAATAAAATTTTTTAGACTTTTTATGAGACAATTCTATAGAAAACATTTGTTTTTCAAATTATTAATATGCTACATATATTTCAAGTAAAAGAAAGTAACTATGGAAAATAAAGATATAACACCTCCCTAAATTATGATTTCAAAGTAAATTTAAAATCTACTCTGAATTATAGCATTTTTAAGGCACATTTCTTGTTTAATCTACGTAGTAATTTATGAAACATTCTTTCTGAAATCTTATAATCCTTTTAGAAGAAAATATTCTTTTATGAAGCAGCATATTAAACAAGAAAAAATAAAATAGACCTTCCTCTAAGGTTCATATTTTATTTACATAAATAATGCTACAAAAAAAAATCAAATTACCAGGTGGTGGTCCTGTTTGTTCTGGTCTTCCAGGAGCTTGTCTTTGTTGATCATCAGGACCTCGCACTATATGTATGAAAAATTGTTTTTTAAAATTTTTACAAAAAATGAATCTATTTACATTTATGTGCTAGGGTTTATTTATAAGAAAAAAATTGGGTGTATTATGTGACCCTTCACAAAAAAAGACACACCAGTGACAAAATATTTTATGACAAAATTAAAAACTTCACAAACTATTCTTTTGAAACAAAACATTCTTTCGTTATACACTGTAATGTGAAGGTGTTGCTTTTCTGTATATAAGAAATGGCATAAAAAAACAAACCCCTTTAATTTTGAGAATTGGAAAAAAGCTGTTTAACCTTCTTTAAAGAAGCCAATTATCCTTTTTCTTAAAAATGCAAAAGCTAAAACTCACTATGTTTCATAATACAGGGAGAAACATCTTCAAAAAACTAATAACTTTAAAAAACCCACATTTAAAGTGATTCCAGATTTAACAAGCAAAATAGAATGTTTCGTGTGGTAAAATGTCATAAATGCATCAAAATGTACTCCTTTAGTGAGAATTTTTTTTCACTTCGCAGGGAAATTGTTTTCGTAGAATGGGATAATATCAGATTTTAACTAGATTATTATTAAGAAATATGTTTTGGTGTCATTTAGTTAAATAATTTTTTAAAAGGTTAACAAGAACAGAGGTCCAACCTTCAGAGAAAGTCAAATTTTTAGCCAGTGTGGACTGTTAGTCCATTGTCTAACTTCTAGGGGATACAGAAAGAATTTTGAAGGAGTTTCAATATTGCCAGAGATGTACCAAAACATTTCTGGTTTCACAGTTCGATGTAAATAAAGCTCATACCTGACCCTTCCTTTTCTTGAAAGTGTGCTTTTCATTCAGCTGTTTAAGATATGGAAATGAAAGCCTCACACGTAAAAGAAAAAATTAAAAGAGAAAAAAATTGCAATATGTAATTAAAATATTTAAATTTAGTAATTAACCTAATTTATTTTCTTATGTTTAATTTTTTAAACTAATTATAAATATAGACTTGGTAAATTGAGTATTTTTCTTTAACCAGAGTCCTTTGTAATTGCGGGAAATGCTCTATTTATCTTCAGAACTTTTTTCTTTTACTCAAAAAAGTAACTTCACCCCATTAATAAATAAATTACATAAAGTCTATTTTTAATTGCCAGGACAACCTTACAAATTCAGAAAAACACTTAACTATAAACCAAATAACAATGTAACGGAAATACACTGTGTAAATTGCGCATTCTAATTTTGAAAACTGATTTTATGGCAGAAGAATAATAAAACAAGTATATTTACTTAATTTTTAGAATAAATTCTCAAAAAGCCAGGCTTTTTATTTTATTTTTTAAAGAATAAATTTTTTAAAAATATGATTATAAACAATTCTTTATCTTTATGAACACCATAACTGCCAACATGGAGAAAAACTCCAGTGGATTCCAGAATTCAATTGAAATTATATACGAGAAAAAGCACACTATTATAATATGTAAGGAATCAAAGACACATTCAGAACAAAATACAAATTTGTCATTTTTTCGGGACTTTAGAGATGAATGAAAATTCTATATGATTCGTTATGAGTTTGATAGCATTTCTTTTTCATTTTAAAGTCATCCATAGTAAAATTAATTTGAAATCATCCTCAAGTAAGCCTCAGAATATTGGATCCAATCAGGTCGGATGGAATACTATTTTCCCTGTTTCTTTAAAAAAAAAAAGATACCTTTAACATAGGCATATTTTCATAAACGTTAAAAAACCCGGGAGAATTCTAATTAATCCGGGAAAGCGGGAGAATCGTGCGAAATTCAGTAGTGTCCAGGAAAATCCAGAAGGGTTGGCAGCTAAGGAACATGCATTTATGTTTATGTAATGGCATTCAGATCTTACAAAACGAAAAAAAATCTTTGAACTCATGATTAACTATATATTTTTTAAGTTCCTCTCAGATCAATAATTAAACTGTGATGCAATTATTAAAATAATAATTAATACTAATTTAAAGCAGGTTTGAGTTGTCACATGAATTGATTTGTTAATCCACTTACTTTGAGGTCTTTGTTGTTCTTGTCTTGGGGCATCTTGTCCAGAGCCTTGTCTAGCAGTACCTTGCCCTTGCCCAGGATCAAATCCTGGCGGACCTCGCCTGGCATCAAATCCAGGTGGCCCTTGTCTGGGAGGTCCCTGTCTAGGAGCTTGACCTTGTCCTGGAGGATGTTGTTCCTGTTCTTGTCTACCTACTCCTCTTCCACGGCCTATAAAATATAGTTATACAAGTTACTCAACGAAATATGATCAACTTATAATAGAAAGTACAACAATCATTTGAATATTGAGTAGCCCTGCCATTGCAAACTAGTGTAGAGGTTAGCGACACCAATAAAATAACAAGTTAAGTTCATCTGAAATGAAAAACCATAAAGAAACTTCTATGCCAATCTAATTTTGAATGCAATATTTAATGAAACTTTTAAATTTAGAACAATATTTAATTAATCAATTTCAAAAATTAGCTTTAAAATCAAGTTTTGATTGTAGAAAGTAAAATAATTTAGCCTTTAATCTGATAAATATTTCAAAGCACAGCTTATTTTATTGTTTGCGTTAAAACAAAAATTATTTTTCAGGCTTTACATAATTATGTCAGGCTTTATTAATTTTTCTTCTTTCTGAAATAATCTGACAGATAGCAAAAACATCAAGTCACTTCTATGGTGACTTGCAACGAAGGGTTAGGTGGAGATTCCGGGAGAAAAATTATGCACAAAACATTGAAAGTTAAATAGTCTATCAGAAATACTTTTACAAATGGTACGCTTATAAAAAGCAAAGATTATATACAAGAGCGAAATAAAAAAGTAAAAATACATCTTAATTCTCAAAAAATTTTTGTTTTAAAACTGAGGTATCTCAGTTTTACTATATTTTAAGGAAAGAGTGAAGAAAAAAAAAGTCGATAAAAACGCTGCTTTTTTAAAAAGAAAAAGCTAGATAAAAAATCAAAACAAAAATCCTTCATAATTTTTAAATGAAAAATTTCTAACTCCAAAAAATCACAATTTTACTATCTCTCATTTTATTTTATAACCCTCGTTGACAATACAAATATGAAAATATACAAGAAAGACTGATAAAAATGCTCAGATTAACTTACCTCTGCCTTTTGGAGGCATATCTAAATCAAAGTTTTCAAAACACTTCTTTTCAAAACTAGAAAAAAATAATTAATTTAAACTTCTTCTCCCAAAAAATAATCAGAAATAAATAAAAATAGTGATCACGATTGCTAGTAAGAAATATGGCCACAGAAAATAAATCTGGCCAGATAGGAGGTCACTGACAATTGGAATTCGGTATTTGATGTTAAAAGCTAGTTTTTGACATTACATGTCAAAAACTTAGGACAAGTTTCTTTCGTTTCATAGGGAACATTTTATTAGATAATAAATCCTGCATAATAGTCGCATTATAAATTATGATTTAATTATATATCATATATGAAGGAAAAAATATAGCCAAAATGATTGAAAATATTAACTGGCTTTTCTAAAAACATGGTACTATAAATAGTTTAAGATCGATATTATTTGCAATATTAAAATTATTCAGTTTCAACTCATAGTTAATGCCGGTAATATACAACAGTCGTTGAAGAGCAGAACCAATTTTGGTTTTACGACTACCTATGTTCAACTGCGTAACCTGTTGTTGTTGCTTATCCTCATAGATCTGACATTAGTCCGATCAACTCCAAAAAGTTGTTGACAGCCAGAAAGTCGATGACAAGAAGGGGATCGGAAATTAAGTCCACCTGGACAGTCCGACACAATCAAGTATATGTTTCGGTGAGACTGGTCGGATACAGCATTTTTTACAAGTCGGATAAATTTTTGTGCCACGTTCGAATGTTAGATATTTTAGGTGGCCAGTTGAGAATCTGCACAAGAGCACAAGGCAGTCTGGGAGCTTCGATCACAATTGATTTCCGGAAGGGTGCCAGGAGCTGTTGCGGTGTACAATTGGTGCGTAGGTGGAGTTTGACAAATTGATTTTCGTCTAAATTTTCCATTGGAGTAAAGTTCCTGATAAGTAAGTGATGACCCGGTGGGCATATCTTCCTCACTGCCCTCTTTGGCCGATCTATCTGCTATCTCGTTGCCACCAATATTAACATGTGATGGAATCCATTGGAGATGCATGTCATGGTGCTGAGAAATCTTTTTCATCTTGTGCAGGATAGATATACTAGTTTCATTGCTTGCAGAGGACCAGCTACTAAGATGTTGCAGGGCACTGCGGCTGTCCGATAAAATCCAGAGTTCTCCATAATCACTGTCGTAGGGTAAGATAGCGTCAAGCCCCTACTGCGTAACCTTGTAATTTTGAACCCGATCCAGAAGATAAGGGAACTCCTGGATCAAGTATATGAAGAAATTTGCCTTCGTGGAGGACTTTTTTATGGAATTGACCCGTATTTGCGTTGCATGGAGTGGAAAACCACATAAACGTCACACAGCTAGGCTGACGGCAAGGGGACTCTAACCCATGATCAGTCTACAACTGAGTACATTTTATGTCAGAACTGCAGTCGGCATGACCCGCGTGCGGAATTCGTATTGACTAGCCATTTTTGGGATTTGAACCTAGTCTAGTGGAAAGAGAATGTTCAACCCTCCGATACCAAGCCGCGTCTTAATACAAGTGATAAATATTAGTTGTTAACAATTATTATTGATCTGAATATTGATTTTAAATCTTTTATGTTGTTAATACGAGTTATTTTTCTTTACCGTGTTGAAATGCGTTGTTTATTTTTTGCAACTGATTAGAATTTGGGATTTGCCTGGCACAGAAGAGAGTGCAGTGGCACATTTTTAAGAGTTTGAAATGAGTTCTTCTAAGAAATACGAATGGCCACGATATGGAGCTGTATATCAAAACTGATAAGCAATGGAGGTGCGCAATGTAAAGGGGTGTAATAAGCGAGTTGTTATTTCAAGGCTGCCACTGGATGAAAATAAGAAAAATAGTTGCTTTAGTAGCATCATATATGAAAAAAAGTCTCCCAAATAGTCTCCAAGATATGTAAAATAGTTGCCGACATCGTATCCTCCTCTAACATAATTTTAATTATTTGTGCTGTAATAGTATAAAATTCAAATAGTATGCAGTTAGATACTCACATTTTATAAAATATGTACATTTATTTGTGGATTTGCCTACAATATATAGATAGAGCAATGCTGAAGGAACTGCTGTAGGACACTTCCAACCATTTTAAAAATATCTATTTTTTTTCTTTTTAAATATCTATTTTTAATTCTATTCTTTCTGAGGCATAAAGCTTCAGATATCATAAGAAACAATAGTTGTAATTTAAAAAAAAACATTGAAAAAAAACTAGGGACTAAAAACTTTAGGCATTATAAAAATGAAGTAGAAATGATATTTACTTTCATGCATAATTTTTTTGTAACCTTACTATAAAATAAAAATTTAGCATATAACTAAGGCCCAGATTTTGATGACATTTGCATTTTTTTTTGTTGCATTTTTGGAAATTTTTTGTCATTTAGATTTTGGGGCGTATTTTGCATTTTAAAGCATTTTTTAAGTTTTTTGTTAATTTTTTCCAATTTTTATTATTTTTTGGGGCATTTTTATTACATGAAGAACAAGATTTGTCTTATAATTTGTCTTAATTCAGAAGATGCTGCATCAATTAAGATAGCGCAAAACGTGTAGGCCTCTGATAAAATCGAAGGAAACTTATCATTTATCAAGTCTAACTTTGCTATTGTGTCCTCGACAATTACAAGCTTGGAGAAACAAGAATTGGAACTTTGCGATGCAATAAATTATATTGACGTACTGAGTCAAGTGTTGCAAAAAGCAAGGGGAAAGATAGTACAAAGATAGTACAAAGTGTAGCAGCTAAATTGAACAAAGTTTTGAAGAAGAACACTGGCTTCCAAACAATGAAGAAAATCTCTAGGATATTAACAGGTGAAGCAACATCTTTTCAAATTGAAGAAGAATTGTCAAGTGAGTGTCAAAGTGAGATCGTCTTTTTCAAGTACGCACCAATAACATCAGTAGACGTTGAAAGAAGCTTCTGCAGGAATGAAAATTTACTTTCAGACAAGAGACGCTCGTTTACATTTCAAATTATCAAAAAACATTTAATAATCCAATGTAATTCTGATATTTAGTAATATTATGATATGGAAGTTGTTATATCCATCAAAGTTTCTATACAAAATAAAAATATTTTGGTGTCAATATATTTTCCTTTTTTTGTTATTTTAGGATATAAAGAATATTTTTCAAACTTTAATGAACGTAAAACAAGTAGTGCATTGCTTTGTATTTTTCGAAATGACTCATAATAATTTTAAAGAGTGAAAATTTTTTTTAGTTCGATATTTTTACTTTATTTAAGCCATGTCATAAGTCATGTTTTTAGCGCAATGTTCGCATTTTTAGAGCATTTTTTAAGGGTATTTTTTGCACTTTTTAAGAGCATTTTTTGCACTTTTTAAGATCATTAGTTGAGATTTTTTAGGTCATCAAAATCCGGGCTCTACATATAACAAACAAAATCTGCATTTTAAATAATTTTACTTAATAATTTTAAGCAATAATATGAAAGGAAAATTATTATATAGGTACGAATAAATTAAAATTAAGCATTTTATGATAGAAAATAAAGTGAGGAAAAAACAGACAAGTTTGTATAAAATGTGAAATTTATTGTTTTTTTTTAAACATTTTCTTGGGGCTTTTACCGTAGAAATCAATTAAATTTTGTTTTCCTTTTATGAACAAGTTTATTAGTTTTAACCGATTCAATTTCATGTTATATCTTTGTTACACGTAATATTTCAGCAGCGTCCAATACCTTGAGCAATTCTTATTTAAACAGTATCATTTTTTTAATGGCATCGTTTAAACGCTCATTTCCTTCTTTAAGTAAAGAGTCTGCTGATGACTGCATCTCTTGATGCTTCTCCGTTAAAACTTAATCCCTTCTTTTTTTTCTCTTTATTTCTTCCTTTAATATTTCCGATTTTTTCTTTTCCTCTTTTTCTGTAGCTTCTTTCTCAGCTCTCTTTCCTTAGTCCTTTTGTGTTCTTCTCAATATGCAAAATACGGATTACGGGCACTATAGGTTAAGCTTAAAAGTTTTTTATATAATAGGTATTTCTGAAACATTTTTAAATTTTTGTATACCATATTTCATATCGAGCCTAGCATTTAACATTTTCTCAGACACTGATGCCTTCTCTTGAGAAAGTACCCTGGAAGATATAGAGAAATATCTCTCTACATCGCTATGGCCGTGAGATATTTTAGTAGGTGCAATTCAGATATAAAGACATATTTTTATTAAACCTTTAATTTTTATAACAAAATATCAAAGACAATTTTATTTATCTTTCATCTAGGAACATAATTTAAACTGTATATTAATATTTAAAAAAATAAAACCATGTTCGAATATATAAGGATTTGTTGTAAAGATACAATTGGAAACACAAAGGATTTAGATTTTTTTTAATTTAAGTGGATGCAATTCAGAAATAAAAACATTTTTACTATAAATAATACTTGATACCAGTTCATTAATTCTTGATTAAGATGTATGATTTAAATTAAACATTAATATTTAAAAATATTGAATCAAACAATATTCAAATTTAAAAGAATTTGTTTTGATTAAATTTTCAATTATAAAAGAACATTTTTTAAAGGGTCCAATTAAGAACGATGAACATTTGTTTCACTAAAAGAGCCATGCTGTTGTTTCTATTGCTTATTTATTACATATAGTTTCGTCGACCGGCGAGATTCGAACTCCCGTTCTCACGAACATGAGTCCAACGTCTTACCAGCCAGGCTATTTTGTCTCTAAAGAGTCATATTACTCGTATGTAATTCTCTTTAAGCTCCATGCAAAGTTTTAACGCATTAACTTAATTTTAGTCGAATATTAATTTTTAAAAATATTTCATGCAGTTATAATTTTAAAATAAGAATATTTTTTTTACAGGTTACTGTTAAAAATTTTCTTTATATCCAATAAGTTCGTGAACAAATTTTTGCATGACATCTTTTAAAAACGGTTTTTATTTTTTTATTTTTTCAAAAAAGATATATAATATATAAAAGTTATATAATAGATATATAATATATCTCGATCATGCCCTATTAACAGAAAACTAATAATTTTTAATCATTATTTTAATTTTGAAATCAATGTTACAGAAATTAAAAGAAAAACCATTAATTCCCAGATTTTTTTTAAAAAACTATTAGTTGCTTCTTGAAAGCTTTTTACATTATTGCAAATTTTATTAATTCTAAACGATTAAGAAAAAACTAAATTTTCGATAATTTTACTGCGCAAATTGGTATCAAAATTACAGAAAAAAATAGCCTTAAATTTAAAAGCCTTCCTCTTATCATAACCACCAATTTTTAATTTGATTATTAGCAATATCAACATTTAAGCAAGTTTCATTAGTTCTCTTCAAAACCATATCTTAAGGATAAATATTAAAAATAAAATCACAATTACCCCAATTAAAAAAAATTAAATCTGAAAGCTTTAAAATCATTAAACTCAAGATACTTAGCTTCAAAAAAATGTGAAAAAAAAAATATTAGCAAAAGCGCCAGAGAAAGAATTACAATGTGGAATCTCTATTTTTTCCTTATAAAAATCAAGGCAATTAAAAAGAACATTTTCAAAAAGATTAAATTTACAAATATCTATCCAATAAAATTTATCAATTTTTCCATTAATTAAATATTTATCATAAATGCCACTACAAATTTCAAGTATTTGAGCATGAGGTATACTGGTATAAAAATTTTCAAAATCAAGTATATTAATATTAAAAACATCATTTTTTTTCAATAAAATTCAAAACATCAACGTTACTATTAATGACAATATTTTTCTCAACTTTAATTTCAAGCGAAATAATTTTTAGAACATTAAAAAACTTTTCACTAATACTAGAATTATAACAATTATAGTTCCTTCTAGCAATAAACCTAAACTTTACTGGATTTTCATGAAATTTTACAATTGGAAATAAACAAGGAAAGATCATTCTATTCAATTTAAATTTTAACTTTTTACTGAAAGCAATAATTCCTTTTTCGATAACTCTTTTGTCATCCTTTAATTTAACATAAGTATTATTAGCATTATATTCCTTAATAATTAATTTTTAAAAAAAATATTTACACATAATAGAAAAGTTATTAGAAGCTTCATCAACAACTGTAATAATAAACTTATTCTTGAGAATTTTAATTTTCTCAAACAAATCTTTATCAATAACGGTTCTACTAGGATAAAAACATAATTTGGAATTATTTAAATAATATTTAACTTTTTCCACTATAGTGGCAAAAGTTAAAAAAGTATAGTGGAAAAAGTTAAAGATTAAGATCTGAACAAATCACATAAGATTGAGTATTAAACCTAAAGAATTGGGAAATTTGACCTAAAAAAGGCAAAATTTGACCTAGTGTCTGTCCATTTAATTTAATCAGTTAAATAATTTTCTTTTAGTAAGTCTTAATAATTAACCATATGTAGAGAATTTGAGAATAAAACCTCACAAACTAAGAAATAGGCAATTATTTTAATAGCAATAAATTTATTTAACTTAACCTAGAATAAAAATTATGTCTAAAAAACCTAAATAATTGTTACTACATTTATCGATAATAACCTAAGTTGAAAACAATAAATAAAATCTCTAAACTTAAAAAAAAAAACGATTAATTAAACTAAAAACAATAAATTTATTTACCTTAAACAATAAATAATATTTCAAAATTTAAATAGTTGATTCCACTATTGATATCTTAGATCGAGAAATGATAAATAAAATCTCTTAAGAAAAGTAATAATTGATTTAGCAGCAATTCACATAAATTAATCAAACTAAAAAATAAAATATTTATAAACCTAAATTTATTCTTTAGTTTATAATTAATATTGAAATGAACATTTTTATTATTTAGTTTTGAAAAACTTAATAGCTGAAATTTAAATGTTTTAATCATATGTAATACATGTCTATGCATCATAAATTTCGCATTACTGAAAATAAATAATTTTAAGGTAAACTCGAATTTTTTATGATTAATGAAAGGTACACTTTTTCGAAGATATAATTAGAATGTGTCTAATTTTAATATGTATGTCTTAAAAATAACATTTCTTTATCTCAAACTCATAACATTACATTTAAATTATCACATATAAAACCTACCTTTCTTTTTCCTTTTGGCATTTTATCCTCTTCAGAGAAATAATTATCCTGCAAAAGAATAACATTTGAACTGTTTAGTAATATTATATGCATAAGCACATATATGAAAAAATTTTTCAATTAGTTTATTAAGTACACAATATTTAATTATCCGATCATACCGATTTTATAATATTTAATGATAATATTTATTACATTATACATATGTAATAAATATTATATTCTCATATATAAAATATTTGGATATATTTTTTAAATATTAAAAAATATATCCAAATTATTTATAAGTAGTAATAATTAAATCCTTTTTCCTTTGTATTCAACAAATAAAAAATTAACGCGAATTTTTCTACCAATTTAATTTTAAAAAGAAAATCTGCCGAATTTTTCAACAAAAAAGAAGCGCATACAGAACGGTTTTTTAAAATACAAATTAATATTACAAAACTTTCATATTTTATTAAATATTTTCTTAATCGAATTTTAAGAGAACTAAAATAAATCATAAAACAAATTACGCAAATCAGAAAAACTTTAAACGATCTATAAAATACACATAACAGGTATTTCTGAAGTATAAATTTAAAAAATTATAAATATAAATTTATATAAGTATAAATATAAATTTATATAAGTATAAATTTAAAAGTTATGCATAATGTGTACTTACCCCAAAAAATCAGTAGTAGATATTGGAATAAGCAGAAAATTTTACTTGGAATGGAAAATATATTTTCACTAAGTGAGTTACAAGTTTGCCGGTTTTATTTTTATAAAAAAAGGGAAAAAAAAAAGTTTATAGTTTCCGTTTAAAATGGGAACTGAAACTCAAATTACAATTGCCTACGTAGATCCGCGTCTATTTCCGGGTGACCCATGGTGAAAATAAGCTCCGATTGGCCGATACAGCTGTTTCTTGAACTGTTTTTCTTGCTCTCATTCTCTGATTGGATCACTGAAATGCCTTTCAATGATTCGCTGATAAGCAAATTAACGGGCATCGTTGCTAACACATCGTTCACTAATCCACTTGTAATAAAATGTTTATGAAATATATACACTACCTTTAAGAAAACCGTAGAAAATAAACTAAAAGTAACATCGTATAAAATAAAAAAAAAAAGAACGGACTGTCGTCGTAGCAATAACAGAATGTTAAATTATTGATTATTGCTATGAAGTACTAATTATTGAAGATTAGCTATTCTGTAGCTAAACCACTATAGGTTTATAAAACTAAATATAAAAATAAATTAATAAATAAGAACTTGCGTGCAGGTAAATTACGACTTAACAAACGCTTAGATAAATCAGATGAATTAAGAAGTTATTGATCTCGCAATAAACTTAGCAAATATTCGTATAGAAAAAAAAAAGTCTTACCCAGAAAATCTTTTATAAATTATTTTAAATATATATTAAAAAACAAAATATATAAAATACTTTAAGATTGAATCGCTATTTCTTGTTGTTAATATATAATTTATTAAAATATTGGCAATTATTTAGTCTTTGCTAATTATCTTAGGTATTAACTTTTCCGCCGTGTTTCTAAATAGCCCCCCTCTTCCCCCCCAAAAAAATCCTCTGAAATTTAGATGAAAAACTTAATTTAGAAAGAAAAATTAATTAATTAGATGAAAAATTTAATTTAAAATTACATTTTGCGACGAAATAGGAGTATTTTATGCATAAAATATTGTTTATATCAGCAAATTGACATTAAATTAAGAAAGCATTTGACACACAAGTTCACATGTACAGAGCGAAAAAGATTTAAAAAAAAAAACTTAAATAACTTTTGATTTAATGACCGGATTTTAACGCACTAGGACCTAATCTGAATGGTTCGAAGGAGTGACCTCAAATATGCTCATTACACTGCTTGACAATTGTTAAGGAACATTTACATTTTTTGAAATAATTTATAATAAACATTGATTGAAAAAATGAAACTAAATACATATTTAATGGAGACAAAGGAGCATTTATTATAATGCGAAATGGTACAAAGTGTCATATAAGAAAATTGAATATAAAATTTATGCTCTTTAGACAATTTCTAAACAGCCACGAAAAATGGATCTTCTTGTCTAAATGGAAAAAAAAAAAGAAAGAAAGAAAGAAAAATAAAGATATGGAATACCCTGAATAACTTTTAATCTAATGATTAGATCTTCACATTTTAAGACTCAATCTTAATGGTTAGAGATGGTGACCCTAAATATGCTAATTAATAAGTGCAGACGATATTTTATGTTTTTCGCTAACGTTTCCGAGGAGTTATAATGCAAGATTTTAAACAAGATTTATAACAAGAGGGAAGAGTGACCTTAAAAAATGATGATGTAAACTTGGACTCTTATCATTTAATCCTAGATTCATTTTTTTTCTTTTCTTTCAGTGTAGTGTGTAAGGTCATGTTAATTTTATGAAAATAGACAAGATTTAATGAAATATCACTTCGGAATTTAGGTAACCAATCAGAACATTTTTCTTACCTTGCTTAACTTTTTAATGAAAGATAAAAGAAAAATACAGTCGGACTTCTATTTAACGAACTTCCATTTTACGAATTTTTTCGAGGTACTAAGAATATTTTGGAAATTTCTTCGTAAAGTAACTTCCAAAAAGCGAATTTTACGAATTTTTCATTGAGATCCACTTTCCCTATTTTCCAAAATATTTCTTAACATTTCAAACTTGTTAACGCATTTTATGGGGGAAATGACCTTGAATTAATTTTTGAAGCCACTGCTTTGCATTACTGTTTTCTCTAAAAAATTATCTTAGAGAAAGCAGTAATTTCCCTTTTGTTTATAAGTTATATAACCCGAATGTCTCTTCATTGTGTCCATTTCATATCATAATTTTTAAAAAAAATTGTGTTCTGTTTGAGATAGGGCGCATTTTTAAATCTTGCAGGTGGGCTCACCTAAGTCTATGTACGCCACTGATCGAGATACTCACACTCCGTCCCTTGCAGGTATCCCATTGCTCGCAACCAACTCATGTTCCTCAAAATTTATATCTATCTATCAAGTCATATCTATCAAGTAATTGTCCCCAATGCTTGTCCCTTTCGAGGGTCGTAAAATACTTATTTTCACATTATTGGCATTAAAACTGCTTTGTATTGGTGCAGTTTTAACCATAATCGCCAAATATATCAATTTAATACTTCATACTTATGTTAGTATTTTTGGTACTTATTACATAACCCTAGCAATAATTTTACATTGGCCCCAGTTGGGCTCAAAATTCGCTAATATTGGTCCCATAAGAATATGCACCGAGGGACCTATATTGGGATGTCTAGATTTTTCAATATTGGTCCTAGAATGACTTTCAATATTGGAACAAGATTAATTTCTATCTAGGACTAATATTGAAAAATCTAGACATGCTTAGATTTTTCAATATTGGTCCTAGAATGACTTTCAATATTGGAACAAGATTAATTTCTATCTAGGACGAATATTGAAAAATCTAGACATGGCTAGATTTTTCAATATTGGTCCTAGAATGACTTTCAATATTGGAACAAGATTAATTTCTATCTAGGACCAATATTGAAAAATCTAGACATGCCTAGATTTTTCAATATTGGTCCTAGAATGACTTTCAATATTGGAACAAGATTCATTTCTATCTAGGACCAATATTGAAAAATCTAGACATGCCNTAAGAACTAGGACCAATATTGAAAAATTTAGACATCCCAATGTTAACCCAACATAAGACATTTTTGTTTATTTCACAATAGTCCAAGTACAATATAAAGATTCACCTTTCGAAAATAAATATTTTTTCTTTGTTTGTCGATTAAATTTCTGATAGTTCATATAAAATTTTGGTAAAATTGTACAGGATTGAAAGAAAATTTTTGTTTAGGATTATTTATTATGAAATAAGAAAAAAACCACCGCTTAAAGGCTTTGTCTTAAAACTCTCAGCTGATCCAAATATCTTGAAAATTAATTAATAGAACAATTAAATATTTTAAATTCACATATTTTTAAAAAGGAAAATTGCTTTACTCATTATACGGATCTTAGGGGTAATACGGTGAGATTTGGAGTAGAAAATTAAAGCGATGTAAGAGGCTTTAAAAATTTATTCTTGATATTGCAGGATGCTAAAAATTAGATTGTGAAATCCGTTTATTATTTACTTTTAAAGTTTTATTTAACAGCTATAAAATATCAGGTTAATCGGCCAATTTTAAATAGGGTCTACATTGAATGAATGATGTCTTTAAAATATCGGTTAAATCGTATAATTCTATATATGGCCTATATTGGTTGAGTAACGGCTATAAAATATCGGATCAATCGGACAATTTTAAGTAGAGTTTATATTGGCTGAATAACGGCTATAAAACATCGGTTGAGTTGAGCACTGCTATATCGAAACAACATAGGCTGAATAACGGCGATAAAATATCGGGTGAACTTAACAAATCTGCATAGGGCAGATATTGCGAAATAAAGGCAATAAAATATCGGGTGAATTTGACAATTTTATATAGGGTAAACATCGACTGAATAGTGGCAATAAAATAACCGGTCAATTGAACATTTCTAATGAGTCCAATATTGGCCCTTGTTGAGCCAAGATTGGTGAACCCTCGAACATTTGAGTTTTGTGTGAAATGCATTTATCTGTGGCAACAAACTAAAGCCGAAATCTTAAAATCATATCGAATTCTTATAAAAATTTCATAAGGACTTTTCAGCATGACCATTTTTCTATCTGACCATAAATTTACTGTTTAAAATATTTATAAGTAGTGGTGGAAGAGAGTTCTTTTAATTCTAATTCATTAATATATCAGCTTTCCGCAATAGCGGAAATTACTCATGTGAGGAAAATGCATTTTTCTATAATTAAAATTAACAAAGAATTTTTGTAACTTAAATATTAATGTTTTGAAGTTATCGTTATATCGAACGTCTCGAAATATGAATCACGATATATCAAGCTTTCACCGTATTTTAATTTGCAAAAATACAAAAGAACATTTTGGTTTAACGAATAAATATTTGCACCAATGGAAAGTGTATTCAAATTACACTAAACTAATTTTTATATATGCTGCAAAAAAAAACTTACTTTTTTCTTTATTTCAATTGAGTATTTCTATTTTAATGCGATTTTTTAAGTTTTAAAGCATACGAAATTGAATCGTAATAATCGTCAATCTTCTAAAGAAAAAGAATAAACCTTTTAATGTACAAAAAAAGGAAGGAAAAAAAGGGCCATCCTGAATAACTTTTGATCTAATGATCTTCACGGTCTAGGACTCAAATTTCAATGGTTCAAGGGGGTGACATCAAATATGAAAAATAAATAAATAAATAAAATAATAATAATAACAGAATTTTATGAAAGTTACAGACGAAGTTACGAAATCAGACACAAAAACATACTTTCGCTGAATAAACATACTTTTTTCCCCAACGATTGTTGTTGTTGTTCATTTACGTCGCACTAGAGCTGAACAATGGGCTATTGACGACGGTCTGGGAAACATCCCTGGGGATGATCCGAAGACATGCCATCACAATTTTGATCCTCTGCAGAGGGGATGGCACCCCCGCTTCGGTAGCCCGACGACCTGCACGCGAAGTCGAGCACTTTACGGCATACGTGCCAACTTTTAATCCTTTGAAGGATGATTTTCCCCAGTGGTAGTAAAATGAAATTTAAATTACAATTTTAAGCAGAAACATTCGCTGTACTTTGAAGAATCTTATACGGGTTACTACAATAGTACTACATATTGATGTATATGGTTAATTTATTTAAAAATAGTGGTGGATCAAAAATATTATAAAGTAAGTTTATAAATACAAGGAATATATCGAAAGCATACATTTTACTATCACTTTAAATGTGGAAGTAAAATTTTACGCCAAATGCGTAAAAGTTGGCTGGTATGCTTTACGGTAGCACAGTTTAACGAGGACCAATACCGCACATCCTCGGTCCCTACGCAGACTGATCCAAGTTGTCACCCACCCGCACACTGACCGCAGCCAGTGATGCTTGACTTCGGTGATCTGATGGGAACCGTGTCTTAACGATCAGTCCACTGCAGGATTTTTTTCCAACGGATTCGGGTTTCTGACTACCCAAAATATAGGGGGTAGTTGCAATCTGGAATATATGGTACCAATAGTTTGGTCAGGAGAGCTCCCCGTTGTTTGAACTCCTTAATGTTAATTTAATGCATATTTCGCTGTGTCTCGACATCTTTTTAAGCGAATTGAAAATTTTTTGCAGACAATTATAAAATTCGTTTATCCTAAGATAGTTCCACGCAAAATATAAGCTCCAGTAAATATTTATTATTTTGTATTATTACATTAAATAATCTATCTTATTTAATGTAATCTATAATATTATTACATTAATAATCTAATTGCACGGTATAAATTTTTTTAAGCCATTTTAAAGGGCGTAATTTTTCATGGCAAAATACAAAACTTGAGCAAAATCGATCAATAGTTCCAAGTATCTGACTTTTTGGAAATTTTATTTAAGAAAAAAAATTCAACTGCAAATAATAATTTGGGAACTAAAGATACTAACTCAGGAAAATTTTTATATTATTAATAAGCATTTATTTGACATAAAATAATTATAGTTGCATCTATTGATGAATTATCACAAGTGTTATTTTCGAAAACAGAAGTAAATGAAAATATGGAATCTAACTTGATGCTGCTCTCGTAAAACCTGTGACTCAGGGTTAGTTTCTACCTTGAATTCGGGCTTTATTTGATTAATAATAACCATAATTAACACATTATCAACGTAATTTACATTGATCAACTAGCTATAATTTTACGGACAGTGATTGGGCATAATTATCTTTGTTGGATTTATCTATTTTGTTTATGAAAAAACATTTAATGTTTAGGGGACGAAATAAATTACTTTAATTTAAATGAAAGACAACAAATTTCAAAAGTAACAATGAAAAAATACAACTGAAGCTGACGTCGTCAGGGGGTACCAGTTCCGGGTGCCATAAATGCAAAACCTTTTCGATCGAGAGTGCACGACAAACGTCTTAATTAAAAACGTCTCTGTACCCCAAAGGTTTTGCCAAAGTCCAGGAAGAGAATACAAGACAAAAGCATAATTTCAAGACTAATATATAATAAAACACCCAAAAAGCTGGTACCCCGTGAAAGCCGTCAGGTAGGGTGGTATTTTTTCATTGTTTCAATTCCTTTAGGATTTTCAGCTGCATAGCGCGTTTTTTTTACAGAAAGTATTGTTTTTAATTACTTTGAATTCCTTTCTTCTTCTAGAAGCTCTGGTATTTATACAAGGAATACATCAGATCTAGAATTCTAAAGCCAACACCTTTGAACTATTTCATCAGTTGAAAGATGCTACATTTTAAAAGCATAATTTATAACTGAATGTTACGACTCATAGGTCGAGGAAATAGTATTTGATATATTTTTTTAATAAATTTTGTATTGTATCTTGTTATGTTTCAATTGCATTGCGAATTAGTATCTTTAATATTTGCGAGTATACCTTTTTAGATTATTTGCAATTTCCAATAATGTGCTTTTGTTGCCCGTCAGGCCAGATCAATAAATCCGTTGACATTTAGGAAGTCCGAAATTAAAAGGGGAGAGGAATGAATGTCATGTGCTTTTAAAAAAAGTTAATTAAAAATTTTAAAGCACAAAATATAGAAGTAATAAAAATATTTCAATGTATGTAGTTTGTATTTTATTCTATTATGAACTCGATATATAGAACAGCTTTGTTAAAGTCATAACTACAAATTACAGGACATTTTCATGGATAGATCCAGCTTTAAATAAAAATAGAATTTTCTTATAAATGTGATAATAAATTAATCATTTGTTGGATATTTTCTGCAGGAAATATGTTTACCGAGAAAAGTATAGTTATTAACATCTGCTTTCGTTTTGCATTAATCTAAATTTCACAAATTTTTAAGATATCACACCAATCATTTCTAATCTATTAGCAAACATATATTTTTTATAAATGATTAATGCAATAGCTCAATTGTGATAGTGTTTATAAGTATAGTTGAATTGTTATAAATAAATGAGTGGAATTTGTGTAAATAAGTCATAAATATAACTAGAACATGATAATAAAGATAAAAGTTTTATTTATGCTTCATAGCTTTTTATTAACATAAATTTTAGAGTAATATTCACATAACTGAATTATACATAATCACTTTTTTGATACATATTAACAATTCTAGATTTTCACATTAAAAAAGCTAGATAATCAAAAAAAGTACCACAAAAAATAAAATGAATCTAGGCATTTTCGCAGAATGCAAATTACTTTGCTTTTCTTGCATAGCACTGTAACAGAGCTTAAAAAAAAATGTGATGCAGTTTTCACTTCAATAACAGTGCAGTTAAATAAACAATTAAAGAATAAAAAACATATGACTTATTTTTGAAATGTAAGTGCAGTTCTTGTTAAAAAAATAAATAAAAACCAGAGCTTTGTTTTTTCTGTCTTACTTCAAACCAAAATAAAAATATTGACTTACAATCTTTTTCTTAAAGAACATTTGAGAGTAATTGAATACTGATTGTATATTGCACGTAACATTTAGAAAACAGAATATTATTTGAGATATATTACATTCAATAAAACATTTAAATTTTAAGCATTTTTCTAGGGTTTTTAAAAAAGTGCAAGATCGTGAATTTNTGCTATATGTATATTCTGTATTAAAAAAAAACTAAATTAAAAAATTAGATGCTTACAGAAATTTTTTAAAAATTTTAATTGTTCGATAAATACTAAGTTAACAGAGGTTGTTGTTTAAGCAAAACTATGCTGAATGTATTCAATTTTGAAATCCACAAATAGCTTTACAGGTATAAAATGACTAGACATGAGCAAGATGAATATAAGTTCACTATAATAGACACACAATAGTATTGCTTTTGTAGTATTTTTTCTAATGCTTAATTTTTATTTCACTGTTTTGCTAGAGAAAAAACCAACCCCAATAAGTATTTATAGCTGTCAATACATATTTATTTACTATATTTTAAAATCAAATTTGAAATTGAGTTAACTTAAATTTGAAATAAAATCTGAAATTGAGTTAACTCAAGCAAACACAAAAGAATTAGGCAGCAAATGTGAGAAAAGGTCAAGAAGGCATTTTTTAATTGTTATAATCAGATTTATGTGGAGAAAAACTTTGATTACATGGTAGACTTAATGAATTTTGATTAAATATTTGGTATATGATTATATGGATGTTTTGATTACATTCTTATCTCTTCTTGATTAAATGCTGAAATTAATAGCACAAGAACTGAAAATTGCAATAAACCCACTGCTATAATACGAGGAGTCAATTGAACAATATTTTTTTCAAAATCTTGCTAATAAATGTTTTTTTTTAAAAATATTTTTATTTCCTATTCAATTTATTATTTTATACAGTATTTATATAGTACACAAGCACTGGTCATTATTTTATACAAGATTAATACAGTACATAAGCATTGGTCATAACTCTTGAACCCCTTAGAAGCTTTTGCAATATTTAAATGAGATCTAATATACTAGCAAATAATAAAAAAAGGCTTATTCGAAAAATAATTGCTCTGCTCTCCAGTCACATAACCTCAACAAAAATTTTTATACAAAGTTTTCAATTTAAGGCAAGGCTATGTCAACATGAATAGTACCTCAGACGAAGTACATTGTGTTTTTTAGAGTATCTATAACCTTAATGGCATTAATCACAGCATCCGGCAATGGATGAAAAGTAGAAGCTGAATCAGTACTATCCCCACTTGATTCATCCAGCATTGATACAAGGTATTGGCGAGTTCTGAATGCAGCCAAATGAGCATACATGACTGGGGCTGGACTTGATATGCTTTTGGTACAACGCACATAGGTATGACATAGATAATACGTTAATTTGTGTAGGTCATCAGCCGAGAAGTTGTTGTCGTCAGCTAACACTGTGTAGTGGCAAGGTCGACTAGTACCTAAAAAAAATATAGTAAGCAATGAAATAGTATTCATCATCAAAGCAGGATTTGGGGATTAGACACCATCACTTCCCAGACAAACATCAATAATACTGTATGCGTTGCTAAAGATGCTTGAGGTGTCACATAGTATGGTGGAACACAATTCCTTTGAGACTTATGATCTCCGACCTTGTACTTGCAAATTGTTGCTTATTTCATAATTAGCAAAACTTATTAAATGGTAAAAGCTTCAGTGATAACTAGAGCCCGGAATTTTGATGACCTAAAAAATTTCAACTAATGCCCTTAAAAAGTGCAAAAAATGCCCTTAAAAATGCAAAAATTGCGCAAAAAATGCCTTAAATAAAGTAAAAATATTGAATTAAAAAAATGTTTTGCTCTTTAAAATTATTATGAGTCATTTAAAAAATATAAAGCAATGCAATACTTGTTCTACGTTCACTGAAGTTTGAAAAATATGTTTTATATCCTAAAATAACAAAAAAAGGAAAATATATTGACACCAAAATATTTTTCTTTTGTATAGAAACTTTGATGGATATAACACCAAAATATTAGTAGCATAATATTACTAAATATCAGAATTGCATTGGATTATTAAATGTTTTTTGATAATTTGAAATGTAAACGAGCGTCTCTTGTCTGAAAGTAAATTTTCATTCCTGCAGAAGCTTCTTTCAACGTCTATTGATGTTATAGGTGTGTACTTGAAGAGGACGGTCTCACTTACTGACAATTCTTCAATTTGAAAAGATTTTGCTTCACCTGTTAATATCCTATAGATTTTCTTCATTGTTTGATGTTGAATTGTAATAATGAAAATTGATAAAAAATAATAAAAATTGGAAAAAAATTAACAGAAAACTATAAAAAATGCATTAAAATGCAAAATATGCCCCAAAATTTAAAGAAAAATGTCCTATAAATCTAAAAAAATGCTCTAAAAGACAAAAAATGTCCAAAAATGCAAATGTCATCAAAATCCAGGCCTTAGTGATAACTATCTAAAATCGCAATTGGTCAAGTTATTTTGTTGATAAGAACCAAAAGTTTTATGCGCGCAGACTCATGAAAATACCAGAAAATGGAAAAAAGAACCAAAAGTTTTACGCGCGCAGACTCATGAAAATACCAGAAAATGGAAAAAAGAACCAAAAGTTTTATGCGCGCAGACTCATGAAAATACCAGAAAATGGAAAAAGGTCAAGAAACAGAATGCAAAATATTTGATTGATAAAAGTTCACTATTTGTGTATAGAAAATTGCATGATTTGAATCCAAAACGACTTTCTCATTAAACTAATATTTCATGCACTGAAATATAATTACATTTACAGGGACAGGGGTAATTGTGAGCCCCAAGTCAAAATTCCGGAAAATTTCTTAAATAAAAAAAAAAGTTTAAATCGAAAAATTAGAAAAAAATGTAAACAAGGTTTTGTCTTTTTTCTCAATATTTCTAAGTTTACTTAAAATATATTTAAAATTTTACACATACCGGTATACCATTTACGCATGACCTGGTGAAGTAATTGAAATTTACAAATATGTCTTTCTTTCTTGAGTTTATTATAGTAACTATTTACTGATAAAAAATGAATAGTAATCTTGAATATAAGCTTATAAAGTACCATACTCTCCCTTACAGACAAATAAAACAAACTGTGTTTTTAAGTTCCACCTTTGAAAATTTGATTTCAGGAAACTTTTGTGATCAATGATTTTTTTAAACATCTGAAGCTTAGATATCCGGAAACTTCCGGATCACAGTTAGCGAAAAATACGGAATTTTTCCAGAGCACAATCAGCCCTGCAGGGAGATTTAAAAGAATTAAGAAATTACACCATAACTGAAAATGGTTGCAGAGTTCATAAAATATCTTAAAAAAGGATAGCCGTAGCAACCACATCGCTAAGCTACAACAGCGCCACCATATACAAGGCAGTGGATGCTCAGACTTTGAACCAAATGGACCTTTATTTCTCCCTTTCTTAATTAATCTTATGTTTGTTTGTCCGTGTGCTATATGTATATTAATAAAATATTTGGCACTAAGCTTTTCCTCATTTTAAACTCCCCGAGATCTAACTAGGGCCACTACTTACAATTAAATTTAGTTCATTATCTTGAACTTCTTAGCACTAACCTTTAAAGAGTTTATCTTAATTTTTTTAAAAATATCTTAACAGCAATATTAGTTACCTTGTAATCCAAAATGACTGCACAGGAAAAAATCAAAATTCAATGGATGAACAACAGTGTTATCAACTGTCGTACCAGGCGGTATATTTTTCATTCTGCCTACACCATCTCTTGCATCTTGGGGCATGAAACGAGTATGGTGTCTTTTCTGAACAACAACAAAGGTTATTCCAGGTTCGTAGCCAGCTTGGATTTCTTGACAAGCTTCACGGATGGCTGTGACTTCATGTCTCATGACATGCTCAAACTGTCCCTCACTTACACCATCTCTGTAGAAGATGATTTTTTCAGGCTTCTTACCCCGTGTGTTTTTATAGAAGGCAGACAGAAGGTCCTTAACCATTGATTTCAACTCCAATATGATCTCAATTGCCTGCTTCTTTTCATCCACATTAGTCTGAGCTCGTACAGTGACAGCGTAACGAGAGGGATGCGAGTCGAGGCTACCAACAGCTGCAGCAATAGAGGGCTTTATATCCTTTGAAGGACTAGGGTGCGTAACATCTGCACCTATTATAAGAACAGGTCGCCTCAATATTTCAGGTGTTTCCCCAGGGGTTAATGAATTATTTATTCCTCCCATCTTTGCATTGATCTTTTGGCAAAGGTTACTGACTAAAGGAGGATTACATTTCTTGACGACATTATCATCTTTAACACATTGAGTAGTCAATCCAAGCACAGTTTCTGCAGCTTGTTTAATCTCACCGTAGATAGCCTTATTCGCACCTGGAACTGCAATAACAGCTAACTGAGCATTGTACTTCTTTTTCATCTCAGTCAACACTGCTTTAACTGAAACTCTGCGATTGTCGATAATATCAACTAGTTGAGGTCTGCCGATTGAAATACCGGATTCTCCAGCAATATTAACTAACAATTTGGCAAATTTATTCAAGTGCTCATGAGTACAAAATCGTGGACCTCCAAAACTTAAGAAAACCCAGGAATCAATTTCAGCTCCTTTAAAGAACTGTTTGCCACGCATATCCCATGAACCATCATTAGGCACTATTTTAGACTCGTTATAGCGAACACTTGGAGGACCTAAAACTCTGCCTTCAAGTCTTAACGGTTCATTATATACTCTCATTCCAAATTCTTGTAGATACTGATCACGGCTGTAGTCTGCCCTCTTCAGTAAATCTCTTATCTCATCAAAACGTGCTTTGGGAGGTCTAGCAGTGAATTTAATCATTTCTGCATTCTGCCTTTCTTCCAGTTTTTTCTTACAGTGTTGACCTTCAACCATATCACAAACCTCAATGGGCAAATATATTTGCTTTGCTGCAGGATTTACTTGTAAGCAGGGAAGGTGAGGAAAACGAAGTTGCCTATTATACTGCCTTCGGAAATAATTTGCTACAGTCTCTCTTCGATTAACTCCATTTTCAGTGATGTTAAACTCTAATCTATCAGCTCTTTCACGAGTTAAAGTCAAAATGCGATATTTCCGTTTATATGTTAAATGGTTTACTTCAATTCTCATGTTTTTCAACTCTTTTGAAATTCTTCTAATATCAGCATCCCTGAGAGTCGTGTTCTCTAAGCCAGCAATGTTTGTCCTCAAGAATTCTGCAATATAATTAAGAACAGGACCTTTCTGGTAAAAGGTTGTGGCAGTGATATCGAGGTTAACCATAGGTTTCCACTGACCAAGTCTCAAACTTTGATGATAACCAAACCAAATTTCTCTTCCACCACCCAGAGGGTGAATGTCCTGCTCAGCAGGTGGGTAAAAAAATGAGCGACCAACTGGAAAAAACCGCTGACAAGGTCGATGTCTTAAAATAGTTTCAACAGCCATCACGGCTTCTTGATCAATTGAACTTATATGACCTTCAAACAAGGCTTGTAGTGAATCCAAGCTGATTGCACAAGAGGTGCTATCCTTCTTTCTCACAGGCTGAATATTAACCACAAAATCATCAGTTCTCTCATCAGCTGGATTTTCTGGAGGCATTTGAACATTACATTTCAGAGGAGGATTCGGAATATTCAAGGGTCTCTTAGTATATAAATTTTTTCTACCATCATATGCCGCATGCAAGTTTCGAAAATGGGGATCAACTCTAAGCATTAGATCAATTATTTCTCTGTTACGCTTTGTGCTCATGCAGCGATACTTTTTATCATCTTGTAATGCCGGAATTTGCGCTACTTTTTTTGGTTCAGCAGCTCTCCTTTTGCTAACTATATCTACATCATAGTGATATACACTGCCTTGGGGTAAATCAATACTGAAGCAATTGGATATCAATCTGATAACTCTTCCAGGCGGACGCTGTGAAGGTTTGGGTTTTCGGGGTAATGAAGATTGTATTTGCATTTTATATTCCAGATCAATACCAAGTTGTTCTGGGTCAACTCTTCTTTCTGTTCTTACTTCCCTCGCAGGTGGTGGTTCTTCCCGCGGTGGCGGTCGAGTATCTGAGGAGAAAAATAAGAGATTGTCAAATCTAGTTAGTAGTTCCGTAAAAACAAATTAAATAACAGTTTAAAATTAAATAACAGTTTAATCCAAAAACTTAATAATTTTCTTAGTTAATTCCGTATAATATAGCCAAAATACAATATAGGGTTCGAAAACAACAGTTCTCTATCTGTATTGTACCACTGAAATCCAACGAACTACTATGAATAATCAGCTACCTCCTGGACCAGTGAACAATCACTGTGAAGTGGTTACACAATGGTATTTCCAATGAGCTATTTCCAATAAAAAGCAGTTTCAAAAGGGATAACAATCAGTTTTTGACAAGTACTGCATGAGAGTACAGCTCTGTTTACCCAATTAAGTGTTTAGTACAATGGCCACTCCAGTTGAAATTTAATTCCCTGAGATTTCTAGAAAAATTAGATATTTTTTCAAATTTTTTTTTGATTTAAATTATCATAATTTGAACTGTAATTATAAAACTTACATAAGTATATTTATTTGCATCCGTAATACTTTAAACTTAATTTTTTAAGCATTTCAAGTCAACAAGAATTAGTTAACCTAATGTTTTAAGATATTAAGAAAAATGAAACTAGATTTATGTAATTATTAAAAACGAATTTATTTAAGCTGAACTAATAAGAAAAAAAATCAAAGTGCCATAGGATAAGAATTATAAGATATAATCTGCTAAATTAGGTTGAAAATTTACGGTAAAATTACAAGACTGACTAAGAAATACAAAACTGCTAATGCTAACATCCCAAAATCTTCCATACAATCAATATAGGGGTATCTTTGAATTTTCTGATTGAAATTAAACATATGCAACTGTTTAGTAAATGAAATAAATACATATAATTTTAATACAATCATTTAAATTGTATATAAAAGTACAGTTTAATAATATAAGTCTTATAAAATAAATAATAGAAGTCTTACTTAATATTTTATAAATAAATAGTGGTAGAATAAATAGTATTAAAATGGATACTACAATTTATATAGGAATTATAAAAACACAGCAGTATCATAATTTTTTTTTATTTGATTGAATTAACTATATGGCAATATATTTCAATAATAAGAACAATAAAAAGCAGAAAATTATGGTGATTTTAGTTTTTAAACGGAACTAGATTGCCAAATATATGATGAAATTAAAAATTTTTTTTTAAGAGATAACTAATCTTGACTAAAGACTTCTATCTCTTTTAGGAAAACAATGCTAATAAATTACAAATTAAAACATCTGAAAATGGACAGAGGTGGAAAATATGGAGAGAGAAAATTCAAGACATGAAGAAGTCTAATGCATAATAAATATAATGAAACAGGCAACTTAGAAGCTAAGCTGAATTTTCTGACAATAAACATTCTATCAAAAAGTTCAGTTTCTTACAATCATTTGAGACATTGTACAAATACCAAATTTGAGTTCAAAACATTTTAAAAAAGAAAACTTATTTACACAGCTTCAACAATTATTGGATATTTCAAATATAATTATAAAAAGATTTTAGCAAAGATCTTTATTAAAATCATATTTCTCAGGTTTTTCACTGAATTTCAGAAAAAAAAAATTCTGACTTTCCTAGGTATATCAAGTGAATTTCAATGAAAATCAATACCATACTTAAACTAGACTACGAAATTTTTCATCAGAAAAAATTGATTCTTTTATTTGTAATGCCAAATACAGTAAAACCTCCGTTAAGCAGACATTTTAGGGACCAAAAAAATTGTCCGTTTACGGGAAGGGTACCCAAATAATGAAGTTTAACACAATTAATTGTTTTTAGAATATTTTCAAAGATGCAGATATAATTAAATAATTTACAATAAGTACAATTAAATAACTATATAAAAGGATATTTATTTAAACTTTAAGAAAAATAAAAAAGAATATATAAAGAAGTTAGGTATAAATACATAATTCTAGATGTAGCTTTTGATAAATTAATATAATTTTCCTATTAGCATAGATACTCAAGTCAGACATATGATACTGAATAGGAGCTTTCTGTCCTAAGTCCGCTTCAATTATTAGGTTTACATCACCTTACACCTACCTATCATTTGATAAGGAACATGATTAATACCTTCTTGAAAGTTAACCTCCCATGATTCACTGTTCAGTCATGAGGACCTATGGAGTTGATTATTCCCAATTGATCAGCTATCAAGTGTCTGAATAAGTTTCATTTATATGAACACATCAAAGACTATATATTTCTGTTCTCTTTTTTTGCTCCAGCTGTGTTAAATACAGTCTTCAAATTGATAAGAAAATTAAAGAAATTTTCAATGGGGAAGAAGCATCGAGAAAAGTCATTTCAACTTCAGGGGTCTCATAACCTGTGTGGTCCAGATGAAAAGATGCCGCTGTCCGAATTATTTCAGGAGAGAAGTATCATTTTATCTCCTTTTTTTTACAAGGATATAGTAAAGTGACAAGAGAAAGATTGATTCTTTAGTAGTGAAATAGCTTAACAATATTTTTAGTTATGGATAAGGCAAAAAATAAACCTGTTTCAAAAACGGCGAAAAGTTTTTCTCCTTTCATTCATAGAAGATTACCGGGAATTAAAAATGCGTCCATATTGAGAGGAGTCCGTTTTGCAGGAGTGTCCATAACAGGAGGTTTCGCTGTATTAGATTTTCTATGTAAAATTCGGGTTTGAAAAAACCAAGGGAAAATCTGGTTTTATTTGAAAAAAACCTGGGGGAAATTTAGTTTCTTCATTGAGTGCTTATAAACTAAGTTTTACTGTATAAATATTTTTATTAAAAAATGACCTGTGAGAACCCTGATTTCTATATGAAACTAGAATATGCTTTAGAATACATTTTGAAGAAAAACATTTGTTACATTTAGTGCATATATATATATATATATATATATATATGAAGTGCTAAAGAAACTTTTTTTTGACTTTTTATGAGACAATTCTATAGAAAACTTGTTGTTTTCTTTTAAATTATTAATATGTAGCACCTCCCTATAAAATATGATTTCAGTAAATTTAAAATCTACTCTGAATTATAGCATTTTTAATGCACATTTCTTGTTTAATCTATGTAGTAATTTTAAGAAACATTCTTTCTGAAACCTTATAATTAAGGCCTGGATTTTGATAACATTTACATTTTTTTGTCTTTTAGAGCATTTTGTCATTTAGATTAATAGGCAATTTTTTCTAAATTTTTGGGCGTATTTTGCATTTTAAAGCATTTTTTAAGTTTCTTGATAATTTTTTCCAATTTTTATTATTTTTTAGGGCATTTTTATTACTTGAAATGCAAGATGTGTCTTATTTTACATTTCATATTGTAACTCTCAATACCACCTGCATGCCGTTATGTTTTTCCATTATGTTATTGATTGATATAAAATCCTTAAAAGTAATTCTTTGTTACAGCTTTCCCATTTTCATTTAATGTAGATGAACTAGAAAAAGTGAATCACTCTTCCATTTGTCAATTATTTGACAAATCCCTAAATCTATTATGGCCCAATGGTGTACAACACAACTATGTTCTTCCGTTTCTAACTGATGCCGCACTATATATGGTCAAAGCTGGAAAATCAATTAAAGGATTTTATCCAAAACTCGTTCATGTTACTTGTCTTGCACATTCACTTCATCGTGTTGCTGAAGAGATCCATGTAAATTATTCTGATGTAGACAGTCTGGTGTCAAATGTGAAAAAGAATTTTCTGAAAGCCCCATATTGTCAAGAATGTTTCAAAACATTTGCTTTTAGTCTAGATTTGTCCCCTAAACTAGTAATCACACGATGGGGTACCTGGTTGGATGCATGCTTATACTACAGTGAAAATTTTAAGATAGTGAACTCTATTGTCAGTAGTTTTGATTCAGAAGGGACTGCATCAATTAAATTGTGCAAAGCGTGTTAGCCTCTGATAAAATCGAAGGAAACTTAGCATTTATCAAGTCTAACTTTGCTATTGTGTTCTCGACAATTACAAGCTTGGTGAAACAAGAATTGGATGCAATAAATTATATTAACGCAGTGAGTCAAGTGTTGCAAAAAGCAAGGGGAAAAGTGTAGCAGCTAAATTGAACAAAGTTTTCGAGAAGAACATTGGCTTCCAAACAATGAAGAAAATCTTTAGAATATTAATAGGTGAAGCAACATCTTTTCAAACTGAAAAAGAATTGTCCGTAAGTGAGACTGTCTTTTTCAAGTACGCACCAATAACATTAGTAGACGTCGAAAGAAGCTTCTCCAGGTATAAAATTTACTTTCAGGTAAGAGACGCTCGTTTACAATTCAAAATATCAAAAAGCATTTAATAATCCATTGTAATTCTGATATTTAGTAGTATTATGAGATGGAAGTTGTTATATTCATTTAAGTTTCTATACAAATTGAAAATGTTTTGGAGTCAAAATATTTTCCTTCTTTCTTGTTATATTAGGATATAAAACATATTTTTCAAACTTTAATGAACATAGAACAAGTATTGCATCTCTTTATATTTTTTGAAATGACTCATAATAATTTTAAAGAATTAAACATTGTTTTAATTCAATATTTTTACTTTATTTAAGTCATGTCATAGGGCATTTTTAGCGCAATTTTCGCATTTTTAGCACTTTTTAAGGACATTAGTTGAGATTTTTTAGATCAAAATCCGAGCTCTACTTATAATCCTTTTAGAAGAAAATAGTCTTTTATAAATCAGCATATTAAAGAAAAAATAAAATAGACCTTCATCTAAGTTTCATAATTTCGTTACATATATAATGTTTAAAAAAAAAATCAAATTACCAGGTGGTGGTCTTGTTTGTTCTGGTCTGCCAGGAGCTTGTCTTTGTTGATCATCAGGACCTCGCACTATACATATATAAAAAAAGTTTAAAATTTTTACAAAAAATGAATCTAATTACATTTATGCACTAGGGTTCAAAGATAAAAAACAATTTGGTCTATTAAGGGACCGGACCCTTCACAAAATAAGACGCCAGTAACAAAATTAATATGACAAAAATGAAAACTTTTCTTTTGAAACAAAACATTCTTTTGTTATTTACTGTAATATGAAGGTGTTGCATTTCTGTATATAAGAAAAAGTATAAAAAACAGACCCCTTTAATTTTGGGAATTGGAAAAAAGCTGTTTAACCTTCTTTAAAGAAGCTAATTATCCTTTTTCTTAAAAATGCAAAAGCTAAAACTCACTATGTTTCATAATATAGGGTGAAACATCTTAAAAAAAAAAACTAATAACTTTAAAAAACCCACATTTAAAATGATTCCAGATTTAACAAGCAAAATAGAATGTTTCGTGTGGCAAAATGTCATAAATGTATCAGAATGTACTCCTTTAGTGAGAATTTTTTTTTACTACGCAGGGAATATTTTTTTCGTAGAATGGGATAATATCAGACTTTAAGTAGACATATTTCTCAATATGTTATGGTGCCATTTAGTTATGACATTTCTTAAAAAGTTATCAAGAACAGAGGTCCAACCAACAGAGAAAGACAAAATATCAGCCAGTGTGGACTGTTAGTCCATTGTCTTATGTTTATTTTTTAAACTAATTACGAACATAGATTCGGTAAATTAAGCATTTTTCCTTAACCAGAGTACTTTGGTGTTTGCGGGACCTGCTGTATTTATTTTTAGAACCCTTTCCTTTTACTCAAAAAAGTCACTTTCTCCTATAATAAATAAATTACATAGTTATTTTTAATTGTCAGGACAACCTTACAAATTCAGAAAAACACTTAACTATAAACCAGATAGCACTGTAAAGGAAATACACTGTGTAAATTGTGCATTTTAGTTTTGAATAACTGATTTTATGACAGGAGAATAATAAAGGGGGGATACTTAATTTTTAGAATAGGATATCCATTATGCCATGTTTTCTTCACTATTATAATTAGATTAAAAAATATTTTTTTTTATACAAGGAAAAATCTTTTTAAAAAAAGGTTCAATATGATCTGCTCAGCTTAAGAGCAGGTTGTGTCCCACTAAGAGTATGTAATCTTAAGTCATCTGCTTTCTAAAAGACGTTATTTTATCTTTCTTTGCACTGACACAGGAATTATGCATGTTTCACACTGTTAATATAGTTTTTTATGTAATCACCTTTACCAGAATGCAAAAAATTTAAATCAATAGTACATTTTGAACAAAATACATATTTATCACCGTTTTGAGGACTTTAAAGATGAATGAAAATATTTTAAAATATGATTTGTTATTAGTTTGATAGTATTTCTTTTTCTTCTTTTAGTCATTTATAATAAAACAAATTCAAATACTCCATGGGCAAGTTTTTTTTATAGCATGGGATCCAGGGTTGGCAAGGTTTAGGACAGAATGGATTAATCCACTGTTTAAACCGTCCTGTCCAAAACCCCTTTGTCCAAAACTGAACTCAAATTATGTCACAATTTTATCTGAACAATATTTAAGAGGTAAAATTAACATAGAACTAATAACATATTGATAGTTAAATCTACTACAGAATATTTGTTTTTAAAAGAATAATGTTTTACTAATATTGTTCGACTCTTCAATTTAAACATTAAACAAAGGAAGATTTATCAGTAATCAAGTTCAATTGGTCCTCTCATTCAATAGTACATAACTGAAGTTTGACCTTGCCATACAGGTTAAGCTATTAGGGACTAAGTGCTTGGTTAGTTATAAACAGGTTTGTTATCTACAGTACTATTCAAGAATACTTTTATTTCATTCATGTTCAATTCTTTTAGCATAGTGTCAGTAACTGAAACTGATGTCATGCCCTTCAAAACTGTTAATACATTTTTCAGTTATTTTGTATTTCCAATTTAAACAAATATATTTAAAAACAATTTTTAAAAAAAATAGATTTCTTTTTTATCATCCTGTGATGCAGAAATTATAAAATTTAAAAAAAAATAATATTAAGGTTAATTTTTAAACAAATTCAGTATTTTTTAAAAAAAATTTATTGTTTTCTAATATTGCTTTTTGTTGTTGTTGTTGCAACAACAATAATCTAATATTGCATTATTTATCCTTATGCAAAAACATTATTTATCAGTATTAAAAACATATTTATATTTAAAGGATTAGGTGTTCACTTTTGTTGTTCAATGAATTATGGAGCTTCAAAAATTATAAACCTTTTCCTATTATATTACATTCTTTTGATAAGTTAAAGTAAATTGTATAAAAAATTTTAAATATCTATTGATACATGTAATTATTATGTGTACAATGGTTACACCTATAGAATTTTTACCTTTTACCAAAGTTCAAGGTTTTGGACAGTTTAAGACAGTAAAACCCATGTGTCCTGTCCAAAACCCCAACCCTAATGGTAGGGGTGCACAACCTGCGGCCCGCGGGCCAAATGCGGCCCTTCGACTACTGAAGTGCGGCCCGCGAGAGCTTCTAAACACAATTAAAAAAATGGCAATTTTTAATCGTGCTTTAAGTCATCACGTTTTGACACAATCAATTTTAACAGATTCTTTAGTAAATGTATGTTTAATGTGCTTTCTTTAAGCCGATTTTATCGTAAATATAAATGATTTTTTTTCAACAGTTATTTCCGCTTTCCTACGTGATTTCGAAAATCCCGAATTTTTATTACGACGCGAGTTTCAGATCGCCCATTTGGTGCACTTTACTTGTGACAATTTCAACTTAAATCTAAGTGATTTTTTATATGTTTTCTTTTTTTTTTGAAATTCTTTCCTTTTTTCAACAATTTTTTTCGGCAGTTATTGCTATGCGTTCCCACGTATCATAAAAAATTCCAATTATTCTATTACAACATGCAAATTTTAAATCGTGCATTTGACACACTTTATTCGTGCTGAGTTCGGCATAAGTAGAAGCAATTTCCCCCCCAATTATTTCTATACTTTTCCACATGATTTTAACGATCCCGTTATTTATCTATGATGTTATTATGACACGTGATTGTTAATCGAGCAATTAAATAATCACTTTTTGATACGGTATTTCGGTGCAGTTTTATCGTAAATCCAAGTTATTTTTCCTTCGTTTTTTCCCCGCAGCGAATATGACTTGGTCGAATGTGGTAAGGAATTGTGATTTGGTCAAAAACCAAATATTCGGCAAAGAAAGGGAAAAAAAATCGACTGAACGCCGTACACTTGGGGCCAAATAGCAAAATCTTTTAGCAGCATAGCAACACTGAAACTAAAATTTCAATGTTCAGAATAATATTTCATGGAAAAGCGTATTCATAAATTAACTATAAAAAATAAAACTAATCAAGAACGTTTTTGAAAAAGTCGAAAAGCGAAACAGAGAACATAAAAATCAATCTTAACTTTTGAAATAAAATTTTAAAGCTGAACATCTCAGTTTTCCAATTACCAGAAAAAAGAATTAAGTCAACAGAAATGCAATTAAAAATTACTGCGTTATAATAAAAACGTCTAAAAAAAAGTTTTTTTTATTTAAAGAAAATAAAATGTTAGAAAAAACGTTCTTAATTTTTTAGGGCCAAATACTCGTTACATCCCTAGTTTAAATGCAATGTTATTGCAACTTGAGAAATTCATAAAATGGCGGAAAACGTGAATTTGTAAACTGCTCCCTGTTTGTAGTTTAGATTTCAATTTTTTGTTGCAATAACCCTTTTTCAATAAAAAAAAGGAAAATTTTTACGATATAAAAAAATCTAATAATTAATAAAATGAAATAATAAAGTACATTACAAAATAAGCGTTGAATTTTATTTTCCTACACTATCACAGTTTTGTTTTTATTTTAGGCTTTTGTTTAAAACCTATAAATTTTCTTCAATTAAAATATTTAATTTTAATTTATATTACTTAATTATGACTAAATTTTTTCCTACTTTCATTCTGTGAGCATTGCAGTTTTTTTTATATATATTAGAATTTACGAGGCGTATCCAGAAAATAAGGTTCCCTATTTTTTTTTAAAAAAAGTAAGTACATATTTTTTGGCAACAAGTACAGCAATGTTTCAGCTATTTTTCAACATAGCATTGAGACACTTGTCGTATCATGGGTTCAACTTTTGTATCCCTCTGTCGTAGAACTCTGCCGCCTGTGAATGTAACCACGTTGTGAAACAGTAAGCGCCGACCGTTACTGTGAAACACTGCGGAAATTACAACGTGCCATTCAAAACAAGAGGTGTGGAATGTTTACTGCAGTTGTGCTCCTCCATGACAATGCTCTTTCACATACAGCTCGACGCACAGCAACTGTTTTGACGAAATTTGGCTCGGAGCTGTTTGATCATCCACCCTGCAGCCCTGATCTTGCTCCCAGCAATTTTCATGTTTTCTTGCACCTCAAGAAATTCCTGTCCTCCGGTGAGCGTTTTGGCAACGACAAAGAGCTAAAGACGTCTGTCACACGCTGGTTCCATTTACAGGCGGTAGAGTTCTACGACAGAGGGATACAAAAGTTGATCCCACGATACGACAAGTGTCTCAATTCTGGTGGTGGCTATGTTGAAAAATAGCTGAAACATTGCTGTACTTGTTGCCAATAAATATGTTCCTGAAAGTATAACTTCTTTAAAAAAAATAGGGGAACTTGCTTTCTGGATGCGCCTCGTAATTCTAAAATGAATTTTCGTATTGCATGATATGATAAAAAAAAAAAACATTTCTTTTCTTCAATGTTTACTTATTTCGATAAATCTATTGTTCATGTGATAAAAATAGCAATTTTTTTTGTAAAAAAAAAAGGATAAGTTTTTTTATTTTTGAATGAATTCTAAAAATGGAACACCTTTAATTTTTTACAAATATATTAATAAGTTTATTGATAAAAAAATAGAACGCTAATGTTTAAACAAACATTACTACATTTGTCATTAACATATCTCAATACATGTGCGGCCCTTCGTTAGCTAACCTGCTGTGCAAGTGGCCCTTCACTCAAAAAGGTTGTGCACCCCTACTAATGGGATCACAAACAAAACAACTCTCAGCACCGCTAGATTCCGAATCATTACTTTACCTTCATAATTTTAAACTAAAAAGGAGAAAAAATAAAACCACAATAAAAAAGGTAGGCAGAGCTGCTTCAAAGTCACGTTTAACTAGATTAGGTTTTGTGTTCTGAATATTGCGTATCAAATCATTGCATATTTTGAGTTTATTGCATTGTTTTTGAACATAACTTTTACGAAAGCAGTTTAAAAATATTGGACCTGATCCGTCTGATTTAGATCCAACGAAATATCATTTTTCCTGTTATATGAATTTTTTATTTTAAAATATTCCCCAAACAAAGAGATATTTCTATAAATGTTGAAAAAATTAGGCGAATTTGAATAAATCCAGGAAAGCTGGAAATGACGCAGTTTCTTGAAAATTCCAGCAAGGTTGGCAGCAATGAAACATACATATATGATTATGTAATGAAATTCAGATTCTACAAAAAGAAAAATCTATCGTTGCCCTCATGCTTAACTATATATTTCTTTAGTTCCACTTAGATCAATATTTAAAATGTGTTACATTCATTAAAATGATAATTAATATTTAAGAATTTTTTAATATTCAATTCAACTATTCAATTTTATATATTCAAAACTTTCAATTTTATAAAGCAGGTTTGAGCTGTCACATTAATTAACTTGTTAATCCTACTTACTTTGAGGTCTTTGTTGTTCTTGTCTTGGGGCATCCTGTCTAGCAGGACCTTGCCCTTGTCTGGGATCAAATCCTGGTGGTCCTCCTCTGGCATCAAAACCAGGTGGCCCTTGTCTGGGAGGTCCCTGTCTAGGACCTTGACCTGGAGGATGTTGTTCCTGTTCTTGTCTACCTGCTCCTCTTCCACGGCCTATAGGATATAAGTTGCTCAATGAAACATGATAAGAAAGGACAACAATTATTAGAATATTTAGTAGCCCCGCCATTGCAAACTAGTGTAGAGTTTAGCAACGCTAATAAAATAGCAAGTTAAGTTCACATGAAATGAAAAAGCCCACAGAAACTTCTAAGCCAATCTAATTTTCAATGCAATATTTAATGAAACTTTTAAGTTATCAGGCTTTCGGAGACAAACTTTCCTAGCACTAATATTTTTCTGCAAGATGGTTTATTTATAACAATCACTAATTAAAGAAACAGAAATGAGATTACAGAAGTATAAAATAAAAATGTATAAAAAAATGTTGAATTGTAAATGCAATATTTTTTAAATTCTATTATAGACGACAGTCTCACATTTTATAGGCAGAAAAACAAAAATTATTTCCTTTTTCAAATTTCGTAAATCATTAAAAAAATTGAATTTGTAAATAAATTAAATTTGTGGCAGTAATAAAATTTGACGAAGAAATCACATTAATAGGACTTTTTACAAAAGAGATACTCTGAGTGTTTCGTTTCGAGAACTTTATTTATTTTTAGTACTAAGTATAGAAAAAACAATGAAAATTTTAACTAACTTTCCTAAATATAATTTTAAAAAATAAGCAGTGAAAGGTTCAGTATAATGCAATCTAGTTTAGCAAATTTTGCTTTTCCATTTGTTTTCTTGAATATAAAATTGCAAGGCATGTGCAAGTTTTAAAACTTAACATAGGTGAAAACTATTTAAAATAATGTATTGAAAAAAAAGGTACTTTTCCATTATGCCGGCAGGCGATAAAGGCGCCAATAATGATGCAAATAATTCCAAACGAATATCGCAGCTGGCAACCTTTTGTCTCCACATTTTCAAAGTAAATCACTACCATTTTTTTTATTATTGGTCACGTTTTTTTCATAATACGAAAAATTAAACCAAAAAGCAATGAGAATTTGGGATTTGCCCTAAACAAAGACATCGCTTTCGATGAAATCGTAACTTGTGATAAGAATCTTGAAATGAAATTGTATATCGGAAATGAAATTCACAGGTGCTACAACCTTTCATCTTGTCCCTGTATGTCGTATCCATAACGACACATGGTTTCAGTAATCGAAAATGAAACTTTTGAAGCATGTGCGGTTTATTAATTGCTGCAGCGACGGATTAACTTCCGTTAGACGGTGTAAAAAGCAGTTGGAACTCCGTCACAGAACAGTTGTAGACTGGAATAACTTCATGCTCGAGTGAATTCTTTTCTTAAACATGAACACCGGAAAGTAGGAGGATCTGGCACGATCGCCGAAGTTTATGAAAGTTTGGTTACGAAGCGAAAAAACAATGCGGGATGGATTCTACCACAACAATATATCTTCAGTGGAGTCTGCCAGGAAACGAACCTTGTGGAGGAGCCAAACCGTTTTCAAGGCAATTAAGGAATATATCAAAAAAGAAACTTTAATATATTCCGATTCATGGAAATCATACCACAATAGTAAGTTGGAAGATGAAAGCTTTAAACATTTCAAAGTGAACCATAAATATAACTTTGTTGATCCGGAAACTGGAATGCACACGCAAAAAATAGAGAGACTGTTGGGCAGAGCAAAATGGCGAAACACAGAGTAACGGCACACCATCATCTCGAAAGTGAAATTGAGGAATTTAATTGGGGAAAGCAAACGGAATCCCCATTTGAAAAATTTTTCAAGCGATATTAAAATGTTTATGCTTCTGAAGTATTAAAAAAAAAAAAAATTTACCATTTATTAACTGTTTTTTTATGTGTAAGCTGTGTGCCATAGCCAATAAAGTCTGCTTTATGTGAATTGTTCCGGCGACTGTGTGCTGTCACCAAAAAGTCTGGTTGGCGAGATTTGCTCCGGTATAATGGAAAAGCATAAAAAAAATATGATTTTGGATTGCTTTTTATTAAATATATTCAAATAACAAAAAAAAAAAAAAAAAAAAAAAAACATTTTGACCAACAGAGGACCGAATATCGTTCATAGTAACTTCATATATTTCAAGTATTATATAAAATGACATTTAGTAGCGAAAATCCAGAAGTGGCTTAACTGAGATAGGGCACTTTTTTTTAAATGGGTCAATTACTTAGTTTTTCTTTTTTTTCCAAGGAGGAGAAGCGAGTTACTCCTTATACATTACCAGATGTTAGATAAAGAGTTTCTTAATATAAATGTTTGGTTCTCATTGGTTTTTCTTTTTGCTCAGTCATGGTAAAAAATCAAGGTTGGTTTATTTAGTTGGGACACATAAAATTTATGTTTAATATATATACTATCAAATATCACATAATAAACAAAACAGAATTTTATTTGGAATAATTGACCACAAGACTAGCCAATATCACTACAGCCCAGAGAAAAAGAATAGAAAACATTTCACCTTTCTGTCAATATTAAAATTGAAAAATACAAGTATGAAAATATAAAAGAAAAACTGATAAAAATGTTCAGACTAACTTACCTCTGCCTTTTGGAGGCATAACTAAATCAAAGTTTTCAAAACACTTCTAGCCAAAANTAGTTTTTTAATTATTTCAATTTATCTAAATTTTTTCTGATAAATTGATTCTGATTTTCGAATTCTGTTTTCCTTCTTAAGTAATCAGTTTTGCATTTTCTAATTTTAAACGTTTTAAAGTATTGTATTTTCTGCAAAGAGATTACAAGGTTAACCGACAAAAAGAATTTAGTGTTATATAAACAATGATGTTTATATAACAATCACCACCAACAATTGCTTTCAATATGTCGGTCTAAACACTTTGGCATGCGGCCCTTCATTGGTCAATCTGCTGTGCATGTGGCCCTTCACTGAAAAAGGTTGTGCATCCCTAACATAGGAGGTATCAGCTGGTGTCACTAATAATTAGGATTGGGTATTTGATGTTAAAAGCTGTTTTTAACATGCTGTCAAAAACCTAAGACAAGTAACTTTTGTTTCATTGGGAACATTTTATAAGATACTAAATTCTGCATAATAAATTATGATTTAATTATATATCATGAATGAAGAAAAAATTTAGCCACAATTATTTAAAATATTAACTGGTTTTTCTAAACACATAGTAATTTCTTCAGATTTTTCAACAAAAAATATGCATATTTTAAGAACTCACTTTTTTTAATCAGTTTTCAAAAAAAAAAAAAAAAAAAAATTCATAATTAGGGTTTGTGCAGCAATAAAAATTATTTTTTTCCTATTGTTTAAAGTTCTTAATTCATAAACATAAAATCAATAAAATTCAAAACTATTTAAATTTTTTTTACATAATCACTATAAAATAACTAGTTTCGGTTAAATATTGCAAAGAATATTGTGAAAATCACGCATTTTTTGTAAATTAGAAGGATAATCAACCCCGCAAAGAAAAAAATCTTTTTTAAAAAGGGTAGAAAATCAAGTACTTTTTACAAACCCTGAATAAAAAAAGCACCTTTCAGGCTTTTAAAAAACGCTAAGCACTCTCTGTAATATATATATTTATTAAGATCAATATTATTTGTTACATTATAATTATTCAGTTTCTACTCAGTTAATATACAACAGTCGTTGGAGAGAGGAATCAATTTTTGGTTTACAACTACCTATGTTCAAATATGTAACCTTGTAATTTTTAAACCTAAAAACCTAATCCAGAAGACATGGGAACTCCTAGATCAAGTATAGGAAAAAATTTGCCTCAGTGGAGGACCTTTTCTGTGAAACTGGTATATGCTTTAAATGGTGAGGAAAACCACAAAAATTTTTGACAGCTTGACTGACGGCAAGGGGACCTGAACCTATGATCAGTTCACAACTGAGAACATTTTACGTCAGCACTGCAGTCAGCGTGACCTGGTACAGAATTTGACTGGGATTCCAACAAAGAAGCTAATTTAAACAAAGGGAAGATTTTCTTATCATGATCCACGGCAGAATAATTGCCAAGTCTTGGCAACTTCCAGGCAGCTGTCCGCGAGAAACTATAAAAAAACATTAATGAAAGGGACCAGCTCAAAAGGTATAAATAGTAGACACCCCTGGGCAAACATCTACATGTTTTCATCTCTTAAAAAATTTACAAGTTTAAAACTTATTTGGCACTTTGGCGATTGTAGTTGGTGCGACAGATTGTGATACAGAAATATCCCAGATTAAAAATATTTTATACCTTTTATGAACATCAACAAAGCTAAATTTTTTCCTTATCTTTAACATATTTAAACCATAATGACTTTTTAAATATTATATTCATTTAAAAAATTGCCAAAATAAATCGTGACGAACGATTTTTAAATCATAAGGAAATGTGAAATTTTCCAAAAAATACGAATTGCAATGTTTCATATTTAAATCATGCGAATATTCATCATGATATATAAATTTCGCGATTAAATATATCATAATCAGTATTTTAACTACATGTATAAGTACTTAAAATGATTATGTTGCATAGAGATTTCTAAATTAGTGTATCAATAGGGTTGAAATTTAATGAGCATAGGATTTGGAATTCCCCTTCCCTTTGGATAACTCATTATAACAGGTGGTTAAGAAAATAACCTTTTTCTTAATAAATATAATGGCAGTGTTTTTAATGAATGTCAGCTGACTTTTGCAAAAAAGGGCAAGGAGGGTGCATTTATAAGGATCAAAGGGCAGACAGCACTTCTAATAATGTGTAGGGAGAACACAGGTGTTATGTAGAAATTATTAAGTGCATTGTTTTAAGAGTCACCAATTAATTTCGTAATTCAGATAAAATTCAAAATAATTAAGTATTAATTTTTGCATTGTAGAAACAAAATTAACCTTTATACTAAAGTATAACTTTTTATTGATAAGACCTTTTTTTGGATTAAATTTATTTATTGAGCTTTGAAAATTATGTAGTGCTTTCGGTTTAGCTAGGACATTCAGTAAATGCCCCTATGGACCTGCGAGTTGGGAGAAACACGAGTGACAACCTCAAAGAGTTGATACACTGTTGCTAATTAGCACTTTTTTACGATTAAACATTTAGTGAAGTCAAATTACGTTTATTTAATTTCATTGATTTGGACGAGCATTAGAAGTACCGGTTACCAAGTAGCAACATTGAAATTTAAGCATAAAAAAAAAAAACTTGCTATAAAGCATGTTTCATAGCAACAGCTGACCAGCTCTATAGTAAGAATTCCAAGTACAGATAAGAGCCTTAACTCAGAATGATTTACTAACCACTGAAGCATTTTGAAACTATAACGTTTGATAATTATTTAATAAAAAATATTCTGTATAACAACTATACTTACATTTGGTACTAGAATATTTAAAGCTAAATTTTAATTACTAACTTCAGAACTCTTGAATTGATCAACGTTGCCTTTCAGGAGTTGTAATAAGTTTCAGTTTAGGTTTACATTTTGGTAAATTTCCCTTGTTATTAATGTTCGTCGCTTTCATTGGTTGAATTTTTCACGTGGAAAAAAAAAGTAACGATTATTTAAATTGTAATCGTTAAAGTCAGATTTTTCGAGGTTTTCTTCATTGTAAGTTACAAGTTAGCTTAATGTCAAAACTTTGCTACATTTTCCCCATTCCATACCATTTTAACTGCAGTTGTGATTACAATATTTTATTTCTCTCCGGCAATGGAGGTTTGCGCGAAATTAGAAAATTTCTTTACCGAAGAAGAATTATTGAATATTCCTCAATCTACTAAGGATAAAATTACAGGACAGTTCTCAAGTTATGAAAATATTATTTCAAAGCTGCGAGAAGAGAATGCCGAATCTGTTGCAATTTTAGGTAGGCTATAAAATAGTCAGTTTAAAGTTGCCACTGCATTCTATGTTTCGAATAGGATTACAATAATAATTTGCTTTGGAGTAGTCTCAATTTGTTTATAGGGTCTTGCCATAGAAAAAGTTAAATTGTTAAGTTTGCCATAATTCAATACACAATATGAGACAACGCAATAACATGATTAACGCCTTGAAATTAAGTCACTCAGTTTCTTTGCATGTTTTTTAGAAATTCAATAACTTACTACTGTTAAATAGATTTTTATAACAATGGCAATTTCTTTAAAGTGATGTTAATCTCTACCAGATGCTATTGTTATAAAATCTGTTTAACAATGAAAGTAGTATGTTATTGAATTTATGGAAACTATGTAAATAGGCAGTTGCTTAATTACAAAGTGTTAGCCTACTTAGAATTGTATTTCACTCATTATAATTCACTGTCAATAATTTAATTAAAATTATGTTTGGAAGAATTTTGATTTTATACAATGTTTGATGTTACATACTGGCTTTTTGATAATTAAAGTTTCTAAGTTTAACTTTTTCATTAGGTATGCTCACATATTTTCATTATTCAAACATTTGCACAACAGGTTAAATAACAAAGGGCTACACACATATTTAGACATTCTAAGGCAAATATAGTAATTAAGCACTCTTGTTTTAAATGAACTTAGAATGATGTTTAGATGTTTTAAATGAACTTAGATCAATGAACTTAGTAATATATTTGTAAAATGTGCAAATATAATGTGCTAGAGTGAAATCTCATGGGCTTGCAAATTTAGTTTCTAGTAGAGAAATGGAAAAACAAAATTAATTTGAAGAATTAAAACAACATATAGTAATTATACTAAAGCACAAGTTTTCATACTTCTGTTTTTTTTTTTAAATTATATTTTGGCAAGTCAATTTAGTAATTTTTTTCAACTCTTTTATTTCTAAGAATTGAGATTGTTTTTTTCTCTGGTTTATGTAATTTTTGCTGCTTTTATTATAGGGCACAGCATTTTCAAGAAATATTTTAGATATAGCCTATTCGATTATTTTAACTTTTTTCATATAATGTAGCATTGATAGCGAGTTACGTAGAAAACTGTGATTTTTCGAAGTAAAAATTTTGTTTAAGGAACTAGGGTGACCCTGGGTAATTCATGATCACTCTGTTTCTGGGATAAATAATGATCACCTAAGTTTTATTTAAAAAAAAATTATTATTTTTTAAATTTGAGATATGGACAAGAATGCTTGTACACTTTACTAATATATAACTACATTTACTTAATAATAGTTTTTTGTTTAATCTAACAAAATAAGTATCTTTTAAACCGTGCTCTGTATTTTCCATTTCAAAGATGGGCTTCAAAATATGCACATTTCCTCAAAGATAATAAATGGATTTTCTTAATAATAAATATTTTCAGTTACTTTACTTTTCTTTGATGTAAAAATAGTGTAAGCTTTTGTTTAATTGTTTCACATCTACTGTAAACATTACCTATTATTGATTATAGAAAACTATATCAAATATTGCCCCCTACAGATGGGGTAATTATTGATCACTGGGATAATTCCTGATCATTGTCATTTCTTCTTATAAATAGCATAAAAAATAGCTAATTGTCTTTTCTTAAATAACAGTTCATATTTATTAAGTGTCACAACTATAAAATATATTTTAACTGTAATCACAAAATTTGTTTTTAACTCTATTCAAGACAAATGTGTTCTGATTTGTGTTACCTTCCTTCCATCTTAATTTTATGCGTATACATTGTTAGAATAATTTTTAAGTTTTTAAATTAACCTAATATAAATATCAGGGGTCTGTTTAGAAAAAATTTGGGTCCGTTAACGGACCTTTCACAAAATATTTTAACTTAAAAACGGACCCTTCACAAAATGTTTTAANGGATACTAAGCTTCTAGAAAGCAAAATCAGTGAATTTCTTTTAATGATTGAAAAAGAAAATTTCTGTGTGAGAGCTGCTGTCAGAGCTGTTGACATACCTTACTTAACTTTACACTCTCACTTAATGAAGTTAAAAAGTCCAGCGAAAGTAACCCATGTGGGAACTTTTTCTTATATTCCAGCAGAACATGAGAATGAGTTATCTGCTTGCCTAAAATTTATGGCACAATGCAAAGATTTTTGGAAAATTTAAAGTGTTAATCTTTATTTTTGCTTTTAAATAAATCCTTTTATTAGCTGCTTAAACATATAATTTTGGTTTATTTGTTTGATCTTGATGTCTTATTTATTAATTACCATTGTATAATTATTTTTAACAGCCCCTTTACTATAAAAACTGATGATCCGTAATTACCCCAGAAGTGATCAGGAATTACCCCAGAAATGATAAAGAGAAGGGGTAATTCCTGATCACTAAAAATTTAAAATCTTTAAATTCTAATTAGATTTTCAAACAAAAGAAGGTAGCATAGGACAGGACTCATCTCATAAACCCTCAAACTTTCAGTAAATATTAAAATTCTATCATGAATATTTTTTTCACAAAATAGATGTTTGTATTTTTTGATCAGGAACTACCCCACGTCACCCTAAAAACAATTTTTTTAAAAAAAAAAATTTACTTTTCTTTTCATTAGCGTGGCGCAGCATTTTTTAAAGAGCGTTTATATTAAACTTTATTTTATAGGAATAAACTTCTAAAATTACAGCAATGCAAAAGCTAAATTAAGATTTTCATTTTTAGAGTTTCATTTCAAGAATAAAGAAAGTTTTTTGTTTTTCTCTAGCTTATTCTTTGAAAAAAATATAAAAAACACTTTTGCTTTTATTGATGTTTTTCAATAACGCGGCAATTTTTAAGAGCTTTTCTGTTAGACTTTATTCTTCACTTTTCCTTGTAATTACGGCAATTGTAAAACTGAAATGTCCAGCTTTAAAATTTTCTATCAAGTATTACGATTCTTCTTTTTTCTATTTCGCAATGGTATTAATTTGCTGAAATGGAAGCGATCCTATGTGAGAGAGAATAAGTTTTAAATGTATAAAATTTGTTGAAACTAAGTCTTAAAACAAGTTATGATCAGATTAATTTTAAGCAATAAAACTACAGTTTGAAATCTCATATCTGAATTAAGAAATGAAAATTAACCATTCAGTGTTTTCATCGCAGAAAAAAAATGGGCGAGAATTTCCCACTCTTTCTTAAAAACAGGGTGAGATTTCAAAAAGTTAAGTGAGATTTCGAAAAATTAAAAAAATTTTTTTTTAAAAAAAACGCAAAGAGACTTGGAAAAAAAAATCATTTCTTTAATTATAATACATTTTTAACATCTTCTAATTTTTAAAGCATTGAATATTTTTGCTGCACATCATATGGAAAATGTTCTACGTCTACTTTTTCATCAGCTTTTCTCATTTGGTTGCTCAAATGCGTATTTGTTTCGTTTTGATCGTTTCTACCCACATTTGTTTCATTTTCATTTGTTCATTTCGGAGTAGAAGATATTGCCTTTATAAGGTATTTGTCTATCTTACATTAATGCGCAACAATTTGAACGTCTTACATGAAGAAACCTTACCTACGTTTAAACGTGTGGTTGCAGAGAAATGCGTTTTGAAAGAGGTTCCGAGGGATGGTGTTCTGTTGTTCTTAAAGGTTCTGAACAATACTGGTAAATAGAGGAGCTAAATAATGGGGCAGATGTTGAAAATAATGAAAGATCCAGGAAGAAAAGTGAAACTGATTTTATTCTAAATGGCGTAATGACAAATTTTTTCAAAATGCGAGAAATTCGCAAATTTTGAAATTGGTTTATAGAATGCACGAATTTCTCGCGGTAATCATTTTTTAATGAGAGAAAAGAAAAAAATATGCGAGATTCTCGTGTTCTCGCGCTGTAGTGAAAACACTGCCATTAAACTATTTCATTTCAACCAGGGTTGGGTTTTTGCCGTCAAAAACTGGTTTTTGACATGACAGTGGTAAAAACCGTGTTTTTACCAGTAAAAACCGTCAAAAACCTACTGTTTTCTTTAATTTATGGCATATAGCAGACAATATATTATTTTCACTTAATTACCTTTATAAATGATGTTGTAAATGATTGCTATTGATTTTGCAACTATATACACGTATTCTTATAGAAGGATATACATTCATACGGAAATATTGTAACATACTTATTGAAAATAGTGATGGTGATAGAAAATAGTGATTTATAGCTTGATTTTCAAAGGATTCAAAATTTTGCACTTCTTAATTGTTAGAAATAAACAAAAAAACTTGGAACTATTAATAAATTCAAGAAGTAAAAAGAAGAATTTAAAATTTGGCATTTTCTTAAATATTAGAAATAAGCCAAACAAAACTTTCAAAACTTGTGACTACTAACAAACTCCAAGTCAGGAATGACTTGACATTCTTCAGTAATGTAATATGCCAAACAAAATTATGCTTGGAAATGTTGAAAATTTTGTTTAGTATCCTAATATTTTACTTCAAATAGTATGATTTGATATAATCACGTAGGGAAAATGCAAAAATCTGTTCTTAAATATCTTTTAACAACTTTTTTCTAATTTTATTACCCAAAAATGAATTTTAAATCATAAGCAGTTAAACTCAAATTAAATTACAGTTTTATCAAAACTATGGGTTTTTGACAGTTTCTGACGTTTTTGACAGAGGGGATTTTGACATGACGGTAAAAACCATGGTATAAACCGGTAAAAACCGTCATGTGTCAAAAACTTGCCAACCCTGATTTCAACCAAATGATTTTTATTGCTGTAATTAGTACAAAATTGTTCAAATTTTTTTTCTATTGTTCTGTATTACAATATGTTCCTATATCTCCCTTTAATATTGACCTATAATATTAAAATAGGACCACATATTATATTACCAGGTACTAGTGTACCCCACCAGAAGAAATAATTGTAGGCTTATTATGGGGTACAAAATGTGATCCTATAGGTTACAATGTATATATATATATAATCAGGGGTCTGTTTCGAAGAAATTTGGGTCTGTTAGCGGACCCTTCACAAAATATCTTTTCATAAAATCGGACCCTTCACAAAATATCTTATTATAAAATCGGACCCTTCACAAAATATTTTAACTTAAAAACGGGCCCTTCACAAATTTGTTTATCTTCATTATTGTTTTGTTAATCGAATAAACCCTTCCCAGGAGGGGGGAGGAGAGAAGACAGATGTAAACGAACTAAATTTTGTCTTCCGCAGACGCTTCTTCCTTCATTCGTCCAAAATGAACATTCTGCGTTCAGCAGTATAGGCTAAATACCAAATATTTGTATATTGCATCGCTAATTTAGTAGCTGCAATTGCTGTTTATTTTTTAAAATTTCCTTTTTTTTAATTATAATTTTACAGTGTTGAGCATAATCTTGTAAGACTTTACAATTTAAAAACTCCTTGAAAAAGTTTTTTTGCAATAACGGACCCTGTTTGCACAACTTCCTAAAAGCAGGACCCTGGTTGAAAGAATGTGACTAAACGTTTATTTTATATTTGCAAATTATGAGTATTTTTTTTCACAATTTTACGAAAACGGACCTTTCACAAAATGTCTAGACAGACCCCTGATAATAGTGTGTTGAATATCATTAAAATGAGGAAATTTGAAGTCAATATTCTGTGTTGATTCAAATTTATTGAAATAATACAAATAATTTTACTTTTAAGAACCACTGATTCTCACTCACTGTTTTAATTTATTTTTGCATAGTTTATAATTGTATTTGCAGCATTAATAAGTTTTTTTAAATAAAAATATCTAGTGATTTGTAATAAAAATAGTAATGGGTAATATGAAACATCAGATAAGTTATGTGACATAGGGGTGTAAAACCTGTGGTTCACCAACTATTGGAAGCTTGCGGCATACGAAAGCTTCTGAACACAATTAATAAAAAAATGAATTTGAAAATTTAAAAAAAAATCAAAACTTTTGACTGGCACATTTGAGTCCTCACTTTTTTGTTAGCTCAATTTTTCACAGATTCTATAGTAAATTGATGTTTTATAATCACTTTTTCATTATTGTGATTACAATCGGCATGGTTTTAAAAAACCCAATATTTTTAATATGATATGCGAATTTTGCTTTTTTTTGTATTCAACATATATCTAAGGCATTTAGATAATCCTTTTTATAAAAATTACCTATTCCAATGTAGTTTTTAAAATTCGATGCATTTATTACGCACATTTAATTGATCACTTTTTGATGCATTATTTGTGCCGATTTTACTGTAAATCAGGGGTCGCATTCCCCCTAAAATTCATAAAATTCCTAAAACTATGTGCAAACCTTAAAATTCCTAAAAATCTGATAAAATTTTGTTGGTGTTCCTAAAAATATAACAAAGTAGTAAAATATAACAATTAGTTAATAGGCTAAATATAAAAAAAAAGCAATAATCTAAAATATAAAAATTTAACTACATTAATTAAAACTTTTAATTTTGCCACATGGGAATTCTGATCCTGAGAGAGGTTTTTCGATAAATATCGCAATGCTTAATGTGAGTCATCATGAGAATACTATTATGTCTCTTAGACTAATCAAAGATACCATTCAAAATTATGGAGGAGTGTTGAAGATCACAACACTATTGAGGGCAGTAAAAGAATCTCACAAATCATATCAAGAATATATTAGAAAAATGATCATGATTAATTTGTTTTTCTCTAACTTCTAATATAAATTGCTGATTTGAAATCTAATAATATCACACAATAGTTTTTCTTAATAAAGTAAGGTAAAGGGTAATAATAAAGTTTTGATTAAGAAGGTAAAAATTAAATAAAAATCCAAGTTGGTGTTAATTTATTTTTTCTCTTGATTTATTCTCACTTTTGCCTGTTCCTGAATTATGCACTTAATTTCTGATAGGTAATATGTAAAGTTGAAATTTCATTTTTACACTTTAGAGATTTCATTCTTGACTTAATAAATTTCAGAGCTTTATTTTATGGCTTGCAATTATTTATGATATGTGTGGATGAATTGTAATAATCTTCTGTTATATAATAAATTACCGTGTGATCTGTTTTTATCCTAGCAAAATCATATATTACCCCTAAAATTAACCTAAAATTTTTTGAAAAAAGTTCCTAAAATTACCCTATAATTTTAAAAAACTTCGCTGCTACCCTTGGTAAATCTAAATGATTTTTTTATTAAGGCAGTTATTGCTACACTTTTCCGTGTGATTTTGAAAATCCCGTATTTTTACTATGATATTACTATGACACTCGAGTTTCAAATCACCATTTAAGTATTAAATTTTTGGCACACTTTTTTTTTTGCTGACTTAGTTTTAAATAAATAAAATTAAAATCGTTTACGGAAATTGTATTGTCGATAACAATTTTGAAGTAAAGACCTACCTCCAACAACGAACATTTTATTTAGCAGCAAAGAGTGGTCGTTCCTGAGACACGTTTTGCTGTATTTCCGAATTTAATTTGAACTGTTTTTTATTTCAGAAAGGGAACAGTTTAGATTTGAGAAAGAAACCTCCACATTTAAAGAACAATTACAAGAAAGTACTGAATCATGTTCCAAATTGAAATTACAAATTTCAGAGTTGGGTAAGTGCTTTTAATTTATTTTTTTGTTTTTTTTTGTATATTTCTTGAATTTGTGTAATATTTATTGCTATATTCTTTGTTGCCTATATCTTAACCTTTATATTTTAGCCTATATCTTTGCATTTCAAACAAATACATGTATAAATTTATAACTTACCTGACAATCATTGTTTTTAAGATTCTTGTTGACTGAATTACCATTGTTTTTCATATTTAACTTCTTGTAAAGGATGCACAACCCTGCCTAGAATAAACCTTATTACTGTCAAGTTTGATTATCTTTAATTATTAAAAAATATTCTAATTAATAATAATAAATATCTTTTAAGTATTAACTCATACATTTCTTGTGCATGCTTATAGATATATAGCAAAGCTGTGCAAAATTACAGAATATAATTTTTGTTTTGTTTTAAACTGTTAATAATTCTGAGAAATACATTTTTTCTTAATATTCATGTAAAAATATTTTCAAGATATTTTTGTTCAGTCATAATGAATTGTTATCCAAAATGTTCTAAGACTGTATTATCAAATTAGCAGCTATTTAAGAGGCTTAAGTTTACTATTGAATCCAAAAAGGATGTAGTTTAAAAATTTCTAATGGAATATTTAATCATTATAATACTTTGCAGATTTATTATTCTTGTTTATATTCTTGGTGTAAAGGATTATTAAATATTCAATTATTTATGATTTGCAGAGGAAAGTCTTTCTTCAGTTCAAAAGCAATTCAGAGAATTGCAAATGTTGCACGATTCTTCGGTGCTAGAATCTGTAAGTAAAATTTATAATATTTTTATTTTGCTATTCTATAGAACAGTGTTCCTAAACTTTTATGTTTACTCAATAACAAATTACTTGCAATTAATGTATATCTTATTTTTATTCTAAGAGGGAAAAAAATAAAGTGCTTCATGAATAGCCTGGTTGTTTATTTTAGAGTCAGTCTGATTATATTGGAATATTATATTGGAAATAGTGTTTCGGAGTAATGTTTAGCTTGCAATGAAAATTACCTTTGTATGAAAAATTGCCAGGAAAAATCTACACTTTTTTTTTATTGAAAAGGAAGAACTTCTATGAAATCAAATATGTGAAGGGAAAAATTACTTCATTGCATTGAAGTTTAGAATACATACTGCAGAATTAAAAACAACAACCCAGTTTTCTTTCAAAAAAGAAGAAAAAAAAAGCTTAAAAGCCAGCTTTGTTTGATTTATTTAAAATAAAAGATTAAACTAATATTTTAAACCAAAGATTAAAAGTAACAAAACCATGAAACAATTCACACATAATTTTTTAAAAAATGTTTGATTAATATTTTGTTTAAAGAATTCAAAAATAAGCTCTTTTTTTCATAAATATAATGAATAAAATATAAAGTATTAAACCAAAGATTTTAAATATGCATATTTATAACCTTAACATACAAATAAGCAGTAAATGTTGTTTTAGAAGTGCCAGTAAAAAAGATGTTACCCCTTGTTAGTTAGTACAGTATACGAGGGCGTTTCGAAAAGTAAAGATACAATGGATCGCATTCCTTAAAAAAAACATTTATTTAGAAACCGTCGGTTACATCTTAGTAACTTGATTATTTATTATTTTTCGACATAATCACCCCTGTTATCCAAACATTTGTTAAGTCGGTGCACAAGCTTTTGTATCCCACAGTCATAGAAGTTTGCCGTCTGTTGTCGGAACATCATTTCAACTTCATCGTTGATCTCATCATCGTCGTGGAATGATTTTCCACCAAGATGTGATTTCATGTAAAGGAATAAATGGAAGTCGCTGGACGCAAGGTCCGGGCTGTATGGCGGATGGTCCAATACTTGCCATTTGAATTGTTCGAGTAGTGCTTTGGTTACGAGCGCTGTTTGAGGCCGAGCGTTGTCATGAAGCAAGCGAACTCCATTTGTCAGCATTCCCCTGCGTTTGTTTTGAATTGCCCTTCGAAGACGTTTCAAAGTCTGGCAATATGCAACAGCATTAATTGTCGTTCCGGGAGGCATAAATTCCAACAGAAGAATGCTTTGTCTGTCCCAAAAAACAGAAGTCATGATTTTTTTCGCTGAAATCGAAGTTTTGAATTTCTTGGCTTTGGGTGAATTCGAATGGCGCCATTGCATTGATTGTTGCTTGGATTCAGGTGTATGGTGATAAATCCACGTCTCATCACCTGTCACAATGTGATCAAGGAACTCATCACCTGCTTCTGCATAGCGTGTGAGGAAGTCGAGTGCAAAGCCCATCCTTTTCTTTTTGTGTTCTTCTGTTAACATTTTTGGAACCCAGCGCGCACACAATTTCCTGTACCCTAACTTGACAGTCACAACTTCATAAAGAGTTGTCATTGACACTTCCGGTATGATCTGACGCAATTCTTTCAATTTGAGACGTCTATTCGCACGAATTGCTTCCTCCGTTCTCTGAAGAAGGGCATCACAGATCACAGATGGCCGACCTGTTCTCTGTTCGTCATGAATATCGGTCCTAACTTCAGAGAATTGACGACACCACTTCGTTACATTTTGTCTATTCATAACATTCCCATAAACAGAAGCAATTTCTTTGTGAATATCCGCTGGTCTCTGACCTTTTGCATGAAGAAAACGTATGACGGAGCGCACTTCGCATTCGGCGGGATTCTGAATCGCCGCAGCCATTTTTAACATGACCTACTCCAACCAGAATCAACGTTGAAATGCCGAACGACCGCGATGAGAAAGCTAACAGTTCAAGGTTAAAGCCAGTGTTGCCATCTTGCTCGCCAAAACTTTTCTTTTCCTCTGCCGTACGGTGTATCTTTACTTTTCGAAACACCCACCCTCGTATATAAAAATTTTATACTTACATTAATGTTAAAATTTAGAAGTATCATTTTGTAGCATTTATATGAATTATTCAGATGAATTTTTTAATTAAGTCTATATAAATTTTCATATAAAGGAAGGAGCATGATATATTGCAGACATTAATTTTTTTTAATAAAAATTTATTTAAATTAATAGATGATAAAAAAACAACATAAATATAAGCATGTGACTGCATAAATTAAAAAAAATTAATTTAAAACAGCAAATGTATGTTTTAGTTCTAGCGGTTAAAAAAAACAATAAATAAATTACTTTTTTGTCATTTATTTTAACGTAATAGAACTCTAAATGTTGCAATATTCTTATTGATGTGTTGTAATATTAAATAAATAAGAAAAAATTTATTTTAAATGAATTTTATATATTTTTTTAAGCATTTTTTTAAAAATATAGTACTAAGATAGTAACTTAGTAAATATCACAATAATGAATGTAAACACTTTGCATAAATACAATGCAAATTCATTTACTTAAGCAACAGAAAAAACTTCTAAAATTAAATTGAAAAAAAAAAAAACATAATTTCAAAAGCATCGTCCTCATTCCTATTTATACTTTTAAATGTAGTAAGCATTATGAACTTTTAACCTGTAAAACATAAAAATTGAGAAACTTTAACTCTTTCAATAATTACATGAACTAACAGAAGCATTAAATTAGTAATAATCTATTTTATTTTAAGCTTTTTTAAGAGACATCTCAATTTCGCATTAAATTTACTTGTTTTAAATTATCTTACATAGGTATTTTTGTGGAAACACAATTTTACTTTAACATTAACAAATAGTTTTAGTTTACTTCTGTTTATGTAAAGTAATACAATTTCCCATTAGCAATTTAACTCAAAATTTTTTATGAAACTTGTATCTTTTTCATTTGGCTGTATTCAAAATAAAAAAAATTATCTAAATAAAAAATTTAATAAATTTTTTCAAAAAAAATATTTGGTTTTAAGCTTGATTTAAATCCCATTTTAGTTAACTTAACAACCCTGACATAAAGGTCATTAATTTGTTGATACCTTAAATAATTTAATGGTAAATAATTTAATTGTAAATTAATAATTAAAATATTAAATTAATTAAAATAATAAATTAGAATAATAAATTATTTAAAATAATAAATTAATAATTAAATAATTTGAAATTAAAATGATAATTTAATAATTAAATAATTTAAAATTAAAATGATAAATTAATAATGAAATAATTTAATAATTAAAATGATAAAGTAATAATTCAATAATTTAATAATTAAAATGATAAAGTAATAATTCAATAATTTAATAATTAATATTTAAATAATTTAATAATTACTAATTTTTTATTATTTATTAGTTGTCTTATTGATTTTTGCCTTTTAATGTGCTCACCTTTTTTAATACATTTTCTACAAATTTAGAAAGAAAAATTCTACTGTAAAATTGTAAAATATCTAAATTCTACTAAGTCTGTGATCCCAAACTGTGCTTTTATTAGAGTAAAGCTCATATGCATGACTGTAAATTCATGGAGAAAAATAATGAATCGAATGTAGAAATTTTTCTGTACATATTCAGTTTATTATTATTATTATATTAGATTTAGAATTCTTAAAATTGTAAATAATAATTGTAAATTTATTGTTAGTTTTCAAAATGTTTTAAATATAGTTTATCTTCTTTTTTTAGCAAAGTACAAAACGAGATAACGAGTTACTTTTGAAGGAGAAAAGGATTTTGTCTGAACAGCTGGAAAAAAGAAGACATGAAATTGAGAAGATGAATGGTAAAAATGGATGTCAAGTTTTGCATTTAAATGTTTAAACATTAAAATTTTTATGACAGCTATTACCATGTTATTGATTGCACAGTTAAAACATTTAATGTGCTAAATTTTGATTAATTTCAATTGATTGCTTGATTGTAATTGATTAATTTAATATTAATAATACTCAAATAATAAAACTAAAATATTCTGTGTTAATTGATTGCAATTGATTGCTTGATTGCAATTGATTAATTGAATATCAATAATACTCAAATAATAAAACTAAAATGTTCTGTGTTTATTTATGAAATTTACAAATGAGAAAAATTATGATTAGGACGAGTGAAAATATACTGATAACCGAATTAACATTCTTCATTTTTTTTTCCATCCTCCACTTTCCTCGTTGAGTGTTATTAATGGGACATACCAATGTTCCACAATTAATATCAAACCAGATGCACAAGAGCCTACTAAAAAAGTCTGTCCATGGTTCATAGTTGTCTTGATTTTCCTGATACTAAATATTTCATCCTCAATTTTCCTGATTTTTAGCTATTTGCTCCTGATTTTTGTGTGTGTTCAGAACATCCTCAATTCTATGACTGCTGATGAGGGTTTTAAAATTTACAATTTTAAGATTCAAATAATTTGGGTTTTTAATATAATATGTTTTTTTCAATTAATAATAATAAAAATATTAAAATTTCTCTGTTTAAAATTTTTCAAGTTGTAATCTTATTTTAGACTATTGGTTATCTAATGAAAAAGAAACTCCGCATTTTAGCTGTCTAATTTTTTTTAATATATCTGCTTGTTAATTTTAAAGTGAAAAACTCCATAATTTTTTTTTTGGCCCGGTAAATTGCAGTGGAAGCGTTGTTTTAAACTACTATGAAGTCTGGACTGGCACAAAATTTAATTGCAAAATTTTTACAAAATTGTGCATAACATATAGTGGAATTATTAAATACCTTATAAAAACTGTTTTGCTAAGGAAGCAATCAGGATGTGTTATAAATTAGGGTCACATTTATGTTTTATATGTATATATTTAGATGAAGTAATTAAATTATGAATTCTTTAAAAAAAAAAAAAAACATCTAATTTTTTGGTTTTAAATTTTTTCAGGTGACCTAAAAAATTTACTCGAGCAAGTAACATCTGCCAATGAATCTAAATTTGCAGCAATAGCTTCATCTGAAGAATCTAAGTTAAAGGAATCAAGTTTACTAGTAATGTGTTTTAATTTATTATATCGATATATTTCGAACATAGTGATTTCTGTTGGTGTGTGCCTTTTTTAGGTGTAATTCTAAATTTACTGTATTTTTTACTACTTAATATGTGTTTCTTTTTTATTACTTAGTAACAGTTCCAATGAAGCTAAGTAAGAGTTTTTAGTTGTCCCATAAGTTCATGGGTTCCTTAGCGATAATAATAATAAGATAAGTTCCAGAGTTCATAGTTTTCTACATAAGAAAAAGTTCTTAGTTATCCTGATATTCCTGATTTTCCTAAAAAAAATTACTCCTATTTTTTTTTATCATTTTGTCTTTTCAGCTATCTGAATCATGCTCACTGTTCAGAGCTTCCTATTTTCGACAAATTTAAATGCAGATTTTAAAATAAACCATACATAAAATTAGAATTTTTGGTCTAACTTTTTATTTTAATTAATGGTGCATTTAAAAATTGCAAAATTCTATCTTTACTAAGGGGTTGTCCACTAATGAATATGGATCACGTATATAGTCTTATCTGCAAGGCCAGTTTCTCAGTCTATTTTTAAAAAGTTTGAAAGCATATAAAATGTATGTTTGATATTTTAAGTAGTTAATTTTCATGGTTACTTTTAAAAATGTCTATAATTTAACGAAGGAGAACTTTTTTTTGTCAAAACCCTCAAACCCGAATTATTTGTAATTAACCCACTGACGGTTCTGCACGTAAAAAGTCACATTTTAACCTGCAGTCTTCCCTGCATAGCAAAACCGGTTTTCCCATGTTAATTGATAGGGGAACTGTGTGTAGGGGAGAAACATTCTCCCAATTTTGCCCATTTCCTTAACCGCCAGTGGGTTAAACAAATATCTATTAGTTGTACCATGGAACTATAGATATAATTCTGCTTTTGATGATTGTTAAAAACAGCTGTAAGATACAATGTCCTTCAAAAAGTGTTGAAAATTATCTAAAAATGCATAGTACCATGCATTTTTAGATTATTTTGCCATGTGTTTGTAGTTGTGTCTATAATGATTATTAGAATTTGATATGATGGTTTGACACTGTAACTGAAGAAAGAAAATCATTTGTTGCCTGTTAATATTTTTTTTAATGTTATTTTTTTTAGCTGTGCAAGTTCTATATTGTGTTATAGCTAAAAAATAAAAAAAATATTTGTTCATTCTTGCATAAAACATTCATAGATAAAATTGTTAATATTATTCTAGCATCAAGTGAGTCGCTTAGAGCAAGAAAAAGAGCTATTGAATCGACAAATAGTAGATCTAAATGCTGAATTAACACAAAAAAATAGTGAGATACATACCCTTAAAAGAGAGAAGTCCAGTAATATATTAGAAATGAAAAATCTTCTAGAGGAACGTGCAGATCAAGTATGTTTTCTTTGATTTTTATTTATAGTTTAACATTTGCTTATCTAATTATATCTTGTATATTCTCTAACTGTTGTATATTCTCTAACGCTTGTTCAATTATGTCTTTAACTTGTGTACCGATTAAAGCTTTTAAAATTAGGAAAACGAAGGAAAAAAAACCATATTATTATTATTTTTTATAATTAGTTATATTTTTGTGGCTTATTGTAAGTGTGACATAAGCATGGATTTCGTCAGTTTCTCCAGGTCAACTGGTTTAGTAAAAAGTCTCTTGGTTTTTGAAAATTCCCTAAAATTGAGTAAGTTTTCTAAAAAAATCTCTATTGAAATAGAATTTGTACCCAATTTATTGCTTGCTTGAATAGTTAAATAAGTATTACTGAAACATAATGAAGTGAAGTTTCATATGCATTAGTCAGTTTTAGTTTGTTTTTATTTAGAACTTCCTTTTTAAAGTAATTAAATATCAGTAATTATTTGTCTATTACTATACAAACTTATGAGTTAACATAATAAAAAACACTTCAAAATAAAGTTCATTTAAAGTCAGTTATACATTTAAAATATTGCAGACCATTTACAGTTATTAGTGTAATGAAGTTTTTGTATTTTAATGACATTTAAAATTCTTAATATGTAAATTATTTAATGTATTATGCAGTAGCTATCATGAAATTTATATATATTATCTTGAATTATTTTGTAAAATTTACTGTATTTTTTTTTCCCTACCTATCCATGTAATACTATTCAATAGCTAGAATTAGATTTTTACAAATTAAAAAATTTTATGGATGGACCAACTTGTATATTCTGAACTCTATTTATAAAGAGGTTACTTAATTTGATTTACAAACACTTGTTAATTTCAAACATATAAAATAAAATTTTATTCAATTTTATTATAATTTTACAATTTTATTTAGTTTCATTTCTAAAATTTTTCTGCAAATTGTTCATAATACAAGTAGAGGCTTTTATGGTTAATTAAAATTGGGCATTTTTTTTTTTGTTGCTATAATTTGGAAAAGCTATAACATCCATATTTTTAATGATAATCTATAATATTAAGTTTGATTGTCGTACATCTTTTTTAAAATTTAAATGTACTTAATAATACAATCATTAAAAATAATGCATCTTACGATCCTATAATTTAATTGTTAAATTTTGTATTTTATTTGTTAATAATCTCAAAATTAATTGCAGTTGCATGCCACTCAGAAAAAGTTGGACAATCTGAAAGAACTTGTAGAAGAAAAAGATGCTAGAATTGAAGCTTTAGCAGAAAAAATCCGACAGCTAAATATGAATTACTGCAAAGCCGAGGAACAGTTCAATCTAGAAGTTAATGCTCAAGCAAAGCTTATTGATTTGCATAAAGTAAGACATTTCTTTTTTATGAGTGATGATTAAAAAAATATATAACTAAATCTAATTCATAATTATTTACAATTTATTCTTCTGATATTTTATTTAGAATGCAAGTGAAGACAACCAGAAGAGGGTGCAGGAGTTGCTGAGCGCTTTTGAAGAAGCTCGAAAACTTTTGAATGAAAGCAATGAAAATGCTGCTGAAATGGAAAAACATTGCCACGAATTAGAAGAAAAATGTAAACAAAAATTAGATGAGAAGCAGGATGAAATTTTGAAGTTAAAAGAAGAACTGAAAAGATGCAAAGAAGCTGCTCAAGGTTTGAATTTTATTTTTGCTAAAAACTGTGCAAATAACAGCAATTTGTTTATGAGGAAACAATTGTTAGAAACACCCCCTAGTTTGATTAGGCAATCAAACTGATTTTGGTGTTTTTCATTTTGAATTCTCACAAGTGATTCAATTGTAATTTTTGTTATTTTCTTACTTAATAATTCCCCTAGTTCTCACTAGGAATAATAAAGGGCAGGGTGCTTCTTCATGGAAAAGGGCACTTACGTAACACTGTAAAAATTTATCAAAATATGTAATATCATGTAATAACTGAATTTGATTCTCAACAATTTCAAAATGAAGTTGCTAACAGGACTATAAAGGTCAGAAAAATGGCCTTGCGTCATAAAGGTTCTGGATTTGAATCCCAGAGTAATAAGACACACTATATTGTGTTGATGTGTAATGATTAGTTTGATGTGTAATGATTAGACAATTGATGTAAAAGTTGTAAAACTGCAGTTAATGGAAGCAATTACTAATGATTTCCTTCTTAATCATAAAATATTTACGCTTTATATATCTTGTATATTAATCTATATATATCTTATCTTCTTATATATCTTATATCTATATCTTTAAATCAGAGATTTTAATTTTAAATATGGACCTATTTTTAATAAAAAGACTACAGAAATTTGGAAGTTCTGCATCCTAAGTAGTAGTCTTCAAAGTAGGCCAGTAGTCTTCAAAGTTAGAAACACTGGGAAGGTGTCCTCTCATTTGCCTAATTCATTGAGCTTTTATTTCTTACTCTAGATAGTTCTCAAAGCTATCATTCATCATTTTATCATGAGCATATGGAGTTTGCTATGGACCTTGTTTGAAGATTTCCACACTGTTAGAATCAAATAAACTTCTGATGTGTCTTAGGCAATTGCTTCTCAATCAGTGCCAGACAAGCATAGCTTCTGAACACATAACACCCACAACACCCAACCCTATCCAAGCTTCTAACCCTATTTTGCAGGGCTTTATCTTTTATTAGGTACTGCCTTGGTCAATCAATAAGAACAGTGCTTTAAGTGGTTCCCCTCTCTTCAAACTTAACTTTGGCACCACGACCAACAAGATGATTTTCAGCCCATGACAGATTTAATGTACAGCTTGTTGCGTATACATACTGTCGGGTGCTAAGACTGAACACAACCCTTCACCTCCAGCATTGTAAGTGACGTTCTAAATTACTGCGCTACTGGAGCATTCTGAACATATACCACATGATAAACCTTGTTCATCCAATATATTTGCACACATGATGTCCAATAAGTGTTTTCAAAATTTTTTTCGTTCTTTGCATATCATCTACCTCTACTACCATTTTCCTATGACAGTTAAGGTTATGTGTTATTAAGCAGTTCTCAAATCTTGTGCTCTAGTCTACTTCTCCTAAAAGTTAAGTGCATTAATTTCGGGATACCTTTTATAATTTATTGTATTTCTTAAATGTAAATGTATGTATAAGAAAAAATACATTTTTCTGCTTCAATATTATGTTTATTTTATTATTTTTTGAAGGTTTAAGTCCAGAAAAAATTGAGCAGTTGTTCCCGGTTGCTGCGGCTACTAGTAAAGTCATCCACTCTGGCATGACTTTGTCTGAACTATATTCCCAATATACAAAACTGCAAGAGGAATTGATTCAAGAGAGATCTGAAAAGGCATGCCGTACTAGGGAGTTGAACAATATTTTAGCTGTAAGCAAGTCTATAAGATTCTGTATATTGATTGAATTAATGCTTTTTAATGTGTATTCAAAGTAGAAGTGTTCTGAAAAATGTTTTAGTTAAATTGTTAAATGTTTTAGTTTTAATCTTAATATCTGGATATAAATTTCTGCTTCCCTTTTTTATTTTTTTACTCATTTGCAGTGGTCGTAAAAAGTATATTTTTGTAGTTTACTCCTACTATAAACTACTTTGTTAGAAATGTAGTTCACTGCAACTGCTTTTTTTTCTTCAAATGTAGTGACTACAAACTACTTTGGAATTGTACTAACTACTTCACGAAGAACTTAGGTTAAATGTGAGGGAATAATTAAGAAATATTTATTCATGTTTACTTGAACCAGTTTGTTATTCGTAAACATTTTTTTTAGAGTTTTTTCATTTAATCTTCAACTTTTTAAACTTTTTGTCAGTGCATATTTAATTTACGAAATGCAAAGTTATCAAATACTTGCAATTTTCCTAAGTGTTCAATGCTCTTTTATTTCTAAGAAACTATGTACATCGAAAATGTTCCCTTCCTTTCAATTAACATCCATGTTTTGCAAGTATGCATTCACATGGGAAAGTGCATCCGAAGTGATTAGTCGTCTACTTTTCTTAATAACAAGTTTAAATATTAGTTATGCTTGATTCTAAAAACGTAATTCTTCTTAATGCTCAGCTGCAGCCACACGGTTATTTTCATTACATCCATTAACGGGTTCGCGCAGATTTAAACCCGCCAATTTCGAAAAATTAGTTCCGTTAAAGTCGTGTTTCTTTTCAGTACTAATGGTAAAAGTAATCGCCAAGTTTCAATACTTATAGTAAACTACTTCCATCCACTGGTCTTTTGGAACTACTTTCTTAATCTAATTTTTTTTTTCTTCATAAATGTAAAATTCCTATAACACTAAAAAATTTTTTGATATGTAACAATGAAAGACTTCACTCTATAATAAACACTTACGGGCATTGATATGGACAGCTGACATGCATGCATCTATTTAAAAATTCTGTACATTTTTGAAGTAAAATTTAGAAAACATCAAGTAGGTAAATGTTTTTTGTTTTTTTTTCCTATCTGATTTAATGAGGAAATAATTACATATATTGTTTTCATAAAATCATTCATACATTTAACTATTTAAAAATCCTGATATATGTTTAAAACAGAGCTCATTCTAGGCAGAAAAAAGGGCAGGGTGCAAAAGTTTAAAAAAAAGGGCATTATTATTCTAAAAAGGCAATAATTTCTTTCTATGGGCCTTACACGTTCTATTAATAAACATTGTCAATTTTTTTTACTAAAAGTACCAAAGCAATCACATTAATTACTAATTTTTATTAATAAATTAACATATATAGATCGAGTTAATGAGCTAATTAGCTTAGTAATTTATTTAAAATGCATGCATATATTAATAAAATAATAAATGTATGTTTTTAAGTGTCTGTAGTTATGATTTAAAAATTATAATGATTAATAATAATTACGATTTAATGATAGTGGAAGTAACTGCAAACTTTCAAAGACAAGTGCAACAAGGATAGCTATTTTTCCTTACCCATATAAATCTATGTATTGACAGCAATGACAAACTAAATAAAAAGAGTTGAAAATAAAGAAGGGTTGAGGAAAGAAAGGGCAAAAAGGGTATGGAGTCCATTACATCAGGGGCAACAGGGTGCTGCACCCTGTTTACCCTGCCTAGAATGAGCTCTGTTTAAAACTCAAAGGAGGCAATTTGAGTTGAGTTGTTTTAAATAAATTTTTAAATTTCATTATTTCGGTTGTACATTTAGTNGCGCATTATGCCAATAATAATGATATGCATAAAAATTTTTTTTATTTGAAATTAGATACATAGAAACTTCAATTAATTGTTATTTTGCAAGTCAAAATGTCATTCCGTCACATATGGAATTGCCCTCATAATTAATTTAATCAAAACATATAGTATTATAGACTTGATCTTTGGTATTTTATTCAATTTGGTAAACAAATATATTTGATTAATCAGAAGAATAAGGTTCTCTTTAGAATGAGGTTTTAGGTATAAGGTTCTCTCTCTATTTATATTTTTATGCTAACACATGAATGCATTAAATAAAAATTTAAATTGAATCAAATTATGAAAAGTCAGAAATACTCAACATTTTCAGTAAGTTATTTTTCGAATTACATAGCAACAGAAAATGTAAGGGTAAAATTTAGCCCCTTTTGCTAATTTTAGTGTTAAATTTTAGTTCTCTTGAATTCCAGAATTTCAAAAAAGTTTATTTATTCACAGGTTTTAGGCAGCAGTTGTAATAAATTTTCTCTTTACTTGAGAAATTTCAAGAATTATTAAATCATTTTATTAGAATCAAATGAGAATTTTCAAAATATATTTAATTTGTAGATATAGATGTTGATTTGAAGTGTAATATAATCATGTATGATGTAATCATATCTAATGCTATGTATTTTTAATGGTGTGTTTTATGTTTTATTTAGGAAATCGAAGAGAGGACACCCTTCATTCAGCAGAAACTGTTGGAATTTGATAAATTAAATGAGACTATTATTTACTTGAAATGTCAGCAATCTGCTACTCTTGCTGTAAGAGAATTATGTTTAATTTTTATTACTTTTTGTGATTTTGTCTTCCCTTTTTTATGTAAATAGGAACAAACATATTAGGATTAAACTGTTTTTCATTCAGAAAGTCATTTAAAATAAAAATGGTGCATGTGATTTGGGAAATATGTGTAATTTTTTACTATAATGGTATAAATTTAAAGGGCAAAAAATATTAGAATGCAGGACTCAAAATTGATGATGATCTGTTGGTTGAAGAGTACTAAAATCCTTGAGCCACTATAAAATAATTGTCATTAGTTCCTAATATCAGTGACCAATCACTGTCAATTGAATGTTAAAAAAATATGCTTGAAGAAAAACAAAGCTTGGTGTTTTAGTCTGTGATTCTGTCATAAAATAGCACATTTGCTTTAAACTATGAATATTACTCACTCTGTTTAATTTTCATCTAATTTCAATTTGATAACTTAGATATAATATAATCTTCCTATATTAAATTCCTGATAACATTTAATAATTTATTTAAAAACAATTGAATCCCGCAAGTGAAGTTTTATTTGCAGTATTCATTTAGCTGAAATTGTTTTTAAATTTATTTTGCTTGATAAATTTGAAAGCATTTAAAAAAAAATTAACAATGGTAATGTGACTGATTTAATGATAATAGTTATTGACTAGTTAAATCTTTAATTTACTATATAGATAATTACTAAGTTTTTTTATTTCCTGCTTGTGATTTGTATAGTTACTCTCATCATGTTTATGAAAAATTTTAAACAATTTTGACTTTTTGAAAACACCATTAGCATAGATATGAAGTTTTTAAGAGATTGACACTAATTGCATCTCTCCTATAATGGGGCACTGAATAGTGACAAATTTATTTTTCAAATCTCCGATTTAACTGTAGAATTTTCAATCGTTTATGCAGGAATTTTTCTGAGAATTAGGATCTTCCTTCTAGCTGTATGCATATATATTGTGAATATATTTTAAGTTTATAAAATTTTGTGACGATTTTTTATTTTATTTATAGAATAATGAAAAATTGCTGCAAGAAAGAAATGATGCTAAACGGCTCGAGAATTTAGCAAATCGAGAAAATGTGAGATTAAAATCTCAAGTTATTGATTTAAATAGACAGGTATAAAACTGCTAATTTATTTGCGTGTTTTATCTTTATTGTGTTTATTAATTAAATAGTTTTATGTAAGCATATTTAGATTAATTTTTCTTAGATCCTAGACATGAAATGTTCTCTTTACTTTTTGCTAAAGCACATTTTTGAAAAAAGCAAATCTCTAAAAAAATTTTTTTCATGTTATTTCCATAGAAGTAAGCATGTGATCTTAAAATAAAATTTTTTTAAAATGTATTTGGCAATGCATTTTTTTAGTTGGTAAATATTATAAAAGAATCACAGTTTCTCAGTGATTAAGGCCCTGAACTTTGGGGTTTGATCCTCAGTGACGACTTGAAGTTTACCCAACTTCTGATGAATGGATACCAGCTTGGTAGGGAAGTATTTCCAACTCTAGTGTAATGCTGACCCCATTGCTACTATCATGCCCTTGACCACAAAATTGTGGATCTTTAATATCCTTGACCCTCCTGGCTCACAACGAGCTTTTGTGAAAATGTGTTACTTTAAATATTATTAAAAAAGTTTATGCATAAGTAACAAGTTTTTTGATACATCTTAAAAAATATTAAACAACTAGAGTATAAATAAGATTCCTTTTTGTATGCATAAATTCCCCTCCCCCCCGCCTCAAACTTTGTCATGTTTCTGATGCCACTAGTGTTTTTTCCCCCCCACTTGTAGCATGTCTTCATTAACTGAATGGCAAACAGATGTCATGATTTAAGTTAATCCGAGTCAGTCTATCTTTTTATTTTTGAGGCCAGTATGATTCTGCCTGCACACTATGTCATCGAATAGACAAAAAACCGTAGAGGAAGCGAGAAAAATAAGTTATGATGCATTCCCCAAGATGCGTAACTCTGTCATGAGGTGCAGATTTAAGTCAGTAAAATTGTTACCAAACTTTAAATATACATGAAAAATTGCTTTTCTTGGATGCAAATGTATGATCAATGCAAATTATAAAAATCTTGATTGTGCAAATATAAATCTTTTTGTTTTATCTATAAATATAAATGCAAGTTTTAATAGATCGATAAAGAAACAGAATTCCTTTTTTTAAAAATAGAGATGAATGTTGTATAAACTGGGACCCAATTATTTGGAAATCTTGTATCATAAAGATCTGTAGTTTCCAAAGTCTAACCGAATTTCTGCTGTTATCTAACATTGAATCTTTCACTGTTGCAGCCGAATTTCTGCTGTTATGTAACACTGAATTTTTTACTGTTGCAGCCGAATTTCTGCTGTTATGTAACATTGAATCTTTTACTGTTGCAGCCAAATTTCTGCTGTTATGTAACATTGAATCTTTTACTGTTGCAGCTGAATTTCTGCTGTTATGTAACGTTGAATCTTTTACTGTTGTAGGTTCAAAGACTTCTAAAAGAAGTTGAAGAGGCCAGAGGGGGTAGCATTAAAGATCGTCGTGATAGCTTTAACGATGAAGATGATAATGGAGAAGTAACATCAAGTGACGATATAACCGGAGATAAGGTTATATCACGTCATTTGGTTACATTCAGGTAAATTTTTATCTGCCTAATTTTTCTATGAGTGTATGAATGCAAGTAACTGTCTACATGATTTTTGTATTGATTTAATTTTTCTGAGTTACCTTTTTTTTTTCGTTGATAGGTTGGAGTTAAAAAATTTAATTATTGTTGTAATAAAATAAACTGTTGAATAATTAATCTGAATTGGAAGAGTATTTTTTCAATTGTTTGTAAATGACACTAAATTAAAATTTAAACGCATCTTAAAATTTTAATATCTTAAAAACTTGTGAAAATTGTTTTTTCTTTTAAATGTTTACACATTCTGAGAATATTTTGTTCTTCCACCTGCATATAATGAGTGGGAGAAGTTTAAATATGGATAAAATAATAGTTAGTTTTTAATATGTATATATATTTGTTTACCTTTGTAGGGATATTGAGCAACTTCAAATTAAAAATCAGCAGCTTTTAGCCGCCATTCGAGATCTTAGTCAACAGCATGAAGAATTGGAAAAGAAAGTATCCAATGAGTTGTAAGTGTTTCCATAATAAATTTACTGTCAGCTTTAAAGTGTTGAAATATTTTTCTGTCCAAATATATTTTAATTGTCAATATATTTTCCTTATAATGAATAATAACATTAATGAACTCTGTAAAATCAATACCTGTTGATGCAATAATTAATTACTTTTGAACTCAATTAATTTTGCTTGAGTAGATCGCAGAGTTGATACAGTAGAAGATATTTAATATGCATACCTTGAAGCATGAAGCTTTTCATTATATCAGGCATAAAATTCTTCCGACTTCCTGAACTTAAGAATTCTTATAATATTTCTGCATTATATTATTATTTTACTTGATTACTATTTTATTCCCTTTAACTCCTTCCTTCTCGCTCCCGTGAAATTTCCGGGCTGGAGTGTTCAGTAATAACACGCTAATAAGAATAAAACTAATTAATTTCTTTTGCCCAGAAAAAATTTTATTTCTCATTCTCATTTTACACACCAGATGGCAGTACCAGTATATTTTTAAGGTAATTGTAGATAGTTAGTTTATTTTAAACTAGTTGTCGGCACTAATCAGAACGTGTATTTGGCAAAATAGGCACTTTTGCGACTGTTTTCTTAAAAATTAACCAATCGTTAAGGGGTTAATCATGATTTATATATAAGGTTTGACAGTTTGTTTTCGTGTCAGTGTACACATTTGAAAAACATATATATAAATTATTTAAATGCTTTCTTTCCTTGCAAAATAGTTTGACCCTTTTATGTTAATTTTATTTTTATGATTCGATAGGTATTTTCAGATGTCTTGTTCTTTTCCCCCTTCCATACCTAATTATGCAGAATTTCGTGCTATATAGATCATTTCGCATTTCATTAAGCTTACCTAATAATCATCTATCAATATATACTGAGGAGCAGATCAATATTTAAATGTTTTAAAATAATGTTTAGATGCAACTTACTTGAAAATGCAAAAACATGCACTGAAGTATCTCTTATTTAGAAGAAAAAAATAATAAAAAAACCAGTAATTATCAAGAAAGTTAAACTTAACAAAAAATAAATTAATTAAATGTCAAAGCCTGTAAAAATACCGTTACGAACCTTGAAAATAATTGAGTAAATAACCAGAGAGGTGTGAAGCTAATAATTGTAATACCTGCATTTTACCTCCCATTTCTATAACACCTCCATTAAATTGGCCGATTAAGAATTTTTTTTCTATTCCATATTCATAATGTTATTATTACACCTATTGGAACATTCACTGTACACAAACTGTTCAATCGAATATCGCTACTGGAATTTGATTCCATATTTCTTTTATTTCCTCAGTAATTACTTTGAAAATAAGTATCATTATATCCCTTTAAAAAGAAAGCTTTCATTCATTAATCATAAAAGATTATCTGATTAAAAAAAGTTTCAAATAAATTATTTAAACCTTTATTTCTTTTAAACTTACCTCCCAGTTAAAATATCTTGAATTCATGGAGGGACATTATTTTATCCTAGGTGTTAGTCTAAAATTTTTAGTTTTGAGTGAATATTTGTAGTATTTTTGTGCATTCACATTATTACAAATTCATACTTATTTTTTCAACAGGCACCACATCACAAGCATAAATATTTTCATCAACTAATGAACAAACATCATACCTAACATTTGAGACATTTCCCCCAAAATTTAACAAAACTTCATTTCATTATTAGTATCAGGAATTACTGTTTTAATTTTCAAAACAATTACTTTTTGCCATTGACTGGCACATGAATCTTCTAGTTTGAAAAACAATCTAAATCGGTATTTGTAACAGGAGACCGGTTAAAAAAATACCTTACAATTAGTAAAATGAAAAACACAGTAACAATTAATCATTTTTACGTTATAATAATAAAAAGTTTTACCACTCTGAATTTAAGTTATTTCTAGAGATTTATTTGTCATTTGCTTAATTGATTGTCTGGCTGTTGAGCATTACTAGTGGAACATTTATTTTTGGAAAAAGTAGTTTTCCCTTTTATTCAGACTCATAAATTCTTAATTTTTTAATAAATTGGTAAAATTCTTTATTTTCAGATCTACTAAGTTTGAGAAAGAAATAACCGTCCTCTCATCTGAGCTGGCAGATTTACAAAAGCAAAGAGCCAAGCAGGCTGAAATGTTAGAGACCATTATTCGACAAAGGGATATGTATCGTGTCTTACTCACCAGTCAAGGCTTTTCAGATGTAATAATATTTTTCTTCTTAACCACTAGATACTTATATTATATTAATCGATTAATTGTGTTAGTTCATACTGTGTAATATTCATTAATAGACATACCAAAATTAATAATAAAAAAATAGGAAAAAAAACCTGATTTATTTTATTTAAATAATATTTCTTTATTTATTAAGTTATATTTTATTTTATACTTTTTTAAGATACTTCAAGAATTTCAAATTTTGTAATAATAATTTAAATATTGAAATTAAATCCTAATAATGTATTTCTAAATATTACTTTTTTAAAAATAGTTTTATACATGCAAATGCATGATTCAAATTTATTGAATTTGCAATTGAAATGCATTGATCATTTTTAACTTGCAGACTTCAAAAAATTGTCATTTACTGATTTTTTTTTAAAATTATTAAAACTCTCTTTTACTATTAAGACATAATCTAAAAAAAAATTTTAATAAAATTACTAGCTTTTCTTAATTTTTGTATTTTATAGTCTTGTGATGTTCAAATTCAATTAATAATTCAATATTCAACTAACAATTCAATAATCAGTGAAAATTTAACAGGGAGCCAGTCACCAAGTTACATATGTAATGTTTTCTTATTTGTGTTTTTTTTTCCCTTCCTAATTTACAACACATCCTCACCAATTCAGTGTAATAAATAAGTAATTTTAAAAATGGTTTTGTTAAGTAATATGTTTTAAGTAATTATTTTTATTTAAATATTATAATACAGCCCACTTATTTAAATTATAACTAGAAGTAGCTTGCTGTATTTAACTAGTATTCAATTGCGTTTTTTATATTATTCAATTGTGTTTTTAACTTAAAAACACTTTTTTTTACTAAAGTTTTATTCTTTATTTTTATAGTCCTTATTAGGCCATCCTGAGGGTTCCTTTGGTCAACATTCCACTTCATTTTCTATGGATTCCAAGGAAGCAAAAACTGCTCTCAATCAACTGCAAGCCGAATTTGATAATTACAAGAAAGGAAAGGCTGAGAATGAAAAGTAAATAATATAGTTGCATTCTGTCATTTTAAAAACTTAAGAAAGAACAAGTTTTATATATATAAATAAAAACAGAATAAAAAACCATTTTTATTTTCTACTCCAAATTTTTTTTTCTCGATTTCACAAAGTATTGGTTTGCTTCATTATTTATTGAGATGCTTTAAGAAATTTTTTGGAAAATTTGATTTCCAGAAGGCCAAAACTAATTGTACACACCAGAACTAAAACTTTCTCTCGTCTGTGTATTAATATGTATATTTTTTCCAATTATGTTTTTAAACTCAAGAAATTTAATCTTTTTGCAGAAAGAAAAAAGTTTCATAAAAAAAATTGTGGAATTATAATCTAACTTAAATTCGTAATTTTTCTTTGAAATTTTCTCTTTTCTTTAATTCTTAATTGTCTCTTAAATATATATTTATTAATTTATTTGGTTTTATGGTTTTAATTTATTTCAGAAAACTGAAATATACAATTTAGTATTAGTGGTGTAATAAATATGGCATTTTTTGTCATTACTAGCCTTGTTTCATACAATTTTCCTATAATTAATCCTTTGTTAATATTTACAGGTTTTGGAACTAGCATAAATTTTTCTTTTCTTAAAATTGAGTGTGAATCTTGTTCAAGTTATTTTTTGCAGTTACAATTTTAAATGTTTGCTTAAGGCTTCAATGTGATGAAGATGATTTCCTTTTAATTACACTAACTCCGAAGTAATCAATTTAAAGGAATTTAGCTTCAAAAGGTAAAAAGTTTGTATTTGAAAGTATGTTTGTTCTAATCCACGAATTAAAGTTATCCAGTTGAAATAAAAAAGTTGTAATTCAAAGCAAAGTTATTTTTGTGATAAATCAGATAAAGGACAAATCTGCTGCCAGTAAATTTTTTTTTATAAAGACTGTTTTGCTGAAGCACTATCGTTGAAATACCTTACATTTTTTATAAATGACCAATGAGGATCCCAAGTATATTCAAATTAATTTTTAGAAAGTATTTTTTTCAATGAAATGTAATAAAAATTTCAATCCCATTGAACAAATATACCTATATTACGGAAAGTTTGTCTATTATTTTTATCTGTTAATTTTGAGTTTTAATTACTAATGATGCAACAGTAGTGTAATTTATATTATTATTATTGTTTTAGAATGCTTAGTGCACAGCTTGATAAGATGAGAACTGAGCTATCAGATTTGAGAATTCAAAATGCCAAATTGGCATCACAGGTAATTATTTCAGCTATATGTATAAGAAATTGAGTAAATATTAGGGGGACTGGTAAGTAGTGTCGTTTTGGTGCATTTGATATTTGTTATCAAGATTTTTATTTTAATCAATGTGTTCACCTTCGTTAGCCTTTTCCTACGATATCCGTAACCTACCTTTCTATGTCGGATACGAGATAAAAAAACTAAATTTGTTTTTAAGACTAACGAATATCAAATGCACCAAAACGACATTACTTACCCTTCCCCCTAATGCTGGTTAAAAAAGATTATTTATACTATTTTTCTTTATTATAGTATAGAAATTGTTAAAATATATATATTTATGGTATTTTGCAGTCTGAATATTCAGAAGAAAGAGTTAAAATTCTACAGTCAAATCTAGAAACCTACAAAAAAGAATATATTGTCTGTAAAGATAAAAATAGACAGCACACTACAATGATAGTTCAACATCAGCAATCAATTGCCAGTTTGCGCCAGGTAAGCTTTTTTATGCTTGTTGCAGTTGAAAATAAATTTATTAGTATTTGTTTGTTTTCTGTTATAGCTCTTTTATGAATATTTTAAATTTTGTTAAAAATGATGATTCTATTTCTATGTATACATGGGTTTCTCACTTTTTCTCCCCTCACTTTGTTAATCAATTATTTAATCCTTTCGTAACAATTTTCACAAATACATGCCAGCAGGATAAGTGCAGAGTAAAAAGATAAAATTTGTAACCAAACTAATTCTTTTGCAGTTTATTTGAGAACAAGGTTATGATAGTTTGATTTATTTAATCCACCACTGCTAAGTTCATAATAAAAGTTACATAGCTCTACTTTGAAATAACGTTGATTAGATATGTGATTAGAATAATATTGATTAAATTAAAAGCAAAGTAAGACTGTCAAATTAGACATGCTCGCATTTAAATTACTGCTTTTTATTTCCCCCAACCTGATTCTGATTTTGAAATCACTTGTCCCAAAGGGATTAAAGATTAATAAAAAAAAGTAGCATATTTTAAGATTAATATATTTAAATTTAATTTATTACTGTTGTTGATTTTAGTTTTTTTTTTTTTAAATTTTTTAAATATATAAAAATTATTTTGTCTATGCATACCTTGATTTCTTTCTTGCTCCCCACTCTCTGTTACAGTTGAACCTCCATTCATCCTTTCTGCATCTTTCATTTTCCCATTAGTATTGTATTAATTTAAAGGTTCCATCACAAATGCTATTCTTATAATGTTAATGATACCCGTTTAGATCATTTTGAAACTAGCAGATTGCCACATCTATTGTTCAGCAATTCTTCTGACATTGAACAGAAATATTGAAGTTAATTCCAGATGAAAAACAGTAACTCCTGATGCTAATGATGTAGAAGAAAATGAGGATTTGTTACAGTTTAAGAAAACACCTCAAACATCTAGTTTGATGTTTATGTATCAGTTGATGAAAATGTTGAAACTTGTAATGTTGTTGGTTCTGGTTGCGGAAACTGAGATGGTGCAAAATTATACTGATGAAAACAGCAAACTTAACGACAAACAGTGTGAACATTTGCAGATGGCCTTAAAGCCTTTGAAAACTTTTTGTATTCACATGAACTTACAGAAAATGAGCAGCATTAGAAATTTTGGATATTTATTCTTCGCACTAAGAAGAAAAGTGTATTCTAACCAATGTTTTTAAATACAGTGGAACCCCGGTTTTACGTTGTCCGCTTCATATTTATCCCAACTCCTGCGTCATTTTCTGCTGGTCTGTGAAAGTTGTCTATACTGATAATGTTAAATTATCCCGGATTTCATGTTACCCTTTTCAAGAAAATCCTGCCTTATATGTTTTTCTAATAGATCAAAATCATTTTCTCTCTACAATGCTCACACGAACTTTTTCTGAGAATTTTTTTTTTTAAGGAGAGATTTGTTTCTTAGCTGTTGGTAGGTTTTCTAGCTATTGAGACAGGACTGCACGCAATTGAAGAGGATTCACTGCTGGATCTTAAGGGATAGTAGAAGCTCTATCTAGTATTTGAGTGCATGGCCCAGAGTGGGTGATAGGGCTGGAATGGCAATCCTAACGCTTCTCAGTAAACTTTCCGTGAAGCGGGATATTTTATTTATTTGCAGTGGATTCCGTCCCACTTTGGTCTATACAGGAATGAGATCGCTGGCAAATGGCACAAATGAACCTCTGCCGGAGAGTTTGGCACTCACATCCTCGTAAATTCACTCCATTAGAAAGAAAGGTGTCCAGTTAGTCTGGAATACTCCCCCAGTACATATCTGGTACTCTGGGGATAAGCCGGGTCGTGCTTTGACCTTCAGAGGTAATAGAGGCGATCAGACCGCGTTCACTAGATTCACCAGTGGTCGCATAAAGTGCATGAGGTATGAACAGCAGCAAAAGGTTTATCCCACCTGCAACAAATGTTTCTCCAGTGCAGCCAGCCCGACCCACCTCCTTAACTGTGTGGATTTTGAAAAGGAGGATTTTCTGCACGACCCGGTCTTGCTGTTTGATTTCCTGAGGGTGAATGGACTCATGAACCTGGTCTTGCTCTGCTAGACTAGTGGGGATGAGAAACAACAACAGGTTTTCTAACTTACTTTCTAAACTATTTTATTGTCTTTTTACTTGCTATAGGACATTTCCCCCTAGAATGGTGGAGGAGTATACAAAGCAAGGGAAGCGTGGTTAGAGGAAGTATGAGAACTTGAATTGTAAAATTTTCCTGCAGAATTTTTTGCACCTTTTGAATCTTGGAATCATTCAATCATTTGAAGAATGTTACTCTAATAGGTTAGGTCAGGGGTCGGCAACCTTTTGAAATGAAAGAGCCAAAAGTTACAATTTTACAAAATTTCCCGCTTTTAAAGAGCCACTAAAAATTTTGATTTAATACTATAGTATTTTTTTTATGTATATTTGATTTTTAATTAANCTTTACATCAAAAGAGCCACCTGTGGCTCGCGAGCCACAGGTTGCCGACCCCTGGGTTAGGTAATAATTTTCTTGGTTCTGGTGACCTGCAAGATACCTCTAAAGCAAAAATAAATGTATTGGAAGCTTTGAATTTTATTTCTATAGGTTTGGACAATGTAGACTATAATGCATTGAATGAGTTTAATAAAACTTCTAGAGGTTAATTGATTCTAGATATGCAACTGGAACATTGGCCGTTCGGAATAAAATTGCATGTCCAAAGTTTTTCCAAAGTTGATGACGTAACTCACATCTCATTACTTTTCAATCCTTTCATTATCTGATTTATTGCCTGCTCCTTATGATAGTGATCTTGCGTTTTTTAACCCCTGTCTAACGGAAAACATGAAATTCAGGGTTCCAATGTATTTTAAATAAATGTATTTTTTCATCCCACTTTTGCACCTTAAATATTTTAGCATGGAAGGCCTAATTTTTTCAATAATATATCTTTTTACTTATTGCAAATTTATTAATTTTAGATCCCATTGTTTTTCCTTTTATTACATTTCATACATTTTTAAATCTATATTTGACACTGACTCCCATATCAAAATAGTCCCTTGAGAAACAATCATCTGAGGTTTTATTGTATAAGGATTACATAGTGAAAGGTATATTTAAAAAAGTGGATTACTAGTGTCGATTTGATATTTCCATTATATTTATTTTATGACAAAGTAATGTTTTTTTCTTCTTTTAATCTTGTAAAACATAAATTTTTTAATGTTATTACTTTGAAATTGATTCAGTGTTTTATTATCAATTTAAAATTTTCCCTCTCTCTTGAAATAAATTAGACATAATTTTAGATCTTATATTAATTTTTTTTTCTTGTTGCAGGAGTTCTTTACTTTTTTATAAATGTTAACTTACATACTTAATATTCAACTATGTAATTCATCAACTTGTTTTACTCCTTATCTTAATAATGCTTATTTTTCTTTCTTTTTTTAAATAGGATTTAATGCAAGCTCAAGAAAAAATAGCCAAGGCAGATGTTGCTGTTGAAAACTTAAAGGCAGAACGTGATTTGTTAAAGAGCATTGAAACACGTTTACTTCAAGAAAAAGAATCTGTTGTGAGGGAACAGCAGCACCAATCTAGAATGATGGCTAATCTTCAGGCTTTGCAGGTATCTAATTTTTTTATTCATATTCTTTGAAACCTGTATTAGATGATTACTTGCTGTGCATTGTTTGATTGGTCAACTTATTGAGGTCAACTTATAATTATTAATTTTACTCAGTGTAATTTTCTTGGTCCTTGAAAGCTACTTGTGTTGGAGTTATAGAAATCGGATCGACGAAAAATGACGCCTACTGGTAAAGTTATGTGTTGAACAAATTTACCGATTATGAATGATAGAACTATCTTAAATAAATAAACAATTATGTTTTTGTTTAAGTTTGCATTTAATTATATAATTTGATAATTAACTGCCATGAAAACTGGATCGATGAATTAAATTTAGTGTTAATATAAATGACCCCTACGGGGAAAGTTATGAGTAAGAACAAATTTACCAATTATGAATGATAGAACTATTTTAAATAAACAAATATGTTTTTGCTTAAGTTTTCCTTTTATTTATATCATAAAAATAAGTTTGCTTTAAAAAAAATAAGAAGAGGTTTGTTTGAGATGCTTTGTTTTTTTCTGAAGTGACTTTTTTATCGAATTTAACTTTCAACTCTAAAAATAAATTATTGATAGCATCATCTTCAGTGCACCCTGGCTATAACAGGAGCTTTTCCTTTAGAAATCGTCAAAAAGAGCTCTAAGAGATACTCACAAAAATTTTGAACTCATTTGTATCACTTATTTTTTTTGTTTTGATATTTTTTCGGGTTTCATTATCTGAACTTTTCCACATTTGGTGCGCAGGTTTGCTGCCCCAAATGCGGAAAAGGTCAGAACGCTGGTGAGGTTTTGATGATCTCACCTAAAGGTATTCTTCAACACAAGGTCTATGGAAAAAATCTGTGCCTCTCAAAAAAACTGTAAATAGAGGAGGTCGCTGCACAGCGGTTGTCTTTCCTGGAGGTTTCGCTGTATATATAATCTTATATTTTATAATGCAGAATAATCTCGGAACTCCGATTCCGAAAATCGGGAAATTTTCAAAATCTGGATTTCTTTTAAAAATTGTGATGAGAAAAATTTCTTAAATTAGAGGAAATTCACCTGTATTTATGATATTGCATTATAAAACTATCAACTTTGAAGACTGAAAATCAACAATAACTGCAGAAAAAACAATCGATAAAACGATACGAAGTTGCCAATGAAATAGTCGCTAACCGAGCATGTCTACTCCTTGTGCTCACGGTAATACTATTGTTCTATTAAAAACAGCTGGCTTATTTCTTGAACTGCATGTTTTATGTTCACAAAAGAATTCTGAAAAAGTTACTAGTCATTTAACAAAAATTAGAAAAATTAAATTTAAAGAAAATGTGTTTTTTTTTGGTACAGTGTAATCTTATATTTTTTTTTCATATTAGAATGCTTTTTATCTGGCATAGTTAATGCACTTATTCAAATCAAAATAATTTTATATTTTGTTATTGATTTTTCCCTTTTTATGATTTGCCGTTACCTTACAGAATAATTTTGAGCGAATTGAGTCTGAAACAAAAAGAAATTTGGAACATCAAGTTGAAAAGGGTGAAAAGGAAATTGCTATTTTGATGACTAAATTAGAAAATGCTCATAACGAGTATCGTTCAGCAGTAGACATTTGGGAGGTAAGAACTTATTTTTTATTTATTACTTTTTATTGATATGTGTAGTCTAAATAATTAATAAATGTATTTTGTTTCCAAGCAAATAATCTTTTCATTATGCTTTATTGTTGGAATTTAATTTTTAGTTTAAATGTATTTTGTGGAATATTTTCATGAAGTATTATTTAATATGATATTCATCCTCTTTTTATCATGGAATATTATTTGAAAAAATCTTCAAAAGGTTTTGTTGGCCTAACCAAAAGTATTCCATTATTTCCCTAAATTGTTAATTTGTATACAAAGTGTGCTGGCTATTTGTTATTTATATAAATTTTAAAATTACAATAAAATAAAGGCATAATTTAACATCTTATTTGCCAAAATGAAATATTCTGAAACATTATATCCCTGTTAGCAAAAACTCTCTCACTGCAGGAGGTGCGGCAGACCATTGCAGCGTCTGCAGATTATTTTTCCTTTAAGTTTCCATTTCAATTTTAAAAACAAATTGGAGAAAATTGCTGAGACTCCTTCTTAAAACAACTCTAAATTTCTTTCTAATTAAAATTGCAACACTGCAATGAACAAAAAATAGAGAATTGGTGTTAATTGATTACGAGTTTAGCTGTATAGGGATTTATTTTATTTTCAGTGTTGGAACAGCTACACCCAAATTTTTCAAGACAAAGTCTCTGTTTCAGAATGTCTAAAATCATTAAATCATTGTAAAAATTAAACTTAGTTTATAATAATATAACATTTTTATTAATAGGTATTCATATAATTTGATGTATAATATTAGAAATATTGCGACAATGCTAGATTGAGTTTAATTTTTGCAATAACCAGCGTTGCTACACCACCTGGAAAATCGGGAAGACCTAGAAAAGTCTGGAAATTGTGCAAAAAATCAGGGAACAGTCAGGGAATTATACATTTTTGACACAAAATCTGTGAAAGTCAGAAAGTTTTATTTAATGAATACCCAGCATGTGTTTTTGTACCAATATTTCTTAGGGAATTTGTGTTAATTGATTGCAAGTTTAACTGTGTAGGGATTTATTCTACTTTCAGTATTACAACAAACTGCTCCAAGACAAAATTTTTGCTCCAAAATGTATAAAATCATTAAATCATTGTATGAAATTCAACTTAATTTACAATATCAATACAAGATTTTTATTTATAATTTTTTATATAATTTTATGTATAATATTTAGAAAAATTGCTACATCTGTGTTAGATTGAGTTGAATTTTTACAATAATCAAGATTGCTACGTTACCTGAAAAACCTTGAAAAGTCAGGAAATTTGATTTTTCCAGTTTCTCCTGGTGTACTGGTTTAATAAAAATTCTACTTTTTTTTTTGTACATTTTGAAAAATTCTCTAAAAGTGAGTAAGTTTCCCAAACAGTCTTATTGAAATAGGATTTTTGCACAGATTATTGATCTTCAGAATATTAAAATGAGTATTATATATAAGATAACCTCATTTATAAAAATTAGTTTAAAAAATTTTTGTCCTAAAATACAGTTTATTTTTATTCAGAATTCACTTTTGAAATCAATTTAAAAATATTTTAACTATCTTTGATGAACTAAATGCCAATTCTACTCAAAATTATTAGAAAAGTAATACATAACGTTTCAAGTTCATTTAATGTCCGTCTTAACTAGAAATATTGCAGTTTTTTCTATTTTGACGACCCTAAAATTCCCTATATTCATAAATACATTGTGCAACAATTATCATGAAATTTAAATTTTGTGAAAATATTACGTAACCATAAGAGGGTTTTTTCCTCTTTATGTTGGCACCTATGGAATGGTATTTTTTAAGAAACTTGCAACAAAAGGTTTATATTATTTGAAATTTTGTATAACAATATCTATGCATTTTTCAGAAGCCTGTCACATTATTTTTCTTCTTTATTTACAGAAACAAAAGAAAGAATTGCAATCAAAAATTGATGCTGAAGTTGAAAGAAATAGGAAAACACATGAAGAACTTGTTGAATCTTATTCTCAGATGCATGCTATCAAACAAGAAGTAAGTTTTAAATGGTACCCTTTTTTTTAAGTCTTATTTCTTGTCTAAAGTTTATTTTTTAATTGTTTGGACCATTTTAGTTGGCGACAGCTAAAGCTCATTTGCACACTCAAGTGACACCTGAAAAAGAGAGAACTATTCAGTCCCGTAAGTATTCTTACACATTTAAATTGAAAATGTAGTTTAATCAATTCATCTCAGTTAGATCTATTGTATAAAATCGGGATGCTCAACCATTTTTTAGAGGATGTCATAAAAAAAAAACTGGAAGAACATTGTGATAGGAACCACCAAAATTACACTATGTATATATTTGTTTTGGGATCGTTCAAATACTAAATAAAGTTACGTAACCAAATAAAGTGTAGAGAGTTGTGATCTTTTTGCTGACAAGGGAGAAGTAAGAGGTATGAGCTATGCTGATTTAGGATGCTAAAACTCCTTTATTTCCAGTTTTTTTTAAAAATACTCTCTTTCTCTGTCAGTCTCTCCCTCTCTCTTTATATATATAAATTTATATATATGTGTATATATATATATATAGAGAGAGAATATATTAAAAATGTTTAAATATTAAAATTGAGAGAAGTTGTTGAAAAAAATTTCTCCAATAAATTTTAAATTCCTTGGAATGAATTAAAAAATAAATTTTGTCATATTCGAAGTTTCTTTTAGCTGAATGTATCCTAGAATTAAATAACTACAGTATAAATTAATGTAAAGATAGGAGGGGTACAACGACTTTTTCATAATAATAAGTAAGCAATTAGAAGGGTTGTAATTTGCTTATTTTTATTAAGCAAAAGGGGGTGGGAAGTGCGCAAAAGTGCGAAAGATATGTTTACTTAATATTTAAGTGGCAGCCTCTGACTTCTTGGCAATATATCATTGCCTCTCTTGCAATTCACCTTGAAAACTTGTTTTCTAACATGAAGTATTTAGTTTATGTTTTAAGTCATGATGAATCTTTTAGAAATATAGCTAATTTCTTTTCTTTTTTTAACCTTAGGTTATAAAAACAATTTCTTTTTTGTAAACATAGTTAGACGATAACAAAGTAAATTATTAAGACCAATATATAGGTATACAAAGTAGAAGAGGAAAATTAAAATATTTTCATCCCTTTTAAAGACAATTTTTAGCAAAAGATATGAATTAAAAAGCACTTTTTTTTACTTCAAATATTTTAAAATTACAGTTATAACCAAAAGTTAGAAATTATAAAATTTTTTATTGTAAATACATTTTCTCTTTTGGAAACTTTTTCTCTTTTTTTTCTTCTAAATATTAAAAAATAATATCAAGGTTAACACTAAAACCATTGCCACAAATGAAACTGTTACAGCCTAATACTTTGAAATTGACTTAACTAGACCATTCAGCTGATTAGCCTAATTAAAATGCTTTGTGGATAAATTTCTGCTGACTTTGAGATTGTGAATCCTTAATTCAAAAAATTGATCTTATGTAATTATATAATTCTTTTAGAAGCCAGAACTCCAGTAAAACCTACGAGTCCAGCTCCATCTTTGTCTGAAATGAAAGCATTAAAGGTACAGTTAAGTGAAGCACAGTCTAGACTCAAAGGTAAGCAGCTTTGTAAAATTTTCTAGCTTGCCACTTTTCAATAAATCTCTTTTAGTTTCTTAAAATCTTGAAACGCTCTTGATCCACCTTTTTAAAAGCATTTAAAAAAATTTATTTTAGCAACTTTTCTATTAAAAATCTTAAGCTTTAAATTTCTTTTTAATTTTCTTTATTGAAGGGTAAATCCTATAAATATGCTATGTATGTATTTATCCAGTTTACTTGTCATATTTAGTTAAAATGGACTTTCTTTTATAAAATATTCTATCTCAGAGTTGTAAATAATGCATGATTGTCGCTAAGTGTTCAACAAATGTTGCTAAAATCATACGGGGGCAACAAAGTGATCGGTTTGAAATATGTTTCCAATTTATAAAATAGTAACAAAAATAGTTTTTTGCATCGAATTCTATGAATTGAAACAACTTATTCTACGCATGGCATGGAATATAAATGCGTGGTATTAAAATGGAATAGCAAAAATTATGTTTATACGAAACATTTTAAATTTAAACAGTGAAATTTCAAATTTACATGTTGGGCTGTGTTTTGGATTCATGTGCTGACATTGTAATTGTTCAGCAATAAATAATATTATTTGCTCTTTTAGAATTTACTTTTAAAAAAATTAAAATTTTATTATTTTTAGATATAGTTTTTAAAGTAATATTTTCTCATTTCTTACTTTCTCTGTTTCCGCTTTTTTATTTATTTATTTGCTCTCAGCATTCTAATCTTTATGTTGAATCTATTTAGTAATATTTTATTATCTTTTTTACACATAATTTTAATAAATACTAATCTTCAATCTTTATGGGCTAATGAACTTAATTAGTTTTAGTGTCATATGTGGCAATCAATAACTTTTGATATGTGCCATAGCATGAATTATGTAATTGTAAAGTTTGATTTTTTTCATATGTTTGCCTGCTATAATAAGTTTTTGGACCTCAAAATAAGCATTTAAGTAATTTTTCCCAAAATTTTCATAGCTGGTGTGAGCACTACGTATTATGATTATGCAAAAACTTGTTGTATATTGGATCTTTAATTTTAATACCTACTCTATCGATTTAGTGTTGAAGGATCATTTTAATTCTTACCTTATTTGGCTTTTTAAAAAGTTTTTCTTTTTCAATGAGATTGATATACACTTTGTTTAATATAGTTTTAATTTTTTTCAAATAATTAGTTTTTATTTCTTTTCTAGCTTTGCAAGAGAAGTTGACTATTACAGCAAAAAGTTCAGAACAATATTTGAAAATGTGTGAAGAATTGGAGTTGCGTGTTAAAGAACAAGATGAAGTGAGTTTGATATAAATTTGTTTGGAAATTTTTTTTTTATCACTCCTGTATATTTTTTCTTGTGATATTACAAATTAGATTTGTTTATTACTGGTCAATTAAATAACCAATGTAGACAATTAAACAGAATTTTAATTATAATTTAATCTTAGGATTTTAAGTTGTGTCTATGTAATAAATAACATAAAATTGGGGACACAAAAAAAGTATATATATTTTATTTTATTGAACCTTTCGGTGTATCAGAATGGGGAAAGATAGGCCAGCACTGACACTAAAAAATTTCCCAAATTTGTTTTCTGGTATTTTGATTCTAGCAGGTCAAGAAACTTTAGATTTTAAATTTTTCAATTAAAAATATGTAATTTTTTTATTTCTTTATTTTCATTCTTTAATCATGAGCTGTAAAATTATGTCAGTTTGGATTTTTCATGACTGTTTTGATTACCTGAGAGATTTTTATTTTATATAAAGTGTGATTTTGAATTAAGTGAATTCTAGTTTTATTTTTAGATTGAGGTTGCTCAAAAATTGTAGTATTTATAATTGGTAATACTTAAATCCATTGTCAATTAAGAATTCTAATTAAAAATAGGTAAAATTCAAGTTAATTATACATTCTGGAAACATGATGAATTTTTCAAAAATGTTTAATTATTTCGTAAACAGTAATTATTATGGACTCTCAAAGGAATGTCTACATTACAAATTTTTTAAAGGTACATGCCTCGTTTTTTTACATAGTTTCCGCAATTGTAAATCTATTTGTTAATTCTTGGTACAGGCCTTTGTATTTCATTATTATAAAACTGTGTCTCCTGTTATCGGACCCTCATTTCAATTTCAGTTTTGATCTTATTTTCAAGAAAAGTTATGACCTGCAAGATGTTTTTTCAAGTATAAGATAAGTGAAAGTCACTGGGGGCTAGCTTCAGGCTGTATGGCGGATGATCTAAGATTTTCCATTAGAAATTTTTGAGTTGTGTTTTAGTTAAAGTGCTGTATAATGACGAGGGTTGTTTTGCTACAAGCAAACTCCACTTGTCAGCAAGCCATTGCATTTGCATAAATTGTGGTATTGGGAAGCACAAAGTCAAACAGAGTGCATTATCTATCTCAGAAAGCAGAAATCATGATTTTTTTCTTCTTCTAAATCTGAAGTTTTGAATTTCTTGACTTTTCGGGAATTGGTATGGCACCATTGCATTGATTGTTTGGATTCTGATGTGTGATGATTAAACTGTGTCTAATAGTCATTTTGGTGGTTAATTAGGGAACAAGATTATTTAATTTTAATGCTAATAAACAAAGTTAGTTTTATTATTAACATTATACCTGAATAGCTCGCAAATAAAGAATCTCTTCCCTTGCTCCTAAACATTGAGATTTGAAAATGTTGGCTTGAGTAAGGAGGGTTTTGGATGCCCCTTAGCCTCTCAGTCTGACCCTTGGATATCTTTAAAAATTAAAAAAGAAAATAAATTCTGTTTGCACTTTTCCTTTGAAAGGTACTCTTGTTAAAATTTGGATCAGCTTTAAAAAAAAAAAGGTTCAATATCCAGAAGAGTATAATTTTAAATGGTGCTATTATGATGAACTTTACAATGTAACTTAACAATGTAAAGTTCAATGAGATAACAATGTAATATGTTTGAAAAAAGTTTGTGAGAAGAAGTTTTAGAAGTTGGCGTTGGTAGAATATTTATCCTGCTGATGATGAATAATGCAAACCAAAGAATTGGTTGTTGGTAGGAAATGAATGCTTGAAGACTCTAACTAGTGATAAAGCTAGTAATATAATAGTGACATAATAGATGATGAAATAAGATCTCTGACTAGTGACTTTCTCACTAACTAGTGATAAAATGTCTTCTGATGAATGTTTTCTAATGTTGCAAAGCTTATTGGATCACTGGATCTGTTATATTTTGTTATAGTTGTATTTTTGATAGAAAAATGTATTGAAGACAAGTAATTAAAATTTATCTTACTTTACAGCACAATTGTTAATTGGCCCTAACATTTCTAATAATCTTCATAATTAAGAAAAAGCTTCTTTATATTTTTAAATTTTGTTTTTCATACTTTTTTTAAAAAATTTTATCCTTTAATTATATAGTTATTTTGTGTCTTATATTTTTAGTTATTTAAACTTACATTGTTGACTTTTTAGATAAATAAACAGTTGAAGGATTCAATGGATTCTGTTCTAGATTCAAGTAACAAAGGTAAACTTTTTTATTTTAATAAATGTTGTAGATTAGGTAGGGCATCTCTATTTTTGTATTAACTTCATATTTGTATTTAAATTTTTATTTAAATTAAAAGAAGATTTGTAGATCAAACATTTAAAATTATTAGTGACCACCATCATTCTTAACTGAAAGAATATTTTAAAATGCCAGCATGTACTCTTTAAGAGCTTAAGGCCAAAGAAATAATTATGAAACTTATATTTATCCTATTGTTATCCTACTTATTGTTATAATAATTATGAAACTCTTTGTTGTCCAAAAGCACTTATTTCTTAATTTCTATGAAATGGATTATAAAATACTTTGATTTTCTCTGAGCTGAACTTATAATTAACTAAAAACCTTTCTGTTATTTTATAATCTTTCATATTATGTAAACTTATTTTCTATTGGTAACTTTAAAACTTATGATTTATTTCATGTTGAAAATTTGGCTGTTATTACCTCTTATATTTATTTTGAAATCCAGTAAAAGAACTCAAATGAATCAATTTATCTCATTCGGAAAAAAATAAAGTTCTTTCTTAATCAAATATAGAATTTCCTTCCTTTGAGATAGAAAAAAATAAAAAATCTTTATTATATTTAATCTGACATTTTTAATTTTTTTTTTTATTTTTTATTTTTTTAAAATCTATCTAAGAATTAAGTTTGGTAAAATTAGTTTTTATTTTTGTTAAATTTGAAATACTATTTTCTTGGTGAAATTTTTTAGCTAAAACAAATCTTGAGAAAAAGCTAGAAGACATGGAAAAGAATAATAGGACTCTCATGGAAGAAAATATGAAATTGTCTCAAAATAGTGGTTCTCAAGTATGAATCTGATTTTTATAATTTTTTTTTATTTGTAACCTGGTCTTAACCTGAAATTTAACTAATTTTTTTGATTTATATACCTTTAGTTCAATAAATGAATACAAAAAAGAGAAAACATGGAAAAATTTACAGAATAATGAATAGAAGAAAAATTATTAAAATAAAATAAAATAACATTAAAAATGTTTAAAATATATATATATAAATGAATATCTTGAGAAAAAAAAGGAGTGCTTTCTAATGTAGTATCAATATAGTCGAATCAAAATATATCAATACAATAGTGTTAGGAGCTCTCAAAAATATTTTGAAACAAAATAGAATACATTAGGTCAGTGTTTCCCAAAGTGTGGTACGGGAACAGTTTAGCGCAGGTACACGTTCTTATGTGAAATATCCTGCAACAAACAAAAATATCCAAAATTTTTATTTAAAAACAAAGCTAGCCATGAAAATTTACGATTACGTATTTTTCTATTGGCTATTTTTTTTCTGAGTTAACAGTTAATAATTAGCGGCGTCAACAGCCAATTGTGATTTTTAACTTTTGTGCGGTTTTTTTATAGTAAAAAATACATTCATTTTTTTATTAGTGGTACACAGCTTTATTAAAAATTTAGAAAGGGTACACAAAAGTCATAAGTTTGGGAAACACTGCATTAGGTAATTAATTTAACTCTTAAAAAACGGAAAATAAAATGTAAAGAGAAAACAGTACAAGACACAAAACAAAATCTATAAGGCGAGTAGCGGATCGCTACTCTATTTCTAGCTTTTATTTTAATTTACAAATTTTTCTTCTTTTCATTATTCTGTAATTTTTTCCATGTTTTCTCTATATTTTGAACTTTTATATCTGTATATATAAGAAGTTTATTTAAAGAATATTTAAAAACAATATCAGATTGTATTGCATAAATGACAGATCTACAGCTTTCAGTAACTTGTTTGCATAAATATTAACTCCACCTTTTCTAAAATGCAGAATTGAATGCATTACTTTCAAAATCTTTTCTAATCAGAATTGATTTCTTCATTTTATTTATTGAAATATGTTGGTTGAATAATTTTTATTTGATTTAATTACTAGAATTTTAATTGATTCTTATTGCAATAAATTTTAATGCTGATCAGAAGTAAGAATACTGTTGAAATATTTCATCCTATACCAGCTTTAATCTTAAAAACTTTTTAGTTTATTATATACTTTAAGAAATTTATTTTTTTTCTTCCATTTTTTGTAGATTAGTGAATTGCAAAAGAAAGTTGTTGACATTAATAAATTGATTGAGAACTATAAAAATGAAGCTGAATCAGCTAAGAAAATAGCTGAACAAGCTAGGGAAGATTGTCAAACTCAAGTGAAGTTAATGCACGAGGTATTGTTCTTGTTGTTAGATTGATTAGAAATGAAATTATAATGAAAATGAATTTTTAGAAGAGTGTTTTCCTAAATTTGACACTTTTGATTTAGATTCAAGAGAAGTACCAACGTGAGTTACTGTTGCATGCCGAAGACGTAAAGAAATCTACACAAGTCAAAGAGGAGGTATTGTGAACTTTTACCTTCGTAATTTTCAATGCTATTAGTTTGTCCTGGGCAAATTTACTACCGTTTAGTGTCGCCTTCACAAATTCAACTTCAAGAAAAACTGTAGTTACACAAAATGCTTTTAAGAAAGCAAGTTCTAAGATTCTCCGCCCTGCACCTTAAAATTTTGTTTTTGTATCCCCATAAGAAACGATAAATCCCGATTTAATTCAGCATCTACGATTAAGGAGCACATGGTTGGTCAGATAATGCGGTGTGGTAAGCTTAACCGGTTGCTTATTCTATATTATAGCAAGCTCTTTTTTTTGCACAGTTTTTTATTTTATTTTTAAATTTAACGCCCATGCCGAGGCGTTCCCTCCTTAAACTTTACAGGAAGTTGAAATTCGAACATTGTTCTAAATTTATTCTAACAGACCTTTATTTGTTATGAAAGATTTTTTTCTCTGCGAAACTTTTTCGATATGTCCTCGCAGGAAATGCTCTCATAATGAAAATAACTTTTAGTGCAAGTACTGTTAAATGCATTTTTTTTTTTTAAATTAAAGTTGAAATTAATTTAACAATGGACAATGATTTTTTTATGGATTTTTAAATTTGGATACAATTTTAAACCAAAAATTTTACAATAGAAAAATTCTTTTTGAATATATGGGGAAAAATTTATAAAAATTTACCATATTTTCGTGTTGATTTTTTAATATAATTTTTAACTTTCCCAAATTATGTCTAAATTTTCACAAAATAGGTACCTCTCATAAAAACCTAGACAGACCCCTGAATGCATTATGCTTTAAATGTTTAAGAAAATCTTTGCTCTTATCAAATTTTTATATTTAGTTCAAATATATATATATATTGACAAGGCTGCCAACTTCCTACTCTTTTTTTAGAAAATTTTCTCCAGTGGTGGATAAGTTTATGTTTTAATGTATTATTCTTTGTTTTGTGAATTTGTTTTAAAGTTATTTTCCACACCACTGCATGTAAATGATTCTAAAGTTTATATGAAAGGCCTCATTGTTCTAGCTCTCTTATGTTGAGGCTTTTAAATGTTAATAAAATTACCTAAAACTATGAAAGCTTTATATTTTAATTATCTACAACTTTAAATATTCTGCAAAAATATTTTGTAGCTCTGTATTGGTCATATTTGATATATTTAAGCTCTGATACTAAAATAATTCACAGCAATTCTTTGATTAAAAATATCTGTTGCTTGTTAGTTATCTTTTAATAATTAATATCTTTTTTAAGTACAGTCTTAATGATTGGAGAGGAATTTGACAAGTCATGCCTTGTATTATCAAAAACAGGAATTATTGAATTATCAATAATTATGCCAATTTTTAATGAACAACATACAGTGTACTCCCGATCATCCGGGTTAATCACCGGGACAGGTCGCATGAACAATAAAAAAACACGGATAATCCGAAAACTCCTTTTATTAAATAAAAATTCAATATCAGTACAAAAAATATAAAAATTACTGACATTTGCATGCATAACATCAAACTAGGAATTTTCCTTTTTAAAAAATGTGTAATACGTCTTCGCCATATATCGATACACATATTTTACGAACCGCAGTAGTGTCACTGTAATCAAATCCTCCCATAAAATCTAATAAAGTTTCCACAGAGCAGCAGAATGAGAAATAGTATTTCATTCATTTACTACATCTTCTGCATCAGTTTCTATCATCACTATTTGATTTAACAACATAACGATGTCTTCATCAGTCAAATACTGGAAGCCAGGCT